CACAATGCCGCCCTTAGATAAGATCACTATTGACATATTAAATAAATCCTTCTAATTACTGAGAGATTCTGATAGCGATCTTCGCTCCCGAGGCCACGCACCCTGTAGTACCGCACTCCGGGCAGCTGCCGATGGATCTGTGGGCGAGAGTGCTCCCGCTGCTCGTGCTGGCGGGCGTCGCCTCCTGTCGCAAGGGAGGCATCTTCGACATGACCAAGAGGGTCAACAAGGACAGGCGGGTCCTCTACCACTCCAATGCAGAGGTCAACACGCTCTTCAAGTTCGTCATGCCCGAGACACAGTGCCTTCAAGTAAACTTGTCTTTAGAAATACAGTCCTCTAGGAATGTAGGATGTCCTCTAGGAAACTATGAAGGAACTGCGAGAATTTTGATTAGATTATATATAGCACAATTTTTTGGGAAGGGATAGGGGAGAGAATAAGCCAGTAGACGAAGAAGATTTCCGTCGGTTATTGTGTTATTATATCTTCTTTATAGGGATAAAGAGGGCTTAGTTTGCAAAAAAATGTATTCCATTTTTTCAAAACATCAATGAAACCCTCCAGACGAACAAGGGTGAATTTCCAGAAATTGCGAAAGATGGCGTTATTTAGCGAGTAAATATGATATAGGATCGGAAGAATGGAAGGCTTTAATCAATTTCATTTAAATATTATCAGGCCAGTAATCACTGGTACAGATGGAGTTTAGGAGATCTTCTGGGGTGGTATGGAAAAAAAAAAGAGGTCAGTGTCAACGGGAAAACCAAGTATAGAAATTAGTATTAGTCCGAAGTAGGATAGGACTTTTTCTACATTAAGCATTTATCATTGCATTATTTGCTTCCTCACTACCGAAGGTAGGGAAGCATTGTATTCGTGCGAAAGGTTAAAAAAATTGTTGTGCTCAGAATCGAAAATTTCTACTGGCAATTTACGTTTCAGACACAAAGGATCAAATTTGGGTTCGGTGTCAGTCTGTCTGTCTGTCTATAGTCAAATCGATGTAACGTGTATATCACCTACTACCGTTCATCCAATTTTCATGAAATTTTCAGGATTTGTGCGGATTGGTGTCTAGATGGTCCCATATCAATTTTATTAAATTCTAACCAGCACTTCCGCTTATGCACGCGAAAACACATTTTTGTAGATATGCCAATATTTCAGAAATAGCTCGTTCAATTTGGCTCAAAATTGGATAAAAGGTAGGTATTTGTGAACACATAATGTAGTGTCAATTTTATCGAATTCGGTTCGTTCCTTTCTCTTATTTATGCGCAAACGTGTATAGTTTGAAAACGGCGCATTCGATTTAACCTAAACTTGAAGGAAATTTAGAGAACAGTATAGAAATTACTTAGTATCAATTTCATTGAATTCAATTTAATAATTAAAATTAATATAAATAATTGTTAACAATATAATGGCTGCGAAATGTTGAAGGCACTGATCATATGTAGTGGGAGTTAGGATATTACAATATTGTTATGGTGTTATAAAATTTTAGTTTTATTAAAAAAATTAATTGAGACTGTATTGTTTGATCGATTCCAAACCTTACTGGCATGGCACTTCCTGCCGATACTTAGATTTTGTGTAATTTTCAATAAATTTAAAATAATTTATACTCTGAGTTTGTAGGAAAAACAACGTCTTATTTGTGATTGTGTTTATTTCCATTGAAGTTAAACCAGTTCGTCTTGGTCTCGATTTCCTCCTTAAATATCGAAGTTATGTGAACTTCACCCATATTTTTATGTATGAATGTATTGATCACGTCAACTTCGAACAAACAACAAGTTGAATTTTTCCTATGGATTTTTTAGTTCCATCCATTTTACGAGTGTAAACATACCTCAACATTAAGTATAATATATCACTACTATTAGTGCAATATGTCGTATGCAAAAATTTTCAACTTATATTCTATTTGTGCAAAAGGTGACATTTTGTAGTCTGCAACTGATATAAGTAGTCTGCTACTATGGAAAGTAGCAGTTGGCAATAAAATATTAAATCATACTAATAAAGCATAAAGAAATAATGAGTTTTTATGTAATCTTGCAAAACAATAAATTTTTACATAAGACCTTTTGCACTAACAGTAATGAAATGCATGTTCAGTATGCAATTTTTTTTTTTTAACTTAGGATAATCAAATATGCAATCTTCAAATAACGGAACACTTTCGCATTTTAATATTAGCTGATAAACGAAATTCGTGGATATCAAACGCGAATGTTGAAGGGTAACTGTATTTCCAAATCAGGTTCTCCCAGAGATTTTATTCTCATACGAAAAATTGTATACCTTGCAATATTTTAATATTTTAACCAATGAAAACGGTGAGGAAGCTATACTGACCTTTCTTGGCAGACTTTTTAAATATGTTACAATGTAAATTTTCAAAAACATCTATGAGTCTTACATAAGCATTTTAATAATTAATATAATTTTAAGTATTTTTTAGCCAACATTATTTTTAATTTTAATATCCTGGGTATTTAGTAATAAGCCATTAAGTAACATTTCATCTCTCTGTGAAATCAGGCTATTTTCCAATATGTGTAACTATTTTTATATAAAAGGGTTTTTGTAGTATTGATGCACTTAAAATTTTTTTAGCGTCGATAAATAAGATCTAAATTTACAAAACCGTACTTATAAGTTTAGCATCATACAAAACGTACTTAATGATTTTTCTCATAAACCGGTGAAATATATTACTTACGAAAATTAGTGCACCGCCTTAATTTTTCGTCAAAATGATATTTAATTTTGTTTAAACGAAACAATTCTCTTGCTGTTTATTCGTTTGATTATGATTTAGAAGAATCCAAGGATTGTTGACAACTGGTGATTGTCTCTCACTCCATTTTAAGAGGAATTTGTTAAATACCGACGATTCTCTTCTGTTCGACCTCATGGTTATTCAGTTTCAATGCAGATTCAAATTAAAGGCCAGAACAGGCAAGAATAAATAATGTGGAAACTACAAATTTATTATACCTGTATTTGGAATTTTAAAATACAATTTTCTATCACTTCAAAAGTTTTGCTTTATTTCTTAAATAAAAATTCAATTTTCTATTTCTTTAAATTTTTAAAATTAAAATTCGATTTTCAAGCTTTTCAATATTTTTACTTTACTTTTTTAATTAAAATTTTAAATTAAATTTATTGTTTAATTTCTGCATGGTTTGATCATTAATTGCACAATACACCAAAATAGAGAACAAAATCCAGAATCAATAAAATGTAATTCGAGGTAGAATCATGAAGTGGTGTGGTATTTTTTACCAAGAATGTATTTTTTTTTTCAAACTTTAAATTACTTTTGATATTATTATTAGAAATTAGTCCTCTTCAATCATTTTTATCAGGATTAAAAAGTAGAAGTAGGTGATAAATAAATTAAAATTCTATATAATAAAAGAGTGGAGTGTTTGTTTATAAGATTATAAAGGCGGGAACCGTTAACAACAGTTTTATAATATTATAAATTTTATGATTTTCCATGTTCAATCTAAATTCTGAAATTATTCAATCTGTAAAAATAGTACCAGTTAAGAAATTGACATAGGTAGAGGAAAATACATTAATATTGAACCCATCGAAAAAATCAATTTTATTGATATAAAGAGTCAACCAAGTGTCCAACCTATTCCTCGTATTTTAGGCTGTAAGGGGGTTTCACCGTGCCAGGGTAGAGGGCAGGAGGTTAATGTCCGAGTTAAAAGCCTCAATAAACCCCCTCGGTACCGGAACGCGAACTCGTAATGATTTTATATCTTATAAGCTTCGGTTGCCCGGTCGATCGCCCCACCCTCCCAAAAATGTGGAACGCTTCACGATTTTGCATGTCATCCTTGCGCAGAACCATAGTGATTCTCTCTGCATTGTTCAAACTTTAGGACATGTACTGCCGAAGCAAGCAAGTGTTAAGTAACAATATAAACATTTTTCCCAAAGTTGCTGTTGCTTCAATTACTATTATTAACAGAAAAAAAATAGTTAGCGTCCCCCCAAATTGAATCCTGAATCCGATACAGCATTTAACAGAATTGATGAAGACAAGTTAATAAATTTAAATGCATGCTGCCCGTCCATCATAAACTTCAAATTTGAATCATTCCTAACTTCATTCTGCGAATAAATGATTAGGTATTACCTGAAGTCAATCATAGCAAGTTCCGCGAGAGAATGTCCTTCAACTTTTTTTTTTGGCAAGGCATTCCACAACACCCTGACATGGCTGTCAAAATATGTGATTTGCTTCATGGTCATTTTAAAGTCAGATAATGATACGTAGATTGACTTGAATAGATGTAGGAACATATAAATGATGTACAAATTTTAATTTAATGTAATGTTTACAACATTTCAAAACACAGTTCATTCTCAAATGTTTTAATTGCACTAAGAAACGAACTCCTTTCTTTTCATATCAATAAGATTTCAAATATTTGTAGATTCTCATTATGACATAGGGAGAGGGTAGGGCTTATTTCATAATCTAATACTAATGTATAAATGTGACTTCTTGGATGGCACATGATCTCATAATCGCACAAAAAATGGATTCTCGGGATAATGGATACATCGTAGAAGAAAATGGCGGAGTGAGTCCGAAAGTAGAAGGAACTGAACGAACCGTTTGGTAAGGTCCCTCCTTATCAACACTGAAAAGGAACAGTTGGGAGTTTGCTTATCTCTTTAGGGCGGGCGTAGCGAATGGGAGTCGAAAGCAGCGATGTGATTAAAGCTAATTAAGCCCCGATTTTAATTGAAAATTACCAGTAAGTTTGCCGAAGTTGTAAATTGCGATCTAGATAAAGGGAGCTATGAACTCGTAGTCAATTTTTGCTATTCTCGGAGTCCCATTTATAGCGAAATTCCGAGATCTTGGCCCACTCGTCAGAGTGTGGGAGACTTGTACAATTAATGATCTACTTATCTTGGATTTCTGCATCCACCTCTTCAGTACAAAGCGACATCTATACTCCTTCTCATGGACCCTCTTCGCTTACACCATTAAACATCGAGTCCTAGTTTGCTATAAATATTAATGTTCCCTTCACTACAGGTGGAGACGGACGGTACTCCGTTCGGGATGAGCTTCCAGGAGGACTTGCACCAGGCGGACGCAGTGCCGACCCTGGTGACCGGAGGCACCTGGACCATCGCAGGAGGCTGCAAGGGCTTCGTCATCATCGCCTCCGTCTTCTCCTCCGTCGAGGCCTTGCTGAAGAAGATGCCGCGGTGGGCGGACCACCGCATCCTCGTCATCTTGAAGGGAATCGGCTCCAACACTCTCCTCGTACCGATAATGGTAATAAATTGTGTAATGTTGTTGTTAATAATATTACTGATTACATTAAACCAATATGCGGCCTAGAATAAAATTCACTATCTCTGACCTTGACAAAGGAACAAAGAAAGCAAAATATCCCAGTTGCATTTATTTTTACGTCATACATCAGAAGTTCAGTCCAGCTTTTTACTTCAACTGATCATTGAACAAAACTTATCTGCATTGAGATCACACTTAAGACAAAACTGGATTGTACATCGTAAGTAATAAGAATCATTGTTGATTTTTCTTTAAAAATTGAGGTGTAGAAATATCTGAAAGAGTTTCAGAAAGGACGACGCAGTATGCTGAGGCGCCGCTGGCGTATACCAGGTGTCCTGTAGCATATTTAAGTTAAGGTCAATATTGTCAATTTGGCGAATACATATTCTAAAAACGCTGCAAATTATTTCACAATGGTTTATAAATTCCCAAAATTTATACATCTAAAGTAACATTACTTTCCTAGTGACAAAAAAACATATAAAGAACATCTAGAGACCAAATCAGTGCTCCTAATTGCCCGATTTTAACGATTGCTTTTGTTTTGTAGGAAATTCCGTAAAATTTTAAATAACCATGACAATATCCACAAAAAAGTGATTACTTTTTGAGTTATCCGGAACCTAATTTTACCATCCCTCGTAACTTTTTTTCCAGCTTCTTTTCATTAAAGTATGTTACATAGCTAAATTTAAAGAGCATCAAGAAGAAGACTTTAACCAAGCTTCATGGAAATCGGTATATTCTTTTAGGCTCTATAGTCTATGGCAACGCAGATTTTTCGGCCGCCATTTTGGAATTAAAGGCGGATAGTAATGTCGATGAAGGAGGATCATCCTCCGGGTGAACTCTGATTTTAAATCCAAATTTGAAAAAATCGGTCCAGTAGTTTTGGAGAAAATGCGCTGACGGCGGACGGACAAAATATTTTGTATTCGTTTTTCGAATTCTACTTATCCTGAAACGTAAAACCTCAAATTTTGATAAGGGGTTAACTTTTTGAATTTTTTGTTCGGTTACAATGGCTCATTATTGAAAATAATAAACCAAAATATAGGGTTCTATATTTATTAATAGTAGAAATAAAATAAAATTTTATTTCTATATTTATTAATAGTAGAAATAAAATAAAATTTTATTTAGTTAATATAAATTGTACAAACAATGTGTGAAGATTCCATTAAATCACCACTTTTAAGCTAACGGTTAGTGTTGCCCATAATCGGTCTTGGTCTTGCACTTTGCAAGACCAAGACCAAGGCCGCCTAACTGTTGCAAGACCAAGACCAGGACTGTTAAAACAAATCGACTTTTTAAATAAAAATTAAGGCAAAATAGTTACTAATACTTGACAATCTTAGTTACTATATGTTAACAAATGGTATAACCAATATACTTTTGCATTTAACTCATCTAATTTTTCTTTTGGGCTTACTTAGGTTTCTCTTATCTAAAAAATTACAGTAAAATCTCTATAGTAATAAGGTAATAAGTAAATGCGAGACTCTTGCGCAAGATCAAGACCATGACTAAGACTGAGTTTGTAAGACCAAGACTCGTCTCGGTCTCGCATTTGGGTAACACTACTAACGGTAGTCTGAAAAAAGTGCCGTGGCAGTAAAAGTTAGAGAACAATTTTTTGTTGGTGAAAAATGAATATCATGTGACCATTCATACTTCATTAATCGCTATTGAAGTTAATGAGGTATGAACTAATTGTTTTCGCTGAATACATTAAATCAATTATTTTCATCGAAGATGGTGAGTAAATGAGTCAGTTTTTCGACATTGTTTAAAATTAATTTTATATTTTATAAAATAGCCGACTCCAAACTGTGAGGAATGTCGAACAGCCCTCACAGTGAAGACACGTATTCGAAGACTGTCCTAGATAAAGCAGGAAAATGGCCAACTAAGGCATACGTAGATCCCTCGGCAAGGCACTAAGTGAGGACTGCAGTTGCCTGAACAAATTAACCTAATTTTTAAGAGATGGGACTTCGGAATATGATTTAAAATTTTATCAAGTTGATGGAAAATCCAACAAGATGGGCGATGATAACCTCAGAAGTATTTCGTCCTATAAACCAAAATAAAAAATATATAAAAATATATTTTATAAATAATATTATATCATAAAATTATTTTCTGTAAACAACTTACTTTAAAAATCTCATGTAAACAAATAGTATTGTTAACCAATACATTTCGTAAAAGTTGTATTGTGTATCATGTTAGTAAGAGTAATGACCTATTTTTCTTACCCATATTTAAAATATAATTTAGAATGTAATATTATATTTATACGTAATATCCCATCTATCCTACGCAGTGGCGAACTTTTTTAATTTGGATGACTGTAATCCGAAGTCTACCTACATTCTAATCAAAACAGACGTTTTATTCTTCAGAAGATTAAAATCTTTCGCCGCCTAACAAGCCTGCTCCATCTCTGCCTATCTTGGGATATTTCTTTCCATTTATGTGCACGCAGCTCTATGGCATCTTTTTGGATTCTATCTATCCGTCTACTTTTTGGCCTTCTATTGAGGCATTCATTGCTACGTAGAGGCTTCTGGATGGATTGCTACGAGCTACATGCCCTGCCCATCATAACCTCCGTGCCTTCATATCATCGGATATTGATTGACCAGTTTCTGTAAGCAGTTCTTTCATGGTATTTTTTCTGCACGTGTTAGTACTCTGATCCCAGACCGCTCCGGTTGTCATGCGAAGGAATCTTCTCTTAAATCTTTCAACATTTTTTCTGGGGTGCTGGTTATTGTCCAGGTATCACCGCCATATATCAGAACTGGCTTTATCATAACATTGTACAACCTTAATTTGAGATTTTTCGTGATTTAAATATCTTTAACAGGAAGAAGAAAACCTATGTTTGCGATAGTTGTACGCTGATCTGTTTCTGTCCGTTGGTCATTCTTTGAGGTTACCTTTAGAGACTTATTAGCCATTAATTTTTTGGAACAATAAAAAGGACTCTCAACCATAAAATACTAACTTTTCAATAATAAAAAAAAAGTAATACTAAACAGGTTTTCTGTGATACTGCACTGCAACAAAAATCATCGGACAAGACCTGCACACACCCAATGTTCATATTCTTCATATAAAATATTTCACGACTAACTCCAAGACATTACCACAAATTTAACTGGCCAAGAGATATCCTAGTGTAATTCACGTTAGAGGTGCTAATGACAATAGGTGTTGGCTTCTCTTATGGCTGACGTGCCTTATAATTTTTTGTATGTTGATGACGTCTCCTTACTGTTTAAGTGACATATTAGGGTATAAAAAAAATAATATTATATTATTATGTTCATGTCACCAAGTTTTGTTTTTATTTTTATTTTAATTTTTTCTAACACCTTTTTCAACATAAAAACAAGAAAAAAATCGATTTAGTATCCGATAAGGAAATGCTCTAATTAATGAAGGAATTCATTAATTATCAGTTATCTCATGGTCCAGAGATTTGTCAAAAAGCACTTTCACGCTCACGCTCCGCAATGAAGTAAACATAGTAAACATATTAAAATTTTACGATGTGACCTGGAAGCTAATAACGTTAAGTGAAGATAAACAGAGCGAAAAAAACAATGCAAACCTTATTAATGAAGTCGAACAGATAATTGAGTTGGCGAAATGTTGTTTTTGACTCGTGGCGTATTGCAAAATTTCTTATACAAAACCCGAAGGATGGTGAAGTACCTCGTGTTAATGTTAAAGAGACAAACAAATTTGCAATTTAATAGTTTCGCTGAACCGGGTTCAACTTTTAGAACATACCGTTGAACGGGGAACCCGGCGAGGAACCACTCCACAGTCCAGTGAAAGGACTACCGGGGATTCCCCAAGGATACCCAAATAGAACTCTTCTGAGAAGGATTGACGTCAAGTCTCTCTGCCAGCTTATCCTGGTTCGCTCCAGCTACAACTTCCTGTCCAGCTATAGAGGAACTCCGTCTCAGTTACACTTTCCTGTTGGGAATTGTATTTACGTAATGGTTAAATCTTGTGTGTGTCAATAACAAAAATACCTTACTTATTACCATATATTTAAAAAAAATGAGAAATTATAGTGTTTAATAATGCCTAGTATTAAACCCTGTCTTTTTACTATACGCCATTCTGTTTTAACTTGTATCTTTATTTACAAGTATCAAGAAAACAATATCAATAATCAGTGAGTTTGATGTTCTCACTAATACAATGGCGTGGGAGACGTGAGAAGTACTCAGTGGTCCCTCCTCCTGTCGTGATATTTATATTAATTGTTAGACTAGGAGATCCCTTATACAGCTCTTCTTCAACACTTTAGGGACGTTACCTGGCATGTGTGTTGTGGCCATGTCATAGTGAGCTTGTAATTTGTCATGGAATACTTTGTAAACAATCGATGTCATTTAATAATCGAACGTTATTATTTGAAAGTGAATCTCATGGATTTGGATTGCCAGCTATTGAGCTCTGATGATGAATGATGAAACAAAAACTTAAAATATTTCCAGATAAAGGAATAATACACAACGAGAGAATATATAACGGCCATCAAATGAAAAAAAAAAAGAAAGAAATTACAATAAATAAAACGTGTGTTTTATTAGTAGAAAATCACTGTTATTTTAAGTAAAATACAATATCACGGAATGGAGTATTGTAAAATGAAACAACTCTTTTTGGTTGTAAGGTATTTATGATGGATTTCTTCTGACTCATCTCCATTTGATGACCTTTATAACATGCACTAAGAATTACAGCTAGAAAGGTTTGGGGTAGCTCAGTAACTAACTAGACTCTTAACTTCCGAACCCGGGTTTAAGTCCAGCTGTAACTACTCACTTTTCTACACTGGCGGATCCAAGCGGAGAGGGGGGGGGGATACTCAGGCTAAAATATTTCCCCTCCCTCCCTCCTCAAAATAGATAAATATATTTTTTTTTTAACGGCAATTATTCTGAAGGAAAAAAAAAAGAAGCTACATAAAATCATGTTTAAAGGCTCTGAAAAAAAAAATTTTACAGGAACAATAAAACATTTAGCGATAAATTTTATCTTGACGTGTGCTTACATTTGGTAGCTGAAATACATGCGTTATAATTTTAAAATAATTCATATTTAGACACATTAAGTATTTAGCTCAGATAATCTACAGTAATATGGATCTACGAAAAATAAATTATTTTTTCATTTTGGTGGGAAAGCTCTCCCCTCTCTGTCGCCAGTGGTTTCTGTAAGTGAACTGGGATAAATAATATATATTTTCCTTTCGAATATTAACGCAAAAGAGTTACTAAATGTAGTCATGCCAAGAAAAATATTTAAAATTATCCTTGAAAGGATTATTGTTACAGGCATTTTTTTTCATTTAATATGTTTTTAATCTTCCAGAGTAATTACTTATATATATATATATATATATATATATCGAAAAGAATAGAATAGAAGAATCAACTTTATTCTGAGACAAAGTCCCTTAATAATAACAATATTGTACATAAAAATTAACATAACATCAGGCCAAAATGCATATTACAATAAAAAAATTATATTTATATATATATATATATATATATATATATATATATATATATATATATATATATATATATATATATATATATATATATATATATATATATATATATATATACTCCTACATCCTCAGAATCGAAAATTCGCTACTGCTTACCGATCGAATATTCATCAAATATTAAGAGATAACGGCAATACTTATTGTTGCCCAAATGCGAGACCAAGACTCGTCTTGGTCTTGCACACTCAGTCTTGGTCGTGGTCTTAGTCTTGCGCAAGAGTCTCGCAACAGTCTTGCTGTTACCTATTAGCTTATTATTACTGTAATATAGAGGTATTACTGTATTAATTTTTTAGATAGGACAAACCTAACTAAGCCTCAATGAAAAATTAGAAGAGATAAATGCAAAAGTATATTGCTTATACCAATTCTTTACATATAGTATCTAAAATTGTCAAATTTTCGTAACTATTTTGCCTTAACCAGTCTTGGTCTTGGTCTTGCGAAGTAAGCCGATCTTGGTCTTGGTCTTGCAAAGTGCAAGTGGAATTTTGGGAAACACTAGTAGTACTTCTGCTATAGACATTGTTATATATAATTTTAATTATAATAACATGAGCTAAATTTATAGTCACTTTCATTATTGAACTAACTTTATGGTATTTTTTTCGGTCTGTTTTCATATAATACTTGGAAATCAAATTCAACACAGCATTTTTTAATACATTTTTTTTCGACCGAATACTATATTTCCTCTATACTATATTTATAAGTTAGGTAATTAAGAAAATAATACTAATCCAACATATATTCAAGTAATAAATTTGAATCTATCATTACAATAAAATAAAAGAATTATGTAAGTTAAGAGGATAACTTTCTCCTTTGTCATTAACAGCTCTGAATTTATATAGGAATTCACGAGGAAGTTCTCGAGCTATGAGATAATTGTTCCATACGTCATTTCGTGTTATTTATAGTACAAAAAAAAAGAACTAAATTGTCACGAAAACTAATATTACTTTCCTCTTCTAGGAATATACGCGAGATTTATTCTACAACAATGTAACGCCTAAGAAAGTAAACGCCTTGGATTTTTTTTTTCTGGACTTTATTTATTATAGTATATACAATATCATTTTGTTATATGTGTGATTATATATATACACATACACATATATGTGATATTCGTGATAAAGATTATCATAGGACCGCGTGTTATCATTATTTATTGGCTTTACTTTTGCCTTAACTTTCTTCATTTTTTCATTCATTCCCTTTTTCCATTATTCTGTCCATTTGCTTCCTTCCTTGCTCCTCTTTCCTACTCTAAGAACCTCCATCTTATTCACTATTGAAATGATTTAAAAAAATGGTAGAGAGAGAAGAGGTTCAATGTGTTCAAAAATGGTGTGCATGGGCCAACTTATATCAATAAAAAACAATTGAACTACAAAGAACAGCCCTACTTGACATGGAAAAGTGCCGGAGTTTAAAACACACTGTAAAGGGAATTTCAAATAGAAAAGGAAAAATATATCTTCATTAGGTTCATAATCTTAGTTATAATAGGCTGACTTGATCATTTATAAGAGCTCTAGAAAAAAGAGGCAATCTAAACCCATGAAATTTTCTAAATGGTGATGAGCTGGACATCAGTCAAGAGACGATGAAAGATGGGATCTCAAAGCTCTACAGTGGATCTCCTATCAATGCAAAATAAGGTTTGATTAAAATAAATTAAAGATAAATAAGTCTGGATGAGATAACTCAACTGAGATGACAAAACTGAAAGGAAACAGAAATTCTGCTAGAGAATGTTGTAGCTCCTGTTACTCCCTTGAAAGAAGGCCCCTGCCCAGTAAATATAATATTTAAATAAAAAATAAATAAATACATCACATAATAATGATGGACAATTGAACTCTAGTTTTTAATATGAAAAGTCTAATAGTATTTCTTTTGTTCATTTATCTTAATTTTGGTGTCTTGAGGTTTTTTTTTTACATAAATTAGGCCAATTATCACCAAACATTTTATTGATACGCTATTTAATTCGACGTTTCGACCATACTAAGGGTCATTTTCAAGTCTTGATGAGTCCTCCGTTATATATTCATCATTAATGTTGCAAATAATTTGTTCAGTGAACATTAAATTGTCATACTCTACAGGGGTTTCCCCTACGTCATTTGTGGGGGAGGGGGGGGGGTTACTAATAGTATAATAGGTCTACTAATATTATTGTAAATATATAATAAAATGTATGATTGTGGATTGTTGGTTGACTGTAGTGAATAATTTAAGAGAAGAATGGTTGGAATGATCAGTCAAATAATTAGTACAAATAGATAAATATATTTAAATACATAAATATAAATAAAATAAATATATAAAAATAAATAAATATATAAAAATAAATACATAAAATCAATATAAAAAAATAAATAAATATACTTATTTACTTTTACTATATTTTTTAATGATCACCCCAACCATTCTTCCTTCTATTCCAACCATTACCAACCATTGCCTATCTTCAATGAAATGTATAGTGCTTCTTAATGTGTATAAATAAAATTATTATTTGCTATGGAATATTCTATGCTTTCTCTTCATCACTGATTTGAAAATATCTTCAAATTAAAATCATACAAAAATATGTTTGACAAAATTCATAGCAACTCCAAGTTGCGGCACCTTTGACATGTTAAGGTTCGTTTAGATATGCCAAAAACTATTGGAAACACAATTATCCAACAACTAACAGCCACAATATTGCCAAGCCCATTTTTTTTTTTTTTTTTACTTCTGTTGTTACCGACAGCTAATGACATCACAAGCTGATCACATAAAAAACAAGAAAACAAAACGCAAAAACACTATCCTAGGAAAATAGTCCGTGGTAGAGACTCATTTTTAGCAAATCATTAACATCTTGCTGAAACTTCGTAAATACCTTCATCTCATCGAAACCTACAAATATTTTAATTACGAAAAATCTCGGAATCGGGGCTTTTTCAATCTGGAGGTCGGCAAACTTTGTCTATTTAATTAGGTACTAAAAACTAGTAAATAAGCATTTGGTTTCCACTTGAATCGTAAGATAACTTGAGCACAAAATCATGAAAAAAGGTGGCCTTCAAAAATATTGAGTCGTTTGGCCTATGTAACCTCGTTATTGTGAAAATTTGGGGGTGTAGGCCACGCCAAATGGCTCAATATTTTTTAAGAACACCTTTTTTCTTGACTTTGTACTCAAGTTATCTTAGAATTCAAGTGGAAAGCAAATGGGTATTTACGAGTTTTTAGTACCTAATTAAATAAACAAAGTTTGCCGACCTCTAGATTGAAAATGTTCCAATTTCGAGAATTTTCGTAAATAAAATATTTGTAGGTTACGATGAGAAGAAGCTATTTACAAAGTTTCAGCCGGATACTAATAATTCGATCAAAAGGTGTTTGTACCACGGACTAAAACAACCATTTAAATATTTGTGTTTCCCATAGTTAGTGATATGCCTAAACGCACCTTAATATTATTTATATTGACCTTACTAACCTTAAATATTAATAACTACTTACGTTGCAGGCTCCTATAAGAATATTCCACGACGCAGAAGTAGCCATCGTCGCCTCAACGGATCTGACTACTGGCTACTTGCTGACGCAGTACAAGCGCTACTATGTTCGTTTTCGCTCCAATCCCAACTTCCCCTGGGAAAGGCTTGTAAATATAAACTGAATATTATCTTACAATACCTACACTTATTGGTATATTTACATGTAAGTTCTTTAATCATAACAGAAAGGAGGGCCTAAAGATTTCAAGGGAAGAGGGATCTCTGTGCAAACTAGCAACTGTTCCATGTTCTCCCAGATCGGCCCGATCAATGATGATGGTAAACCAGGTTGGTAAGATTATTTTTTTAGTATTGTCACTAGATCTATATTTATCAGAGCTCGTTTCTATTCCCTCCATTTTGACCAAATACCAAACTGGTTGGCTCTTACCAAGTTGGTTCAAACCAGAAGCGGGTGATGGTCCAACTGGTTCTGTGAGGACTGGATTTTGTTTCTTACCGACACTGTCCTCATTGCATAGCATTATGAGACATGTGGGTTATCTGTAAATAATGAACCAACTGTTATATCTCAAACTCTGTTGTCATCGATTGCATCTGTTGGGGAATGGATTGCAACTGGGTTGGTGTTAAAACTGGAGATTGAAAATAAGTTTCAACAAAGCCCATCAAATCACTTTCATCCTTTGTCGTTAACTCACGAAGTACTTTACTACAACATTCTTTAATAATTTTTCACCTACTCACTTCTTTTGAAAAGAACGGGTTTCTGGAAGCCGAATTAGTCGTCGACTCTACATTCAACTTGATTGCTGGTTACTTTTTGACTTGACACAAACGTTATTTTGGTTTAGTTTCCATCAGGGCGACATTTATCAGAAGGGTAGCAATTCTAAAACTATAAAATGAGTTTGAATGGATTTAGTATAACAGTGTTGCCAAAACAATCATTTAAAAAAAAAATTCAATTTCTTTCTAGGCATATATTGGTGTTCTGGCAATGGCCAGATTCTCCACCCAAGCCGTGTATATCTGGTTATAGCGCTTCTGCTCAGGCTCCACTGATCCTTAATACCAGTAATGTGGCTGAATGAGAGGCACTGGGATCTCCTGGAATCCTGCTTTTCCTTCCACGAGTGGAGGAAAAGGCTTGGCTCAGAGTTTTCCTGAGTGAATGAATTTGTAAATATTGTGTGGAAGTATGTTTGTATTAAAGTTATTATTTTGATTACTTTAGTTTTTGTTTATCTACATTTGTATTATTCATATATATCATATGCTCTATAATATATGTATGGTCTATTTCTTACCGTTGGTCATTCATTGAGGTTATTGTGGATCCGTGGTATTTGAATTTATCAAATCTCGGAAACGACTTTCTGTTATTTGGGATGGAATTTTCGAATTATTATCATATAGTTTGTTTTGTCTTCATTTACTTGTAAACCAATTTGATCTGCTTCTTAAATCAGAGTCTTGGCGAGTTTCTCAGGATGCTTCCAAGAACAGTTATTTCATCACATAATTGCTGATTATTTATTCAAAGCCCACGTTGCGGCCCACCTTCTAAGTCTTCATCAGGGCGGAATAGCTGCATGAACCAGACAGACCTTATTACATTACAATAATACAATACGTTGATCAAAAATTAGACTTAATTGCTCTTATTTGAAATAGATACGTAGTAATCTATTTTCAGTGCTTTATTTTATTTCAGTCTCAATGTTCCATTTAATACATCTGAAGTTATTATGTTTGGGATCTATTGATGATCTTTTTCTGTGAAAAAATACTTTCCTAATATACTAGCGTAGGGGAAGATGGGATAGCTGGCACTTCTTCCAACATAAAAATAAGATAACAAAAAAGAATTCTAAAAAACATACAGGCTGCCAGGACGATGACAGGCTGTTGTTAATTTTTGAACATTTTGAAAGAAATCAGTTATGAAAAAAGAACACTCTCAGAGAAATTATTTTTTTTAGAACTTGTATATTCAGAAATATTACAATCTATCCCAAAGGACATTCAAACACTATGTACAATAAATTAAATGGCAACATCATATAATATTTGTATGATCTATAATATATATAGATATATATAAACAATAAATATGAAATGTACTTGATTATTTATATTTTATCCATATGACCATAAAATATCATCCATTTATATGACCAGAGTATATCAAGAGTAAACAAAGCCTTCTTCTCCCTTTCAAAGGTATGAAAGGAGCCTCAATAAATCTCAAATTAAGGGTCTGCAATACACTAATAAAGCCAGTTCGGATACACAGCTGCAAGACTTGAACAACACCTGGCAACCAGCAACCTAGAATTAAGCATTGAAAGGTTTGAAAGAAAATTCCTTTGCACGATAACTGGAGTGATCTGGCATCAGAGTACTCCCATATGGAAAAGAAAGATCAATAAAGAGTTGCATTATTAATAGTTTATAGTCTATTTATAATATAAATGAATTAGGTACATATTGAATGAAATAAAATTCAAATATTTCTTAATATAAAAGAGCTTAAGGAATTTATTTTTTTTTGGGGGGGAGAGGGATGACGTCCATGTCTATGGCAGCCACTGTATTCACAAACGTTTCACTTATTTCTTAACATTTCACCCAAATCTATTTCTAATAACTCTTCGGAGAATCTGAAAAGAATCCACCATCCTGAAGAAGAAAATATTTTCTTAGATCCCTTTACAGTTTAAACATTGTACGCTAACAATCGGCCCTGACATCAATCTTTCGAACCACATTCCAGTAAAGCATTATCCCCCCCCCTCTCCCTGTGATGAACATGCTGTACGACTTGACGTTATTTTGCAGCTTGGTTCGGAGGAGCGGAAATGACCATGTTCCGGGACATAGCACAGCGCCTAAACTTGAGGCCCACGTTCAGCGCCGCCAAGTCCATCCACGCCGGCTGGTTCAAGAGGTCGCTCACAGGAACGAATGCGACGGACGTGGCCTTCTGCGGGATCCTGGTCTCCTCGCGGACCCTGGACGTCGAGGCCATCACCAGCTCCCAGCCGCTGGCGCTGCTCTGCCTGAAGTGGCTGGTGCCGCGGCCGCAGCGGGTCCACGACCAATGGGACGAGATCTTCGAGCCCTTCACCCCCCAGCTCTGGCTCGTCGTCGCCCTCGTCACCCTCTTCGTCACCTTCCTGCTCCAGAGGTTCACCACCGCCACGAGGAGATTGGTATTTACTAGGAATATAAAAAGTTAGTCAATTCTGGCTTAAGTACTTGGTTTGCAAAGTAAGTTTCTTGTTCTTCAGATGTAAATTTCTTACTGGTTTCTAGAATATGAACTGTTGGGGGAGAGTTTCCTTCAGATCGTCGCGATTTTGGTCTTATCGGACGTGCCTAAGTCTGCTAAAGAACAAGGAGCCATTCGTCATATACTCACATGGTTAGTTAGAACCCATTTAATAATTAATGAACTTTATAAAATATATATATTTATAAGAAAAAAAGAGTGTGAAACTCTGATTTTTTTTTTTGTTGAGATTTTTAACTAGTTGTGAAATCAAAAGAACTTTTAAATTTATCTAAAATATAAGTAAAATTTATATAAAATATAAAAGTATAAAATTTATCCAAAAAAACTTTGGAAAAATATAAGGAGTGTCACATCTTGTATACGGATGCCTCAAAAGTTGATAAGGAAGTAGGGTGTTCCGTTATAAATTTTAATACTCAAAAACTTTTCAAAATTCCGGAGGCTTGTTCAGTGTTTACTGGTGAAATGCTAGCAAATAGAGAAGCTCTTAAACACATAGAGACAAGTGAAACTACCAATTGGGCAGTGGTGACAGACTCTATGAGTTCATTACTAGCTATTGAACACACCAGGCCCAAAACCACTCTCGCAAAAGATGTAAGAAACGTTTGGTGGTTACTAAGGGAGAAGGGCAAAGAAGTAGTGTTCTTTGGGTCCCTTCGCATTGCCGGTAAAGAACAAGCCTATCAAGCATCCAACATGGCAAGAAAGCCAGATATAACATCCGTGGAATCAATTAATGAAATCCCTCTAGAGGATTACGTTATAAAAATTAAGGAAAATGTGTGGAACATGTGGCAAAACAAGTGGGAACAAGGAGAATCTAAATTAAAGAAATTAAACCCCACCGATGAAACCTCTCACCGATCGTATCGAAAAGAGGAGAAAGCCCTTTGCAGACTGCGAATTGGACATTGTGAGTTCTCGCACTCCTACCTACTAAGAGGATCATCTTTGATGATAATCTTTGATTCTCCGACCTGCGAGAGCTGCAATGTCAAAAGGACACAGTAAAGCACATTATCCAAGACTGCTCTACATTTGAACCAACAAGAAAAAAGTTAGACATGGCACAGAGTCTAAAAGAAAACCTACAAGAGAGAGAAAGTGCAGTAAATAAAACTTTAAGGTTTTTAAAAGAGATAAAACTCTACAACAGAGTGTAATTCAAAGGTGTTGCTAATGATCCTACAGGGTAGAGGCAACAAAAAAAATCAGATATATAAAATAAAATATAAAAAATTGATCTAATGAGACAAATTGTAGTCTACTAGATTTTGATTTTGGGATATAATAAAATATATTTAAGTTTTCTCAATTATTTTTCGTATTGCCTTCAAATGCTTACTTTATTGTTAACATTTAAAATAGCCCGGTTGAGTTCTGTAGGAGCTATTTAAAGTTACCATGATTGTTGAGAAAACTATGATGAAATGGTTGATAAAGTTATATATATATATATTAAGCTTTTACTTTTGTTTTTATTCACCAAGGTGGTCGATTTTTACTCTTGTCATGACAACTTCATTCTCGAGCGGTCTCATTTCCCACCTAACAAACAAGGAGTACACCAAAAAGATCGAAACTATTGAAGAGTTGATCAAAAACGATTTCAATTGGGCAATGAAGACCAGGCCAGAATTCGGTGATCTTATAAACCTCAAGGTTAAGTCATTATCTAATTTATAAGTAGTGCTTTTAAATTTTAATAAATATATAGAAAATTTTGTTTTCTTTTTTTCTTTACAGGATACCGCACAGGTGAGATGGAAGTACAGATTTATTAAAGTGAACAGTACCGAGGAACATATCAAATTGATGAAGAAGGGAAAGCAGGTGTTGTGGGGTTATCAAGTTTATGGAGGGTTCTCTTTGCCTGATTCAGACTTACCAGATGCTATTCTACGAAAATTCGAAGTTTCGTCATATTGTTTCATGGAATATTTCATTGGATTCGCCATGCGACAAGGTGAATATTTCTCTATAAAAGAAAAGGTAATATTGCTGTAATTTTTTAGTTGAACTATGGTTAATTGTGAAAATAATTTTTTTCCGATTTTGTCCATATACCGAACGAGGTGCCAACTTAACTTTTCCGCCTCTTGTTTCACTTCTTTTACCATAATAAAAGTAACAATATTTTTGGTGTTTCACTCATTTTATTGTCTATTTGAAGATTGAAATAGAAAGAAAAAAAAAAGAAACAAATATTTTTTATTTAACCTAAAAATAAAATGTTTATGCATTTTAAAACTTCCTTTTTTTCATCAATTATTCTGTGACGTATCCAATAATAGTTTTTTGTTTTCCGCCTTATATTATCCAATTCTGCCACTAAGGGCAAGCACCCTCTTTTCCCTGTTCTAGTCCCCGTCCTGCAACCAAATCACACAGATCCTCTTATTTAATTAATCCATTCTTACTTTAGTAATTCATAACATTAACTATGTTATGAATTACTAAAGTAACATAGCCGTTTTCGTTGTGGGAGCGTTACTATTCGTGACTTCATGAACACTAGTCCCCGATCTTCTTGACTAGTCAGTATCTTACATTGTTTATATTTCTCGTTCTTACAATTCCAATCAAATTAAATTCAATAACTATAACACGCAAACCGATCAATGAAGAATAAAATTTGCGAAAAACTGAAAAAATAAACGAATCCCCTTCAATATCTCTAACCCAACACGTTTTATAGGTTCACCTTTCGAGGCGCCCATCAACAGGTACATCCGCTGGTACAACGAGGGAGGACTCATCACCGCCATCGTGAAAAGTGTCCACGCAGAGAGGTACCTCAAGAACCCGTACGTCTTCAACGTGCTGCGGCAGACGAAGCAGAGGCCCGGAGAAGCGGAGGGGCTGGATCTGTCGCACCTCACCGGCATCTTCATCATCTGGGCTATCGGCACCGCAGTGGCGGTTGTTGTCTTCCTCCTGGAGATTGCGCAGAAATGTCGGGTCTAAATAAAAGGTTTTAAAATTATGGGTTTCCATAATTTAATATTGTTAATTACTTTTCCGTGAAACTAGAGAATATTTTGAAAACCAAAGTGGATCCAAACCACTTAGAACACTGTAAAAAATGTTATTCCTCATCGATATCAACAATTTAGATTAGAAGTTAAAAGGAGACCTTCGTATTAATAAATTGTATATTCTTTATTTTTATATTTACATTTAAAACAATTACATTTGTATGTTTGTACTTTTCTAAATATTCCTGAAAATTGTAGAATTTTCATGTGTTTAATAATTAATTGTTAAGATGAATAGATAAGTTGAGATGTATTGATGTAATTTATTACATTGTATTCCTCTTCTTGGTTGTACATTATTCGAACAGTTTGATCAATAATTTTTTTTTCCTTCCTGACAATTTAAAATGCATGAATGTCAATTATTAATATAATGTCTACATAACATGTGGTATATGACATCCTACGTTATATCACATCAATATACAGAAATGTAAAAAATATATGAACATATCAAAATATTCAATATTCTTTTCCAGAAATTGCCTTAAAAGTAATACAATAATAAATAAAATGAATGGTATAGTACTTTGAATACTATTTTACTAACCAATTAATCATAAAAAAAAACTTTAGAATGGGATATATATGTATATATAATATATAAATAATGTATAATGTAACATAATATCAATATATATAATATATAAATGAGTTAGGTATTTAGAAAAATAAGTAATTTCTGACAAATTCTTTGGAACTTGATCAATTGTACTTGTTACTGAAAAATACTCTTTTTGTCGTGTTTAACCAAATGAGAAAACAATAATACAGTCCAACATTATTGTTTTACTTAAAGGCTTATTTTTAAGAATAAGAAACTCTTTACTTCCATGCATCAATCCTAATTTAAAATTTTTTTCATCTTCATTTTCTGAACTATTATTAGTTCTTTGACATTCAATAATTTTCATAAAGGTCATTATTTTGATTTATCATTTCAATTAAAATAGTTATTTGAAGTATTTATTGCACTGATTAATTTACTACAGTTTTACTCCTCCAATTATGAGTATTAATTACTCCTAACGGCATTGTCCAATCCCTGGCTGTTCTATTTTTAAATCATGATGTGAGCTTTTTTGTCACCTCTTCAATTCAAGTATCGATTGAGATGAGGATTATTTAGATGTAGATGTAAATAGATATCTACATTAACTTAATATCACAACAATTTGTTTCTTAATTATTAAAATATTAAGGCATGGAATTCAGAGTTATTTATGAGATAGTAACATTTAGTTTTTTGTGAGATAATTTCAGAATTATCTCATAAATAACTAAATGTTCCCACAATTATATATATATATATATATATATATATATATATATATATATATATATATATATATATATATATAAACAATATTTCATAAGGAAAATTAGTAATTAAAATAACTGTTAATATCTAAGTCAAATAATTTATCATTTGAATCTTTAAAACATAGTTCTACAATAATATTTATCAATGAATGATATTATTATCCTAAATGATAATATGAACTTTCATTATTAATTGGAGCTTGGATTTATCATTAGTAGTTTTTATGTTTTATAATGATCATTAGATATGTCTTGCAGTGAAAGATCTGAATTTCATTACTACTTTATTTTTTAAAATAAAATTTATTTCATTGCCACTATTATATATTTATAAATCTATTGAGTGAATTTATTATTTTTTTTCATACATAAAATTATCTTTGCCATGTATATAAGTCTGACAAGAAGTGATTTATCATCTCTCATTAAAATTCATCAAACTTCTGCTGATCAAAAAAAGCAATTATTTTTTATAATTAATAAAATAAGACAATTATTATAGGTTTTGCAAAAAAGAGATAAATATATATTTTTTCTATTAAACATGCCTATATGAGGTTTATTTATGGAAAAAATTCAATATTTTTTTTACCTGATTTTAATAATGATATTTACACCGATTCAAATTACTTCAGCTGATGTTGATACTTTGTTAAATTTGAAAATATTATAATTATAAGGAAAAATATATATATTTTTTAAATATATGACTAATAATATGTAGCATTTTTTGAAGTTTCAGCAAAAATTAAGATATTCTCAAAATTTCTATTAATTGTAATATTAATTTTACACTGAAGTAAATAAAATTTGTAAAATTAAATATTCCTATGTCAGTACAGAAGACTTTTTTTATTGCAATAATCCTCATTTGTACAATAATTAAATAGTCAAACTCTTTTAGCTGTATGTTACATTTTAAGGACTAATTGTAATTATAAAGTGATTTATCTATTTTGTAAACATAAATCAGTTTATAATTACAGCTAGTCTATAGAATTTTATGTGGTTACCAAAAAAGGCATTAAAAATAAAAGCAATGGTAAAAAAAAAAAAAAAAATAGAACAAATGATTGAAAACAAACAAATCTGGACACATAGTCTAAAGAAAACATTAAAATATTATGAAGACTGAGCATGACATGTTTTTTTTCTAATAATTAATTTACTATCGTTTATTTCAAAATATAATTGCAGTTCAATAAGTTGACAGAACATATTAATTATATGACGAGTGATAAAACAGTAAAATAATAAAGGAGTGTAAAGAGGTATAACACAGCGTATTCTTGGAGTGGAGGGGATTTGCAAAATGAGATAAGAAGTGAACTCCTCCAAACCCTTCAGTCAGTCATGGAATTTCTATCAGTGTGTGTCTATGTGCTTGGCCTGGTTGTTGTAGTAGTATCAGGTGAGTTAAGTCAATTATAGCTAAACCTTTTTCCCGCCATTTCAACTTTTCCAGATCTTATAAAAATACATTATCTGTATTTTATAATTGTTCTAAAAATCAAAAATCATTATTACACTACTTCATAAAATAATTGTGAAAATTTATTAATGCAAATAATTAATTTTCAATATTATAAAAAATAGAAATAGCATTCTTAACATTTACGGTATCAATACATGGGCATAATTCTATTATGAACTTATTAATTACTTTTTTATATGAATAAAATTAATTTTTATTAATTCTATTTAGTTATTATATATATTTATAATTTATTATTTACAAAGAAGCTAAGAAATAGCTTTAGTATTTCCTCAAACAACATTCTTATATCTATTACTGTTACTTAAAATATTTTTACTTTTTTGTTTGTTAAATAATTAATTTTACTTCAAATAATAATAATGATGGTTAACAATTGTGAATCTATAGTTTTTTATTTTAATTTTCCCATTCAAAAATAAAATTTACGTTTAAAATATTAGTATCTAATTGGTATTTAAATTATAAAATTATGAAACATAATTAAAATGAGTACTAGGTATTCATCTTTTGCATGTGGGTAGTTGGCACACTAAATAGGGACCTACTGTTTGTTTATATGAAAATAATTTTTTCAGTAAAAATCACAATTTAATTTTCTCCTCTTTGTTTTTTTGGAGTAAGTAATCAATCAATTTTTCCCATGTCTGATATGAGCGCCATTCTTTCACGAGAGTAAGATAAAAGTTCTTAACAGATAACACTAACTAATATTTGCTAAAACTGTATTCTTGGCTATAAAAGAAACACAAGGGGAAAAATATCTATAGTTTTTTTTTTTTTTTTTATCATCAGGTCAATTAAAACTCACAAAAATGTATTAATTATATTTCATCCTTTTGGACTGGACATTTTACTTTACAACTATTATTAGACTTGAAAATCGTAACTCATTTTTATCATAATAATTTTCAACTTTTATGATGTTAAAATTAAAGCAGAATCATTGCAGGTGTGGTGATTATTTTAACAATATTTGTTTCATGTAATTTAACATTGCCCAAGACATGAATTATTTGCAAATATTTTTAAAATGATATTAATCTAAATTAAAAAAAAAAAAAATCAAATGATTTTTTTTTCAGGCCAAGAAAATGATGATGTTCCTAGGATTCCAAAATGCTGCCCATTGGGGCAGTCAATCATACCTCAACTTGGTTGTGTTGAAAAAAACTTGACTTTTGTTCCTGAATTTAAGGATACAGAACCTAAAATAGTCGATTTAGTGATTGGGGACAGGTGTAAATATGGAAAGTAAGATCATTTATATATTATAATTTATATATTTTATCTAAGATGTTAACATTTTATAAGAATATATCAAAAGTACTCAACTTAAGTATATACCCACTTTAGATCACGCCTCTCTAACATTTCATTTAGAAAACAAATCTATATAAACAATGCTGATTTTGGTAATACCAGAGGATTAATTGTAACTGAAACTATTTTTTTTAGTGCTTTTATCATAATATTTATTGAATCTCTTTGATATTAAATAACAACACAGTAATTTTATTTAGAAAACAATATACATTATTTAGCTCTTTCATAGCTTGTTAGATCTCCCTTAAATTTTTCCCCCACGCAGAGTGCACCTTTCTCCATGTTAAAAACCTCTGATGTACATTATCATATTTATTTTTGATCTATCATATACAATAATAACTCTCATATCTTTTGATGTCAGGCACCTATAGTAGAAGTCAGTATAAAAGACTGAGCATTTTTCCACGATAAAATATTACCAACTAGGAGAGCCATATGTTCTCTACCACCTTATTTTCGAACCTTTACTATAGTGGCAAAGACCCAATGCAAGTGAGGGAGAAATATCACTTTCTCAAGATCATCTGTCTTAAATTCTGACTACAACTATCATTAAGATATTTTGCCATGCCTGTAGATGGCAGTCATTTCTTTTATATTAAAACTTTATAACTAAGAACCTTTCTTATATTTTAGATATATTCTGAAATGTGTTCCTGCATTCACTTTATTTCTCCTTTAAACTGATTTTTACTTACAGAATCACTGCAGAACCACTTCTTTTGTAAAATACAAAATTATTACAACTAGAGCTATTGATAAATTTTTTGTCCAACTTCATTCTTCATATTAAATACATATGTGCTATGATCTGAAGTATACTTAAGCAAGAAAATAGGACAATTTTTTTTTTTCAATGGCACTACAGCCTGATGTGGACCTTGGCCTCCTCAATGAGCCTTCGCCAGGTGGCTCAACCTGTGCAGCCGCTCTCCAATTCCATACTCCCAAAAAAGCCTGAGCATCCTTTCCGACCGCATCTTCACATCTCAGCTTCAGCCTTCCTTTTCCTCTCACCGGTCAGTTTTTCCAACAGTAATTTCTTGGATATTTCTTCTTCGTTCATACTTGCTAAGTGGGCCTGCTCATCTCAGTCAACCACATATTATAAAACGAACAACATCCCCAAACAGTTCATATACCTCCTCCACTGGTTCCCTGTATTGATGGATCCAAAAATACAGCACAAAATCTTTCTTTCGAAGATAAGAAGTTTTTTCTCTTTAGAACTATTCATGGTCCTCTGTAGCATAGTTTAGCACTGGTCATATTAGTATTTTATAAAGTTGGCTCTTGGTCTGACAAGACAAGGCGTTACTGCTAAGGAGCTTTCTCAGGCCAAAATAACAGCAATTCGTCTTTTGTATTCGGGCATCCCTCTGTCTCAATCCTCTCTTTGTAATGAATTCAGGGGACAAATGCAGTTGCACCCAGACCGCACACCTAACATCAGTCATCGTAATTTGGATTAGCTCATCCCAGCTTGGGATTCCGAACTTGTGCAAGGCTTCATAGAGCTTAGGCCTCTTAATGCTGCCATATGCGCTTCGAAAATCTATAAAAAGATGTTGTGTGGCCATTTTATACTCCACACCTTTTTCCTCAATCAAACACAGTCCGATTGACAAACAAACAAACTCCAATTTCCTCCTTTGTGTGCTGCTTGCTTGGAACTCCTTTAGCTTAGATGTGTTTATTTTTTTTTTCTTTATTGTCTCATAGCTTTCTTGCATTGGATATTCAAACTCTGAGTTTTGATATCACTAAATAGTGATCAGGATCCATATTTTCACCTTTACATGTTCTGCAGCTGATAAGATCTGTCATATGTGACATAAATAATCAAATTATACAGTAGCTAGATACAAAATAAATAATCTTTTCAGATGGCTTGAAAATGGCATTAAAAGCCAACGTTGCCAGACAAGTTAAAAGCAAAACTTTGCCATGTTGTGAAAATAATAAAGAATTGGTGAAATATATAAAGCCTAGAACATTTTAGTAACTATTTTTAAAATTTTTGATGCAAAATAATTCACTATTTTTAACAGCGAAAATTGAAATGTTTAGGTATCGATTGGAACCAAGTAAGGATAGTATGGATGAGTTTTATCTCCTTCCAACTGGTTACCTTAAACTTCCATTTCATGAAGAAAGTGAACTTTCACCTGATGAGTATTGCCTGGAAAGTTTCGAAGAGCCTGATGGTACAACTAAAGTTCTTCCACTTCTTTGCTTCCCTCCACCACCACCAGACCGTTATTGGAATGACTTTGGAATAAAGCTATTCCGCATTGGTTAGTATTATTTTAATCGTCTATTTAAAAATAATAATAAACAAAAATTTAAAAAAAATACTGTAATTATTTTGTATTGAAATACTATTAATTGGTAAAAGTTAATTATTATAAATTCTTTCTTCAATAGTTTATGAGACTCGTTGCATGCATTTTTGGGTTTATAAAAGCATATCAAATATTCTTTTCATAAGGAACAATATTACATTGTTTCAAAATGATAAAATGTCATTTTTCCTGTAGTTTGATTGAAAAAAAAAACAAGATGATATTATGTTTAGAGCCTATTGATATTTAACTTATTCTACCTCTTACAAGAGTTTTGTAAGTTGAAAAAAATGTTTTAAATCAACTATAGCGATCAGAGTTTTGTAAGCACTCAACACTAATTTATGTATATTAAGAAATTACGCTCTCTGATTATAATAAAATATGTTATGTGCTGAACTGAGGACAACAAGCTTACAATAATAAATAAAAAGTTATAATTATAATGAAATAAATAGTAAAAAACATATAATATAGACAACATAAAGCATCAAAAACCATTCTTTGATCTGCTGTATGAATATTAAAAAATAATTATAACAAACTTTTCCTCTACATTGACATAGAAATAGCCCCCTTCGATAACTTTTTTTTTAACTTGCATCTATTTAAAATCAACAAGGAGAACTCCAAACCTGACTGTAGAGAGAAAAGTAGAACCACAAAAAAACCCACATTTTTCTTTCAACCGTATCACTGGTACCAAAAGTGAGTGGAGGTTGCGCAAGGGTGCTATAGCCACTGAAGTATACTACTTGAGAGCACAATTATAGCCACTGCGATAGTTCCAATATATACATATTTACAAAAGGCTTCAAAGAAGTTTGTTGGGGTGAATGGAGCTAGATAAGGATTGTGCTAGAGGATTAGGATGATGCCTAAAGTTCTGGTGAATTTGGGGAATTCTATCTGGGATAAGACTTAGAACAAATGAGATATTAAGGTTGTTATGAAGTGCTTAATTGATCATGGGTAACAGAAGCATCAATTATTATTCTAATATATAAGAATATTAGACAGGAAGGATTGGGTTTATTTGATGTAAGAAGAGTTAGCTTTATCTTACAGTTCTAGGTAATAATAATAATAATAATACTTTATTTATTCTGGGACGAGTCTCTTTAGAATAATACAGGAAGACAGAAATGTGGGCTAAGGAGCCTCAGAGATACATAAATAAAAATACACAGTAATTGAACAGTCCTGGTGAAAAAAAAAAAATACATATATATATATATATATATATATATATATATATATATATATATATATATATATATATATATATATATATATATATATATATATATATACATACACATATACATATAAGTTTCTTTCCAATTTTGATCAGTTGATAATAAAAAAAAAGTTAAAAAAATTGGAGTAAAAATAATGAAGAACGAACTAATAATTTATGTACATATTTACAGTAGTATCTATTTACAATTTTATGGGGACTGGATTGATAAGAAATGATTGAACAGGCGGGATTTAAAGGTAGGAAGGGTATTGGATTGACGGATATGGGAAGTTATGGAGTTCCATAGGGATGAGAATCGATTTGTTGAAAGCAGCGGTTCGGTGAGGCCTTATATATAAATCAGAAGATCAGGAACGAGTATTGCGGGAACGAACAGAGGATTTGAATTGAAGGAGCTGAGAGATGTATAAGGGACGGTGGGATTGGATGACTTAAAAGAGGAAGGATGCCAGGAAATACTTATGACGGTAGGAAGGATAAAGCCACTTTAACTCCGCATAACAATGGGAAACAGATGCGTCCCTTGGGATCCCGAAGATGAATCGTACAAAGCAATTTATCAAACGTTTTAGTTTCGCCTCGAGATCCCCAGAGAGGCCCCATATACTGTACAGCAAATTTATTGTCAATAAGCCATATTGTCAGTTAAGCTCTTGTCTTTTAAGTCTAGTATGTGAATTCTACTAAATTATTGGTAAAAACTGCATTTATAAGATTATTATCATAAATAAATTAAGCAGTGAACTGTTGTTATAAATGTTATTGTATTAATTTTTGTAATTTTATTTTAGGTTGCCTGATATCTATTCCATTCTTGATTATTACTATGGCTATATATTTACTCATAGAAGAATTGCGAACTATTCATGGAAAGATATTGATATGTTATTCATCCTGCCTTGCGATTGCCTATGCAAGTCTCTCTTATGTACAGTTTGAAGGTGACACGTTGGCTCAGAATGCCTGCATAAGCATTGGTAAATAACTTAAAGATATTATGTATTCCTTTTTTTATTAATATTTATGTTCAGAGATTTATTAGGCAACAAAACAAAGTTAGCTCTCTAGTCAAAACTGAGTTGGGTGGTGTTAGAATTTATGTGATAACATGTTGCTTAAAATTTGTATGGATACTATAAACTAATGAAGATTTTTTTTTTTTTTTTTACAGCATTCTTGATACAATTCTTCTTTGTTTCCAGTTTCTTTTGGTTGAATGTTATGTGTTTTCACACATGGCGAGCAATGACGTTAGTATAAAGTTCATTTTTTTATAAAATTTAAACTTTTTTTTATTACAGCCTATTTCTTGTATATTTATTGACAATCTTGAATTTAAATAATAATTTAGAACTTCATATGGCTAAAATTTTATCAGTATTTTATAAAATTCCAGAATATAACGTATACAACTTATCTAATTAATGAATATAACTTATCAAAGTATTATATTTCAATTGAAGCATAGAAATAATCCTAAATAGCATTAAAGAATTAATTTTAAAATTGTGTCTAAAAAGTGGTTTAAATTATTAAAACAAAAATAATATTATTATTTTTCCCTTTTTAGAAGAAGTGAAGTTTTTGCCAAGAAAAGTACATCATGCAAACGCACCTTCTTCTGGTACTCAGTCTATGGCTGGGGTTGCCCTTTTGTCATCTTGGCAATCTCATTAATAATGGACCTGACCCCTACGATTCCTACCTCTTATATAATTAAGCCAAATGTTGGCCTAGAGACTTGCTGGTTCAAAGGTTAGTTAATATATTATTATACTAGCGTTATTTATATTCTATGAAAATCTACATTTTTAGTGAATAATGGTATAATTATTCAGAGACTCATGAGGTTGAATTTTTATAGAATATCATGATGATTTTGTTCATAAATCATATTCAGCTAAAAAATTGAACTAACAGTTTTTGGGGAGGAAATCCTTGTAGAAAATACATTAAAAATTTTCATATTTGAAAAATGTGATCACATTTTGACCTCTACAAAACTTAATTATACATTGACTTTGTGTCTCTTTAATTATGGTGGAAAAACAAACGTTATAAAACAAAAGAATCAGTATATTATTCATAATTTTTTAAAATTAAATATACTGTTATAGGATGGGTCCGTTTAATATATATAAACAGGATAATTAATATATATATATATATATATATATATATACATATATATATATAAATATTAATTATCCTTTTCTAATAAATGATGGTTATAGACTAGGCAACATTTTCTTAGCATATGAACTATTCAGGAGTATTAATACTATAAACTTAAAAGCAGATTTTGAATTGTCATTGCAGATTCTCTCCTGGTCAGAATATACAAAATATTTATTCAATTGTTATCAATATATTTATTATATAAATATTTTATTAAAATATAAAATTATTTCTATATAATATTAAGATGTTTTGGAAGTACAAACTATAGTATCACAGTGAAATGCAAACTATAGTATCACATTAAGATGAAAACTATAGTATCACATTGTAAACTATTTTTCATTATTTTATCTTTTTATTATTTCAGATGATACTGCAAAACTTTCTTATTTCTATGGACCCATTTCAGTACTTCTAGTGGCCAATGTTGTGTTTTTTCTTCTCACTATTTGGTACATGCACGTGAATTATAAGAAGGGACCATTGAATAATATGAGAGATGTGGCTATACAAATAATGATCAACAAAAGAAAACAAATGTAAGTTGTTTTTTGAAAGCCCTTTAAAGTCAACTTACTTTGTAATACGTCTCATGTTTCTTTCATGACGAAAGAAGCAAGAGTAGTATGGTATCTTCGATATTTTAAGTCATTTATTTATTATGATTTTTAAAATATTTTTGCAATAATTAATAAATTATTTTTGTTTTTAGCTTTATAGAGTCTGTCCTTCTTTTTTGTGCAATGGGACTGAATTGGGTTCTTGAAGTTATATCATGGCTAGTGACAAGCTCCCAATATCAAGATACTGTGCCTCAATTATGGATTTTCATTGATACTTTTAACACTCTTCATGGAATCATCGTTTTCCTGGTCTTTGTTGTTCGAGATTCAAAAGTGAGAAAATTAGCTCTAGAAAAATTCTGCTTCAGATCACAATATCGTTCAGTAGAACGCCATGATCCACAAAACTCGAATTTTGTATAATTGTCATCTAAGATGAATATAAATATAGAAAAAGTTGTATTAACTTGCCATGCACAGCTGATAGCAATGCTATGGCACAATTAACAACATTTCATGATCATAAATAGTCCTTTTACTTTTTATGATAATTCTTAGTTCATATGATTCTTAGAAGTTATTAAATTGAAACCAGGATGACAATGTTAATTACCAATATACTGGTAATTATATTAAATTATATAGTCAGCTTTTCCCCATAGCAAACATAGTTTTGAAAATTGAACTCGATTCAGTATCTTCCAATGGTGCACAGAATTTTTTTAAAGATCATTCTCTCCGTAATGTGAACATTGCATCTGTGAAAGGAATTAAAGTTCAAATTTGTACATATATTCTTTTTATTGGACTGATTAGATATAGAGCAGAGGAATTTCAATTAATGGAATGAATCAAAGATTTGGATTTTTGTAATTTGGATTTTTAATAAAAAAATATTTTGTATTAGAATAGATCCTTTGTATATTTGTCAATTAGAATTGTTAAAGGGAAAAGTTGATTAATTATCTGTGATGAATTATTAAATAGAGATTTTTAAGCCTAATAAATATTAAAGAATTTTTTTTCTAAATAAAAAAGAAAATTCTTAAAATTCATCTGTATTTTAGTATTCATAGTATTAAATATATTTTCACCTTGAAATTTGTTGCTAAATTTATCTATTTTATTTATTATTATTTTTAATTATATGTTCAAAAGTCACTGTTACCTTACAGTAGAATTGTGGATGTGAGACTGTTTCACAATTATCTTGCATTGAGGAACAATATAGAATAGCAAAGGATTTCTTAAGTTATTGGTATACCAAAACCAAAATCTTTTGTTTGGATTAAGTATAGCTTTGAAATATACTGAGAATCGAAATAAGTGGTTACCTTTTTTTTTTATTTCTTTAAGTTTTCTCATCAATTATAACAGTTATATCTTCGTGATCTATTGAAATGACAATAATAACATATGAAAACAATTAGAATCAGAAAAAAAAAAGGTAGCCTTTAAAAATAAAATGTATGGTTTGCGCTTTTCATAGAAAATTTTCTAGATCCACTCTTAAATTTTACAATATTCCTGGGAAGTTGGTAATCCCTAAATTTGTTTTAACAGCTCAACCTTAGCTGTTCAATAAAGTTAAGATGTGAACTTCATGAAAACCAATTTAAACATAAAGTTTTTGTTATTTATCAAGAAAGCGTGTGCAAGATTTTATTGATGACTACTTTTTCTGTTTCTCAGTATATATCTCATGAAATATTAATTTCTATAAATGCTATAACCAATAATTGTAGCCTTATAAAATGCAAGGTTTGTTCTAGTTCCTACTGATCTGAAATTGGTTTTTAAGAAGAAGTGTTTTGTAATTTAAATAATTTAAGGAATATAGGTTGTTTTGTACATATTTTAATATTTATTTATCATTATTAGTGTTTATTTATTATTTATGTTTTCAATAATTTTATAATGAATAACTTTAAGAAAACTGTACCTTTATATCATATGTATATATTTATATAAAAATACTTTAAAATGATCTCATATATTTACATATGATCAATTCCTACCTCAATATAATCTAAAATGATACAATTTTGACTGGTAACACTAGATGGAATATATATCTAGGATTATAGAGTCAATGGAATTAAATTGCAAATAATAAAAAAAAAAATTATTTGAAAAGAGAAAAGTGTATTTTACTTTATATTACATTACTTTACATCATTTTCCTGTTTAAATATTATTTCAAATATTTACCATGTCAGTCCAATAATTCTTAATAATTATTTTCATTGCCATAAAATAAAATAAATGTATACATAGCTAACATCTCTTAATTAAAAATAACCACTCTACCAGATTGGTTTCAAATGAAATAAAATCAAAATTGGGTAGTAAAATTTGAGTACTTGAACACCCTCAGTGCACAAACCGCGCCCTGAAGATGACCTACATGTTTGGGTTGAAACGTTGGCATAAATAAAAAATGATTTTTTTTTTTTAAATAGACTGTTCTGAATATTTATCACCCATGATTTGTAGAACAGTCGACTAACTTCCTTCAGTAGTAAAATTTCATTGTTTCATTGGGACCGAAATAGAAATTAGTCAGAATAGAATGATCTTTATCTCAGTGTTAACCAGGAACAACTTATGAGTCATTCATGAAGTTGAATGTATATTCAAGTCATTATGATGGGAATGTATATAAAAGAATGATCATATCTATCAAAACTTTAGTGGGCAATTGAGTCATGCTGAAGTTAAAAATCATACAACATAATACTGGAGAAATAGGGGTTACTATCCTAATTATACCGCCAGACAGTTTTCTATAAAACATTTTACCCATCACAGTAAATGAACCGATCAATTTTCCCATTGGTCTCAAAAAATTAATTTTCTTATAATCATTATGTTTACAGAAAAATATTTTTGAAAAACATAATCAATCATACATAGGAAAATTTAGAAACAGTTAAAAACATATTATCAATGAGAGTTTTAATTATTAATCTCTACCAAAATACTCTTACAACTCTATAAGCATTAATTACATTATTGAGCATGAATTTTCAGTATTTCTTTCTCTAAAGTAAGTTTCATGTTGATTAGATTAAGAAAAAAAGTTATTAAAATCAGAAATAATTTCAGCTCTCCTTATCTGATGTAGTGCAAAATGGATAAATATGAACTAAAAAAAAAAAATGACAAATTTTGGTAAAAATGGGGGAAATATTTTCACATGTTGAAAATAAATTTCTTGAAATAAGATTAGTAATATAGTAGATATATAACATACTGCTGGAAAGTATAGATTTTAGTAAAAATTATTTTCAAAATACAAAGCCTTAAAATGTAATGGAGAATGATGAAAAACTAATGACTTTTAATTGTTGTTGTTCATAATGACTACTTTTAATATTAAATGAAAAATAAATATTTCCATGGAAAGTAAACGAAATTTTCATGAAAAACAAATGGAAAACTTTAAACTATATTTTTAATTTGATAACCAAAAATATATATTGTACACAGCATTACCATACTGTATTATAATTTTTCAAAGTTTTTTTTGTTTTTTTCTGTAGGCATTACAGACCACGTAGATCTTTTACCACCTTAACAAGGTGGCAACTCAACAAGCTGGCACCTTAACAACCAGCTCCATCTCTGCCTGTCTTGGGCTATTTCTTTCCATTTATATGCATGTAACTCTATTGTATCTTTCTTGATCTATCCATCTGCTTTTTGGTCCTCAGTGTGGTCCGCGTCTTCTTCGTTCATGGGGTCCCCTTAATTGATAAGTTCCTGAAAATGTTCTTTCCAGATGTTCAATATCTTGTCTTTTGATGCTGTCATAATGCCATTTTTTTCTAAGATTTGCGTATTTCTCGCTCTATATCCAACTCTCCCTTTTGTAATGTCTGCGTAGAATTCGCTTATATCTCCACCCTGCCAGTTGTCCTCGATGGTTTGCAACCATTCTTTGAGGAATTCTCTTTTTTGCCGATCTTATGGTTTTGTTTGCCTTTTTCTTGGCAGCTGTGTACTTGTCCTGAGCAACTTGATCAGTTTTAGTTAGGATGAGGACTTTCATTTTTCATCTTTCCTCTACCGCCTTTTTTCATTCTTCTGTGAACCACATATTAGCTTTTCGTTACTTCTGAATACTGACCACTTCCTAAGCTGTTTCTTTTAGTCCTTTCTTTATTTCCTCCCAGTGATGGTCCACCGTGAGGCTATCCGAATCCAAGAGTTCGAATTTATTTTCTGAAGTTGGCACTTATAATTAAAGAAGCGTACAAGAAGTTTATTAAATTAATTAAAACTAGGGTAGTAAAGTTGTGTGATGCACCAGTCCCGATTTTTGTTATTGATTTAATGGTAAATTGAATTGTTAAGTTTGAATTTTTTTATTTAAAAAATTCATACCCCCTTCGAAATGTTCCTCCTCGAAAATTTAAAACTCAGACAAAATGTGTCCTCCAGCAAAATAAATGATACTTTAAAAACCTATATGAATGTACATTAATGGTTAAAACCTTCATCTATAAAGATGTGGTGGATAAAAGTGGAAATGTTCATAGACTAATCTCTTTTAATCAAACTATTTTTACTTTCACTTACGTATATATGTAATATATAGTAAGGGTAAGTATTGCGATCGTGAAAATTTTCGAATCTCAGTTTTCAACGAAAATGCATGTTTTGAGGTCCCCTGAGTTCAAATGACCAAGTGTCACAAAATGGTCTGTGTGTGTGTGTGTGTGTGTGTGTGTGTGTGTGTGTGTGTGTGTGTTAGGAGTCTAGCTCATAAACGAAAAGTAGTACGAAACTGATATTAAGTATTTAAGGTTTGTATGTGGGCCGGATGTGACAGCAACTTTTTCGTTAAAATCGGCTAACCGGAAGTGCCACTTTATATGAACCCTGAAACACATTTTTACAATTTTCTCAAAAACGGTTCTAACGATTTTGATCAAACTCGGTGTATCATTGTATAATTAAGTGGTCTTTAATATCATTTAGGTCTTATCCCCGTAGATATCACTTTACAGGGCTTAAATGCCCAATGTTCATATGTCTTCCTCTAAAGTACCTTTAATATGGTTTATTTTAAAAAGTTAACCATTTCGCATTATTCAGAGTTACGAAAAAATGCTGCATATAACTTTTGAAAAAATTTGATAAGTTAATAAAGGAGAAAAAATAAAATAAAAATTCAGAAAAACCTGCGTTGCTATAGACTGTAGCGCCTAAACGAATGTACCAATTTCAATGAAACTTCGCTGAAGTCATTTTCTCGATACCCTTTAAATTTATCTATATAACATATTTCAAAGGAAAGAAGCTGGAAAAAAAGTTATGAGGGATGTTAAAATTAAATTCCGAATAACTCAAAAAATATACGCTTTTCTTGGGATATTGTATATGGTTTTTTAAAAGTTTATGGAATTTCCAAAAAAAAAAAAAAAAAATCGTTAAAATCGGACAATTAAGAGGAAAGATATGGTCTCTAGTTTTTTTTCCCTGAAGAGGCGAAAATTTGGATAAATTTAAAATATCGTTTTTTAATTGTTGAGACTAAAAAAACCTTTTTCCTACAGATATTTAATAAAGTGTCTTTCCTAAGAACATCTTTCATAAGAAATAAGTATCTAAATTTATACCTTTATTCTCAGTTCTATATTTCAACACTGCAATTACCACCTCTGGAATCAACTTACTCATTGTCTGCATAGATATCTTTTTCAACTAAAAATATCACTAAACTGACATCACTCAAAAATGTTGAAATTGGAGTTAGTCATTCTGTGGTTTATAAAAGCAAAGAAAGTTGTGTGGTTTATAAAAGCAGATGGAGTGACTAGATTTTGATTGCCTGTCGTCGATATATTAAACAGACATTTTGTGATTATAATGGTCTTAATGACTTGTTATCTGTAAGCTTTAGCTCCGTTTAAAATTCACTTCAAAAAATTTTATAATAGCCCAGCATTGCCAGAAAATAATTTCTATTCAAAGCAGATCGGTAAGTGAAAGTTGTGTGTTGCGCGCACTAGAGTTTTAACTTACTAACCGGAAATAACGAGCATACCAAACCCCACTTCTTAAATAATTTTACACACTTCCCCACTGTGACGAAATAATGCAAGAGTCTGTGAATCTTGACGAAGATTGTGCAATACCAATTTCCGATTGCTTTAATTGCAGTTGATTTTTTTTTGGATATAGCTTCCCCAATTTTTTAGTTTATATATTTCAACCGAACATATATACAATAAGTATCAATCCCACAAAAGAAAATAATTACGAAGACTTTCACCCTTTCTCTAAGAAAAGACCGCGGTACTAGTACCGCCTGCATTCCATGTTAGTATAATTATTATTTTCAGAAATAAAACCCTTTTTTATTTTCAATTTCCAGCCCGAAAGCCTCTCCTCTCTCCCCTCCCCCTCCCTCTCCCGTAGATCCGCCTGTAGCCTGAACAAAGTACGAGTAAGTATATTTTTATTAACGTCCAATTATAATATAAGAGCCTCCCTCCCTCTTTAGTCCTACATTGAAACAGAAAAATATGTTGTATTTAATTTTAGTAAATTATCTGCTTTGAGCATTATAAAATTGTAGGATAATTTAAAGGTGTGTTTAGACATTTCATAAACTATGGAAAAACAAATATTTAAATGGTTGTTACCCTACGCTAGTGTTTTTATTTATTGTTTTTAACGTTTTTCATCTACTGTCGGGAACAAGAGAATTAAAAAAAAAAGAATATCGCTGTTAGTTAAGTTAGATCAGAGGTCTCCAAACATGGCTTGTAAGCACCTCCAATCTGGCCGAAAGTTTTTTTATTACATGTTAAAATTTTAAAACTATTAAGATAATACATTTAGCGAATTACTCACACAAGGGGTTACTACAACATATATAGCATGGGTTTTTCTCTCTTATAATGCTCATTTCACCGCCTAACAGTGCCATTTTTAGAACAAGATTTTTTTTTTCATTATAAGCCATGACCCGAGGGAGGAGGCCTCAATACGGCCCGTGGGCCAAAAAGTTTGAAAACTCCTGAGTTAGATAAATATTTTTCCGTAAATGTTTGTGAAATGCCTAAAGGCACCTTTACTGAATTACTGCTAGGTTGCGCCACTTGCAGGTACATAAGTCTACAACTGTATGTAGATCTATACTTTTCTGCCAGATTTTTTTAAAAATAAAGTTTATTTCTTAAGTCCTCAAATTTAATTTTCAAGTTCCAACTTAATAAGGAAAAGAATGAGTTTTCAACGCTGTAAATCATCACTGGAGGAGAGAGAAATCAAGGACCATAGGAAGAATTTTTCCGGGTCCACCATTTTTTTTAACTTGTAATTTACAAATTACGAACTGGTCGGCCAGGTCCCGGCTGAACCCCATTTCACCGCTCATGGAATAAGTTCCCAGTACCCTTCAACACATTTACCTGATTATAATTCTCAAGCAATTAGTTATATTTTTTTTCAATTTTCTTTGTTTTATTCGTTAATAAATAAAATTACTACTGTTTTCAGAATAAGTACGTATATTCTTTTAGCACGGGAATAAGTCCTTTTTATCTCTTTTGTTTCTTTCTTCTCTGATCACAGCTATATTACCCGCAAGCATGAACGTAATTCATCATTAAAAATTGCTATTAATAGATTTTTATTTAATATGATGAGAATTAACAAATATTCAGATCCTGCCTCATTACTCTTATCATATCTAATGACCGTCATAGTTATAAATCTAGCTGATAATGGTTAATTAGTATTAAATATTAGTATAATTGAAAACTATTGGTAATGACATGGTGCAACTATTGACCCTATAGATTACAGAATGAGGTCAGCATTGGTCGGCTTATAATAATTGACAATAAATCTGCATTGATTTAATAAAATATAATTCCAAGAATCAAACATTATAAATTCCGAGAATAGCTGAAATAATATTCACAATTGATACCTTCTGAGTCAAGAAAGCAAAACTAGTCTAGAATACATTAGTAATTAATAACAGCGAATCAGATTAATAAGAATGGATAATGCTATGAATATTCTGGCGTCGATAATTTATCATTTCAAACATCACCATAATTATATTATAAACAAATATGACAAAAAGTAAGTAGTTTCTTTTGATCTTTTAAAAACAAACCTTGTCAGGTGACAATTATTAAGGCAGCATTACGACTTTCCCTGTTTCATAAAAATATATACATAAATGGAATATAAAAAATAAATCAAATGAAATATTACTTTAACTATCTCTGAATAATTTGAAGTTTAAAATGGCTAAATAAAATAGGAATTTCTCAAACACCTGTCATAGGTGTAATTATTTGGCGAGGATCGAAATTAAAATTCCAATATGTTATACTTTTTGGGAATATTAAATTTTGCGGTTTAGTATAAAAACTAAATAAAAATAGTTTACTATTATTTAATAATGAATTCGGGTTGCGTATACTATTACCTTAGCATTGGAAAAATCTGCTGTTTAGTAAATAGCCAATGGAGAAACGGTTGGGTAGGCTTATCACAGTTCAATTAAAGTCACGATGTATTGCTCTTTTAAACACAATCGAATTTTAGCAATAAATACTAAATCCATTGCTAAAGGTATGTTATTGTTTTAAACTTCGTTTATTGGTTTTTAGCTATTGTTATTGAAATCATAACCTTTCTTACTAGCCTTTGCCATTTTATTTATTTATCAGTATGAAAAGCTCTAATTAAGATTGTAGAAAATCATCTTTAGAATTTATTTTGTAGTTCAGCAATTTTGGATTATGTGTCATTGTGCAACTTTACCTTGAAACTTTGTTCAAGTAGCTTTGTATGAACCTTATTTTACTAAATCATTATTATTTGTTTGTAATAAAAATTTCTATTGATTCCAGGAACAAGGTTTAAGAAATCAGTTCTTACAAAGCAATGCCCTATTTGTTCTCCCCTACAACTAAATTTGGCTAGAAGTATAGCTTCGTCTTGTAACAGTTATAAATTTCCAAATTATGACTATGAGCAGAAATTGTGTAGATATTTCCCTCAGAAGATCAGCATTCCAGTCATCAGTTATTCAAGAAGTTTTCACAGTAATGTGGTATTATTTAGTTCAGAACCTCTTAAACCATCTTCAAAAGTTGAAGAAACTGTACATGTATTGAAAGAAAAAGCCAAAGAGCAATTGAAGTCGGAAACGGTTGCAGCGCCAGTTGAAAAACCAACTGCGGTTGCAGTTCCAAAAAAACCTTTGAAACAGAGAATTGTAGACGAAATTGTCCATTATTATCATGGCTTCAGACTGCTTTTTATTGACATGAATGTTTCAAGGAAGTTAATTTGGAGAGTTCTTAATGGGAAGCAACTTACTAGACGAGAGTACAAATTGGTAAGTGTATGGGTCGTTTTTTTAAGTATTTAATGTGTGATCTAATTATTGATTTTTTTTTCTGTATTTTAGCTTGTTAGAACTGTGGGTGATATGTTTCGATTAATACCTTTTTCTGTATTTATCATTGTACCATTTATGGAATTAGCATTACCGATTTTTATTAAGTTGTTTCCTGGTATGTTACCCTCAACATTTCAAACTTCATCTGAGAAGGTAAGTTTTTTATTAGCATTTTTGTTATTTTTCTTTGAGTTTAAAAGTTTGGTTAATATTTAACCATTTAGGAAGATAAAATCAAGAAGAATTTGAAGGTGAAGCTAGAAATGACCAAGTTTTTGCAGCAAACTTTGGATGAAATGGCTGTGTCAAGTAAGGGACATTCTTCTGTAGCTGCAAAAGATTTTGCAGAATTCTTTCAGAAAGTAAGTGTCACAAGATACTAGCCCATGTCTATTATCTATCTTATCAGTTTTTTTTATTTTACTATTTGTGGTTTTACTTCTTTGTAAGGGTTATGGACTAATGCCAAAGCATGAAGTAATCCGGAAAGGTTATATTTACTTTAAAACTTCCACTATCTAAATTTGTCTCTTCTTCATAATTTGTTTTAAGCCAAAAGTGTCTACTTCTTGGTTTAATCCAATGTAGTTTAAAATAAATGATAAAGTTTTATGATGAGGAATTCCTGAATATTTGCTTCGCCAGACAGCATGGTGCCATAAAATTCAGCTGTCTTGTTTGCTTTCTTGTTAATTTAAAACACATTTTTATTTAATTTAATTTATTTTAATGGTTGTCAATTGAATGAATGACCTTGTTTTTGATATTAGGTAACATAAGTACTTATTGCCTCATCATACTTGATAATATCCTTCCTGAATTGGAAAAAAAAAAATGGTTAAATTTTCCATCATTTGATTTCATTTAAACAGTTCATGGTCATCCCATTGATATATAAATTTAAATTGATTATTATGAATTTAGGTCACTTTTACTTATATAATTTTGTTTAAGTTTCAACTTTTTGAGTTAAATTTTTTAAAAGAAAAAAAAAGACTTTGATAATATATCATTAGATAAGTCTTACTGTTGATTTTCTCATAATAGTAGTTAGGAATAATTTTTAATAATGAAATTAAATGCAATATTGAATTTAAAGAATAAATATTAATTTTTTCATTTTTGGTTATATTTTTTTTTTAATTTTCACTCTTAGTAGATAGTTATTTAAATTATTCTCATATAATTATTCTTATCAGCTTATGGGTTATTGTTTTTTAATGATTGCCATTAGTTTATTTATTAATATTTTTGAGTGCAGTACTCTTCTCTTATTTGATAATTATTGTGATTATATTGAAGAATTAAAAAATGTCAAGATAATGTAATATTATTTATGGCATTTATTCTGAAATAAAATATTATATATTAATAAAATATTAAAATAAAAAAAATTAAGTAGATTTGATTATTAATGGCTTAAATCATTATCAGAACTCAACTTTGTTTCTGAATCCTCTGAGAAAAATCATATATAGTAAATAAGTATGATTAAAGTATAAATATAATTACAAAATTGTTTAAAACGTTGATTATTATTATTGATAAAGAAACAAACTATTTAATTCTACAGTTCATAAAAGTTGATACTAATCATAATCTAAAAAAAATAAAAATGAAAGTATTAATGCATTATAATTAATGCAAACGAGTTTTATAACAATTCCTTCATGTTTTACGTCTGTATTTTAATTATTTTCATTTATACCATTTTATATACATTGCCTTTATCCTGAATAAAAATATTACCTGATATGATATGTGATATGACATGATATGTTTTTTATTGATTTTTTCTTTTAATCTCTCTACTTAAACTTAAATCAGAGAAAAAAAAAATGCTACTATTATATAATCAATAATATCTTACCTCTCCTTCCTCACTCAAAAAATATAATATATGGCAACAGTTTAAAACATTATAAATAAGTTTATAAATGCTGTAGATAATTTTTTTCAAGATAATGTTTCCATCCTCATTTTATTGATCATAATGGTTTAAAGTTTTATCTTGACCTCCTTTAATTATAAGTCATTCTACCTGATGAATTGCTTTTTGTATATCAGATTATCTCATAATTTTTTATTTTATGAGTAATAATTTTTAACCAAAGATAATTAAGTATTTTTATTATTTCTCTATTTAGTTGACATATTTACAACTACTAAATTTTTAGCATAAAATATTAATTTCTATACTCTTGAGAAAACGTTCATATATATATATATATATATATATATATATATATATATATATATATTATCATATTTTTAAAACTATTATTATTATATTTAATTTTCTGCAAATTAATAGGTTCGCACTAGTGGAGGAATGACTACTTCAGAAGATATATTGAAGTTTTCAAAACTGTTTGAAGATGAGATTACTCTTGATAATCTTCCTCGACCTCAGTTGATGGCTCTGTGTCGGGTTATGGAAATGAACCCTATCGGTACTACAAACTTGCTCCGATTTCAGCTGAGGCTGAAGTTGAGAAGTCTTATGGCTGATGATAAGGTTAGTTCAAAAATACTATTGGAAGATAAGTTAATATTGGTTTTGAGTTATGTTATTTTGTACATTATTGCGCTGCAGTCCTTTCCAGGATGAATAATATTTTCCAGATGATACAGAAGGAAGGTATCAACTCTTTAACCGTTAGTGAACTTCAGGCAGCTTGCAGGGCCAGAGGTATGCGTGCTCTTGGAATTTCGGAAGAAAGATTGAGAGCCCAGTTGGCACAATGGTTGGAATTATCTTTAGAAAAAAAGGTTCCACCATCTCTTCTTCTTCTTACACAGGTACATTTTCATATTATTTATTTTTTAAAAATAGAAATTTATAAACATGAAAATTAATGGATAAGTTAGGTTATAATTGGAAAAATTCCAATCTCACAGCCTTGTGTCTCTATAAAGCTGTTAAAGAATAACATAATCTTTAAAATTTTTGCCAATCCAGGCATCATGAGGACAGAAAAGAAAAAGAAACCCAAGATCACATCATTCCGTGACATTGAACTGCATAATTAATAAGGCTATGTGTTTGAAATTTTTCCAGTTATAACCTAATATTGAATTTCTGTCTCTTGGTGAATTTTTACTTGTTTACATTAATATTAATGATTAAATTATGTACATAATAATAAAAAATACTCGCTATTTGTATGCAGCCTTGCAACATTGATGGATGACCTTTTTTCTATGATCATAGTTCAAATATATAATATATTTTTACATTAACTTATTTTTATAGTTAATTTTATTTTATTAATTAAATCTTTCTTTCTTTTTTTTTGTTTGGTAGGCCTTTATGTTTCCTGATGCAATACCTACTGAACAGAAATTGGCAGCTACTATCCAGGCTCTTCCTGATGTTGTTGCTACAGCTACAAAAGCTGTTATAGGAGAAAGAGAAGGTAAAGTGGACTATAAGACGAAGGTAGAAGTTGTCAAAGAAGAAATCGAAAAGATAATTGAAGAGAGGAGAGAAATGCAAGATGAAGAAATAAAGACTCAACAAAAGGCAAGTTGGTTATTTATTTTATTTTATTATGTTTGTTTTTATGCTGTTGAATTGTTTAATTTCCTTTCATGGTGTAATTGCTTGAGTAATATTGGCTGAATAATATTTTATTAGTAATATATAACTAATAAATGATTATCTACTTATAAAACATAATTATTAAATTTCATATTTCATGCTAATTTGATTATTTTTTTACAAACAGATTTGATATTAATTAAATATTTATCAAATTCATTACATTAATTTCGTACATTAGATATAATTTTTAAATAAAAGTAATTAGGGAAGTTCATAACATCCGATTAGATGCACTAGGTTTTTCATATCTATTATTATTTTCATTAATTATCTATTACTATTTTCTTAGATGTCTTTGAATAGTAAAAAGTAATAGTTATATGATTATTTCCTAAACATGATATTGTATAGTAAAACATGAATTGCAGACCTCATTTATGTATTTATTAATTCACTTCAAAAATGAGATTAATTTGCCATTTATAAGCATTTATATTTTTTATCAATTTTGTAATATTTCGGTTTTTTAATTATTAATCAGGAAGCAGAAAAACTGAAAGAAGAGATAATGGTAGATCCTGCTCCTACATTAATGGGCGAAGTGGACCCTGCTTTGAAAGCTATCGTAGATGATATCAAGAAGACTGCTATCAAAGAACAGCCTAAGGATGATGTAACATTATATATTTTCTATTTATTACAGTATTACTATTTTTAAGCATAACAAAAAAAAATTAAAGCTCATTTATTTAGGAAATCACATCTAAAGATATCGCTGCTCTTGGTACTGCTATTGAACAGAAATTGCTGTTTGAAAAAGAATCTTTAGCAGAATTAAGGCAGGAAATGCAGGAGTATGAAGAGGTAAATTTTCAAAAAATATTCTAATTGAATATCATTTGACATTTTTATCTTGTTTGGTGATTTTAAATTTTATTTTGTTATTTTATTAGGATATAAATGATTTGAAGAGTGCCTTAAAAATGTCAAAGGAGTTTGAAGAAGTGAAGGAAACGAAGGCAGCTAAGAGGCTATTTAAAAAAGTGAATAAATTGATCTCGAAAATGGACAATGTCTTAGCTAAACTCGAACAACACGAAAAGCCTGCTCAGAAAAAAGAGGGGTAACTTGACATTTACATTTTTACAAAATACTTTTAATTAACTTAATTTTTTTAAAGTGAAGCTGGGTAAAGTTATGCTTCTATTTTAACTCTTAAAGAAAATCAAGAATTTATAGAAAAAAAAAGACTGATTCTTAGATGAATTAAATTTCCACTTCCTATTCAGTCTAATGCCTCCTTGAGTTGGCTAACCATTCCTACTTCCCAAGGCTTTGATATCAGGGCTGTCATGTGAGCGACCGGGCGCTGTGGGGAAGGGGGCAACATGACTCAGGGACAAAAATATGAAGAGTGCATAATGCTTTTGAAAAATCTTACTTTTATCCATTCTCTACTTTTTAATTCAGTCCTTTTAATGTTTGCTTTGATCGTCATACATGACTAGCGGAATAATTATTTCTAACCTCAATTGTAATTGGTTTTAGATAGATTACAACAAGCTGGCTTCAGATTTATCAGTCATGAATGGAATGCTTAAGTATAATCTAGTACAATAAATATAACCCGTGAACATGAGACAATACACTACTGGACGAGTTCAAGGGATATAAAAGGAGCTCCTGATATAATTTCGTCCCAGGCGCTAAAAACTCATGCGATGGTCCTGACTAATTTCCAGATATTAATTATAAATATACCGTTTTTATTATTTAAAAAACATATTCTCAATCTTACATATGTTCTTTGTTGCAGCTTAACTTTTGACATTTTTTTTTTCTATGCTAGCACCCCATTATTAAGTTGAAAAAATATATTGTAGGATCTTACAAATTTACGAATTAGGGTTTAAAGTATATTATTATGATTAGAATTTAAATAAATTTTAAAAATTGAATTATAATCCAATATTTTTCTTATTAATTCGACTTTCATTAAATGTAACACTCATCTAATGAAATTTTGAACAAATCCCAGAGGAATATTTTATATTACTGAAATGAATTAGTTTACTGTTTTGTGATTGATTTATTAATTTTTTTAGGGAAGACGTACTTCGAATCGATGAATTGATCGACTCAATTAAGAGAATTCAAGGTGTCTCTGAATCTGCTGGTCTTGACAGACTTTCTGAGGTTTTAAATAAACTAGATGCTGATAGGGATGGCCTCGTCAGAGTTGATTGGCTAATAAAAGTAATTTTGTGCTTTTATCAGTATAATTATATTTTCATATCGCTTGAGTTTTTGTTTAACTTTTCTTTTGTTTTCTAATTCAGATGTTGGATATTATCGGAGATGAAGGAGTTAAACTTAATAAGAAACAAATAAGCGAATTGATTGAGCTTTTGGACAAGGAAGAAGCGATTGAAATGGATTTACAAATATTGAAGCAACTAAAGAAAGATGATGATATGGCTAATTTGAAGAAAGAATTTGAAAAAAAGAGAGCTGAATACATACGAGAAAAACTGTTGTCTTTGAAAACGCTCCCTATCACTAAATTAAGTGATGTAGTAAGTTCAGGAACACCAGATGACAAAGAGACGATTATCAAAAGCGAACCAAAAGTAGAGAAGAAGATCAATGACGTAGCTCCAGTTGCTTTGGCATCAAACGCTCAGCAACAACAAACTGAAATCAACAGTACAAATAAACCTGCCAGCGTGGAAGAACCAAAATCTTCTACAGGCTCACCACAGGATCTGCGATAGCAAAAGTAGAAACATAGTGTTTATTTCTGTTTTTGTTTTTTTTTTATTAATTTTTTTCTTTGGATGTATATAGATTAACGCTCCAAGAGCTTTTCCTGAAAATATCTGTGTATATTGGTAAAGGAGTATTTTTTTTTAATTAATTGATGTAAAATATCCCCAATGTTTCTGTAACATTTTGTTTTTATATTGCTATATATTTTTATTTTTTATGATGAGTAAAAATGTTGATATGAAGTTTCAATTGTTGAGTTGAAAAAAAAAAAAAATTATTTATTGTATTAGAATCAATGTTAAGATTTAGTCGTGACAAAAAAATGCCAATAAATTATATTGGTAAGGTAGCTATTAATATAGATTTACAGTAATGAGCATTCTTACACAAGCTGATATGTGATAACTTACCCCTAGCTAAGAAAAATAAGTGTCTGTCTATTGTATTGGTTTTGAAAAATTCAATTATCACTTCAAACTTTTGAATTGAAGTGAAGAAACTATTTTTTTTTTTTTTTTTTTTATAGTTATAATTATAAAGGAGACTATTGTTATAATTTTGTTTGCTGTACTTATTTTTTTTATAAACAAAAAGTACTAAATCAAATTTCTATTTTTGAAGCCGCTATATTTACATTATTGTTAGTAGAGGAGATTAAAAGTTACTGGAATAAAAATTGCTAACTATTGAATTTACTATTTATCTGATTTAATATCTTCTTTAAAAAACTATTGTGTGAAAGAAATCGTAACCATTCCCTAACAATTTGTGATATAGGTTTTTTTCACTTTCAAGATCAAAAAGCTATTATCTAAACATTTCTAGTTACCTGCTTGCTTAAACGCATTAGAAAACAATTACCTCGTTGGTCTTCTTGGCCATTAATTACTAAAGTTATGAGTAATTTAAAATAATAGTATACATTTTTTAAAGAAATACATACTAGTCACATTTTAGTTTCCTACAAATAATATTTTGATAACGGTATTAAATTTTGAATTATAATTAACATTAAACTATATGAATTCAAACTTGACGATGATGTAATTTGTAAATATTTCTTCAATCAAAAAACAGAAAAGTAAAATAGTCAGTTTTTGAGTTAAGCTTCTTCATATAAATTAATAGAAGTAATCCAACTTTATTGATTAATTGAAATATGGCTTCGTGACTTTTTATAATCTTTTCGGGAACAAGTTTTTTTAAAGTTCTTTGAAAAAACTGTTCTATAAGAAATGTAATTATTTCAATACATTTTATACTGTATCACTAGGTTTAAAAATCCTACATTTAAAATAAGAGTTTTAAGGTTTCTTTCGCAAAAGAGATAATCAATTGGGGATTGAACTGAAGATCAATCATGTTGATGAGAGCCATGCCTTGCTAATATTTGCAGGATATTCTTGGTTATAATTGCCCTTATTTTGTGTCCACAATAATTAATTTAACTAAAAAAATATTTTCTAAACTCATACTATTAAAAATAATATGTATAAGAAAAGAAATATATAACTCAAAATATTTTAAAAATTAGTCTGTCTACTTCGTCTTATACATACTCTATTTCTTGAACATCCAGAAGATTATTTAAAACCTCTACCACTACACCCTTCTAAGGGAATTGGGTTTAGTATATTTTAAGATATATTATTTCTAAACTAACGTTTGTGCTAAGGTTATTTTTTCTGAATCAAGTTTAACTGCCAGGTTTTTTTCTCTATCTACTTTATAGAGGTACTAGGTGTATCCTAGGAGAATCTCCCAAGTCCAATGTTGAACTACAGTAGATAAAACTCTTAAATAATTATCTTCCATAGCCAGACTAAAAACGAAGCCTGTGACAATAGAAATACCTTACTTAGCTTCCCTCCCCAACATCGAAAACATTTAATTTAATTTTTTAGACCAAATCTGTTGTGATATATTAATTTCCATAACTACTTAATTCAAATTCAGAGATGATGTGATAAATAAAATGCTTACTGCTTAAACCAAAAAGTATATCTGTTATTATAATCTTAAAACATTTTCTTTCATAGTAGTTCAATTAATTTTAAATACCTGCAGTGGAAACCTGATAGTTTGTTACTATTAATTTTTTTTTTTCAGAATAGAATAAGAGTAAGAAATCAAAGTATTAGTTCTAGTATAATTTTAGATAAATGATATTGATATTTTTAAATTGATTTGTCGTTTACCATTCACCAGATTGTTAAAATAGTTAGTTGGGAGCGCTGTCAGTAATGAAAATCTAGGCTTCTTGATGAGAATCAAAAACGTTGGTACATTTAAATAGTTTACTTATCTATGTTGTGTATTTTTTTTATTATTGACAACACAAAATCAACTGCGATTATTTAAAAACTTTAATTATGAGATAGGCTTTTTGTTTTCAGCTACTTATTTTTCTGAATTATAAGCAGGGATAACAAATATTGGCTTTAATAATATGACAGCAATTATATTGACATATTTTTGGATTATATATATTATTTTGGATTTCATTTAATCACAGTCGAACCTCTATATATTCAACTTGAAGATTTATCAAATAAAAGTTGCTATTCATATCAGTACTTTTCTATTAACTATCCACTAAGATCCATTGATTTATCTAGTGCTGAACCCAAGACTCTTCATTGGTTTTATTGATATGTTTTAAAAACCAAAAACATTTTAGAGATAAATTGTACCAGAATATCAAATAAAGCTATGTATAATGTATTATTAATACATAACTTTATTATCTGCGTTTATATTAATTTAATAAATTAATAGTGAATTTTATTCTATTTGGACTAAATAGCTTCCATTGAATTTTTTCTTATAATTTAATTATTACAAACTTAAATATATATTTAATTTTGAAATGCAAAAGTTTTCTTTGATTGATAAATTAATTTTATTTGTTACTCAGAATATTTCTTTCTAGTAAAAAAATGAAGATTCTTGAAACCAATACAATACATTCTATATCCATAGCATATTGATTTATAGAAGTTTGACACATAAAGTTTAAATTATATTTTAATTCATTTTCAATTGGAATTGTATTTGCTTCAAAATTAAATTTATTATGATGACTCATTGCAAACAAATATTTTTGTGTGATATTCATTTTTTTGTGATATGTAAGTGATACTTAAATATGAGATTGCGCTCATATGCAGTTTATAATTTCATTAAAAGGTGCTGGTTTTTATATTTTTGAAAAGTTGCAGAACTAGTTACTACTAATATGTTACAGATATTTTGTGAACTATCTTAAAAGAGTTTATTTCTTTGTAGCATGATATAAGATGTGTAGTACAAATACAAAATATTTTCCTTATAATTAATTATTTAGTACAAATAACAAATAGGTGCTTCTAGCTGAGCCTAACTGAATGAACTATTATGTCAAATCATACCAAACCTATGTTGTTAAATAATTGTTCTATCTGCAATTAAAATAAATGTTGAATGTTGAACAGCGTTTCTCTTTAGCTACCTAATTTGATTATATATTATTATCTATTTACCTAATTAGATTAAATGGCTAATAAAATAAGTATCATCATAATTATGCTAACTATAGATATAATTGTTATAAAAGTCTGCTTTTGGACATTAAGTTCAGGATTTTGGATTAAAGGAGAAATAGAGAATATGATTTATTGTCATACTTTAACGTATTTATTGTACATTTATAAGTATTATTAACGTTTTTGTCTTTTACTCTCTTGTAAGGTCAGATCATGTTAGAAGCTTGTGATAAAATCAGTTTAAAAAAAAGTTATTTTTAAATTTTAAAGTTATTTATTTAAGTTAGGTTTCTGTTTTGAGAAACTAATTTACAAATGGTGTTATAACTTTATCCCACCTGATGTTTGAAGAAGAATGATGGTTTAATATCCTCTGTTACCTAAGGGCCTGGTTTTGAGTTTGTATGGAGAAGATAATTTATTTATTTAAAAACTGTTATATTGATGTGAATGGACTCTGGAGTATAGATATCCATATGATCATACTCAGTCTCAAAAGTGGAAGTCTTGCCTTAATGGTTGGAACCATACCATTGATAGCAGAGATGCCCATCCTCTGCAAGGTCAATGGCACATGAACTTCCCCTCCCAAGATATTTTATTGCTTTCCTCTTCTTAAACCAGTGTAAATGAAAGTAGAAATTAAAAAAATAGTAGATCACATACAATTAAATTTGCTGCAGTCTGTCCTATGTTCTTCTCTTGTCCTCTGGTTTAAAACTTTGCATCCCAAAATGTGCCCCCCTCAAAAATTTAAAACCTCGTCAAAATGTGCCCTGTCAACAATTTTGATGGCACAAATTGTGCCATGAAACCCCCTTCTGTACTCCCCTGATCACAGGCAGTTCTAAGGTGGGGGTTTTCCTGCTGAAGCACCATAAATTGATAAAATATAACTATGTCTTATGGAGAAATTATCTATAAAAGTATAATTCTCCGTGCAATTACATTTGATAGAACTTCTAGAATCACTTATATACCATTTCATATAGTTTCTTTCTTTATATTCCAAAAAAAAATTCGTTAAATATATAAAAAAAACTTTCAGGATGAAGCCCCTCCAAAAAATTAAATCCCGGATCCGTTAGTGGCCCTGATTTATAGTATTAAACTATCGATAACGACCTAAATATGTTGACTGTTTTCAAATATTTACTGGGAATGAAATATCTCAAATTACTCAGGATCAAAATTTTTGAAAGGAGCATATTTTGACGTGTTTTTTGAATTTTTGAGGAGGGGAAATTTTGACGGAGTTATGAATTTTCGGAGTAAGGGACAAGGAGAAAAACATGGAACATACCGCAACAGGTGTAATTGTATATGATCTACCATTGTTCTAATTCTCCCTTAGCTTGCTCTGTTTTTACTTTCACTTACCTATATATGTAATATATAGTAAAGCGATGTATTGCGATCGTGAAAATTTTCGAATCTGAATTTTCAACGGAAATACATGTTTTGAGGTACCCTGATAACATGTCTAAATAACCAAGTCCCGCAGAATGGTCTGTAACGATCACCATTGATGTCAGTTAACAGCGCTTAAATACCCAATGTTCCTTTACGTCTTTCTCTGAAGTCCCTTTAATATGGTTTATTTTAAATAATTAACTATCTCACATTATTAAGATTTACGAAAAAATTCTAAATATATCTTTTGAAAGAATTTGATAATTGAATAAAGGAGAAAAAATAAAAATGCTCCAGGTCGAAAATGAATCTCTGAAAATACCAGTCAGAAGGTATACGTATAATATATCGTTTGAAAGCAAAGGATTTTAGAAAAAAACAATATCTTATATAGAAAGTTGTTGAAGGTAACCGAGAGTGACGAAAAAATATAAATAATAATTTAAAAAACTAATATAAATCACATATTATCAAGGAAATTAAATGAAATTATCTTACTACATTTAAACTTAAATTTTTTTTTTAAGTTTAAAAACGTATTTAAAATCCACGGATTCAAGGCAATGACGTTGTTTAAAGTACTATTTCATTGTACTTGTGTGAAAGAAGAAGTGAAATATAAAAATATTTCATGGATATGTTCATAATTTTAAATATATTTACTGTAGTTGAATAATTCTAGATACGATTTTATATTTAAATAATTAGGTATGTATCTTTCCGTTTATTCCGAAAAATCATCATGTAACCTTAAATTAGTGAATAATTTGGTGAATTTTCCCTTCGAGATATTCCAACAGTATCCACTTACAATTAGTGTGACAACTTTTGATCTGTCCATGACAGACAATGCAAATCTCTTAATCCCATTTTAGTAAACTTTGCAATGAAAATAACAGTTTAATAACTATCGTCGTACAATCCATAATCAACAGATCGTACAATCCATAATGAACCAGCGATATGATAAATAGTACTTTTGTTATTTTAATAGTATTTATGATTAGTTAACTGTATGATTTTAGCTTAAGTTCGGTTAAGATGCAATTAAAAAAATTTATTATAGCCTAACATGGCCAAAAAATAATTTCTATTCAAAGTTGAGCGGTTAAGAAAGTCGTGTGTTGAGCGCACCAGATTTTTAGAAAAAGGTGAGCAATAACATATCTTGGGAGGAGAGGAGAGGGAGTAGGTTCTTGCGCCATTGTGGGGGGGGGGGAGGGTGGTAACCTATGGACTCTTCCCACATAATTAGTAAAATGCATTTCACGTGAGCATTTCTGTAATTGTCGAGCTTAACTAAGAACACTTTAGATCGGATTTTTTTGTGTTAATGTTTGCCTTGTTCAAGGAATGAAGGCATGTCCTGTTTTTCAACATAATCTTAATTATTGCTGAACACACTCGACAACTGTTTACTTCTTTTCGTGACAGACGCTGTCACTCTCTGCGGTAAAATACCCTCTCACAAGCTGTTTTAGTCCTTGCTTTTTGGCCGTTGTCTGATAGAGGCATTATTTCACTCACCGCTGGAGAGTACATCTCTGTAATATGTGTGTTAATGGTATTTTTTGACACTTTTAAGGTTCATATCGTCCTACATTTTTGACTGAACAGTTTATTCAACTTGATTAAAAATTATTCACTCCTCTTGTTATTATTATTATTATTAAGATTATGGTACCATCAACAAGGCGATTTTATTGACTCCACAGGTTTTGAGCGCTACTTGTTGCTGCAATGGGGGGTTGTACCGTAGCGATAATAATCTTCGTAGCTCTTCATTCCAAACTTCTCAAACATTTATGCTTTTTCGTTTAAAATATATCATAATTACCCTCAATAATATGATTCGTTATACTTGTAATTCAATTTGAGCAGGTCACCACGGCCTTTGATTCACCTTGGTGTGTAACCTTGCGGTCTCTAAGCAATCTTATTACATTAACACATTTTAATTTAAATAAAAACATCTGATTTCGTTAAAGTGGGCTTTCCCCTAGTTTGTCTATTAGCATAAATTAGAATTTTAAATTGTCTTTGGAAATATCAAAATGGAATACAGTGTCATCAATATCATCCATAAACTAAACAATGAAACATTAAAATCTGAACATCTTCAGATGTTTATTAAAATCCCAAAGGTAAGAAAAATTTAAACCAAAAAAAACATGTTATTATCTATCAATATTCATTTGTTATATCAGTCGGAAGAATAGTACTAACTAGAATTTGATTTAAAACTAGTGATTATTAGTCCCGTGGTACTGACACTTTTTTTTTTCAAATTATTAACATCCGGCTGAAACTTCATGAATTGCCTCATCTCATTGTAACCTACAAATTTACGAAAATTCTCGGAATTGGGGCGTTTTGTGGCAATATGGAGGTCGGCAAACTTTGGTACTAAAAACTCGTAAATACCCATTTGCTTTCCACTTCAATCGTAAGATAACTTGAGCAAAAAATGGAGAAAAAAGGTGGCCTTCAAAAATATTGTGCCTACCTACACCTCCGACCTACACCCCCAAATTGTCAAAATAACGCAGTTATATAATAATACATTATTTATTCTGGACGAGCCCATTAGAATAATACAGAAAGACATAAATATGGGCTAAGGAGCCTCAGAGATACATAAATAAAAATACAGAGTAATCAAACAGTCTTAGTAATAAAATAAAAAATTATAAGTTACTTTCTAATTTTAATCAGTTAATAATAAAAAAATAAAAATTAAAAAAAAAAGGATGAAGTAAAAATAATGAAGAACGAGCTAATAATTTATACATATATTTACATTAGTATCTATTTACAATTTCATGGGGACTGGATGGATAAGAAGTGATTGAACAGGCGGGATTTAAAGGAAGGAAGAGTATTAGATTGTTGAATGTGAGAAGGGATGGAGTTCCAAAGGGATCAATGGGGATCGGATAATGAAAGATCTGTCGAAAGCAGCGGTTCGGTGGGCCCTTATGCATAAGTCAGAAGACCGGGAACGAGTATTGCGGAAGCGAACAGAGGATTTGAATCGAAGGAGCTCGGAGATGTATGAAGGACGGTAGGATTGGATGACTTGAAAGAGGAAGGATGCCAGGAAATATTTACGACGGTAGGAAGGATAAAGCCACATCAACTCCGCATAAAAATGGGAAACTGAGGCGTCCCTTGGTATCCCGAAGATGAATCGTCCAAAGCAATTTATTGAACTTTTATTTTCGTCTCGAAATTCCCAGAGTCGCTCCCATATACCGAACAGCAATAGCCAAAGTGGGGGAAAATTAAAGAAGTGACTAGGAGCCTACGGGTTTCAAATGGAAATAGGTGACGAGAATAATTTAGGCGTTTTAGAGTGGAAATGGAATGATGGTGGATAGGTCTGCATCACTGGCGGATTCAGAAGAGGGGGTCTTTCAGGCAGGACTTCTCCCCATGAGAGAAATACTTTATTTAAAGCAGTGCTGCTCTACTATATAGGGTTGCTCGATACACAGCATACACATCAATCCTTTTTTTTTGTACACAGCACTTAATTATACTTGAATCATATATTATCACACATTTTAGAATCACATATACAAATTCTTTTCCAAATCACTCATCTTATACAACATTAATACTATACTATACCAAAATAATTACAATTAAACAATACAAATATTTCGGTAAAACCGAAACAAAACAATCTCTGAAATTTATAAAAAAAAAAAAAAAATCGAATGCCAAAATCCAAAATTAAAAAATTAGAACGCACACATAGCAAATAAAATAATCCCATGAACACAGATAAAAATATATGATTGCTTAAATTATTTAAAATTGAATAAATATATAAATGATAATAAATATCCATAATTAATTCCTAATTAAAATATATGTGGTGATAAATGATCCCAAGGGAGTCCAGATTAATGCTTTCGGCCAAAACTGCAAGCTCCCCGACATCAACACCTAGTTCTTCGAAGAAGCTCTTTGTTCTTTTAGGAATCGTTCCGCGAGACCCAAACCAGAGGCCTCTCTCGGCGACTCTCTCTACAAAGGTCCCGCGGAATTTCACTTTTAGGAAAGGGATACATTTATCGTATATTTCCTTGTTTTCTTTTTCTACTTCATTGGCCTGATCCAGGTTATTGCTCTCATAACGAACAGTTGGATCTAAGACCAGTGCCGCCGGTTCTAGAGAGTTGTTGGGGCACTTTCCCAGCACATGGGCTGGTGTTTCAGACTCTCGGCCGCATTTACACAGATGGACCCAACTTCCTTCGACTGTCCACTGGCTCCTGGGACTCCACGCAGCGGTGAATAGTTGATGTTAAGTTTTAAGTCGTTGGACCATTCTGACCCGAAAGTATTTGCTTTTGGCATATATATTTATAAGCTTTCGGGGTCTATTTAAAATGCCTAACTCCGACGCTTTGCCACCGTCGACTGGTCCATTCTTCAAAACAATTCTCAGCGACTGTCCTAGACCTAAATAATTACCTTTATTACTGTTTAATTTTGGGGGCAAAGGTTTCCTGAAAATTTTCCTATCTGTTGATCATACATGGGGAGGTAACGATTAGTGGTTCAACGATTTCTCCCAATTTTTTTTTCGGTGATAATACTTCAAAAATTATCACTCGTGGGACACACATCCCAGCGTTCGTTCTAATGGGTCCTAGGAGACGAGAAAACAAAATTTGTGTTATATATTTTTATTTTTATGTTTCCCGAATTTCCAGGTTACTATATACCAATCGATTTCCTTTTTTGTGCAGAATAAGGGGGAAAAAACTGAATATTATTACACAATGTTTTATTCTTTCCGAACAATTATACATCAAAATTAACTTTACGATATTAGTTTTACAGTAAAACATACACAAAATACTTGTATACCAATTGTCCGATTTCAATAATTTTTTTTTTTTATGAAATTTTAAAAACTCATATAGAACAAAAAACACTTTAGACAAATTTCATTGAAATCGATACATTCTTTTAGACGCTACAGTACCAACACAGGTTTTTCGGTCGCCATCTTGAAAGGAAAGAGCGGACGATAATTAAATCCTGGATCCGTTGGTGATCGGTTGGAAGCCGAATTAACGCTCTTCTAACCAACATCAATAACTGTTATATTTCATCCCCTATTAAGGTACAGATTATGAAAAACAGTTCAAACATTTTTGTTGTATATCTCTAATAATTTTCGTATGAATCGGTTGAATCATCCTGTTTTTTTATCATCCTCCTGATTTTTGTGGTTTTCGACAAAATTTTTAAGAGTCTGTAACCTCTCCTTGATAGTAACGATGGTTGTTATTCACCAGATTAGCATAATAATAATAATAATAATTAATACAATTTTAACGTTTAATATTCATTAAATTTTAGTATGCCAAAATTTACGCCATATATTATGCCAATATATGTTTCACAGGATGCATGCCAGTATGTAATGGAAATACCCTACGCAGAAAGATGTGACTTTGTTTATAAAACCCATGACTGTGCAGTACATAATGCTCCCTTAGTCAATCCCTTCGATTGGGTATTTTGTGATTACCCTGAGGAATGGGCAATTATTGGCGTATTGGCCATGGTAACATATATAAAAACATAATATACTTTTAAAAAAAACTACGTAGTCGTATGATTTAAATTATCCTTTTTCAGTTTTTCACACTGGTTATATTGTTTTTTGTTACATCCATACTAGCTGATGTATTGTAAGTATGTTGACTATTATAATAATATAGTATACAATAGCTGTAAAGTTTTGGGTATTTTTGCTTTTTCATTACCGAAGATAGGGAAGCTTTATATTCGTAGACGACGCGAAAAAAGAAAGAATCGAAAGTTTCCACACGCATAATAGATTTTAGAAATCAATGAACAAACTATCCAGTCATACGAGTCGCTTATTTTCAAAGTGAGCCTCATTCAATTTTTATGGAAATTTATATAAAAATCTATTTCCATGTTAAAACACTCAATGAATCCGTTACTGTAATTATTTATTATTCATAAACGAACTTAAATATTAAATAAAATTATTGTGAAAATAAGTTTATTTCCGAAATCGGCCTTCTTTTTTTTCCAAGGAATGTAATAAAATAGGATTTTTTTTAAAATTACGCTTTTGTGGCTTGCGAAGGGAAGCAATAGCGAGAAAGATATTGATGGAAAGCTCATCATAGGTTGAAAGGTCATACGGATTTCAAATTCTGTCAAATGGAATAAACAAGTCGTGCTCCAAACGAAAAAAGAGACTATATCATTCCTTTGTTGTAAGCACTGTATTGAATGCCTTAGAAACCCGGACAATATCAACCGACTCAGAAAGGAAATTGTTATCAATGGAGATGGATTTTTGGATACGTAGCTGTAGAATATCAAAACTAAGACATATTCCAAATAATGCCATTAGTGATAAAGTGAACGAACCCCTCAACATCCTGTACTCCTCAACACCCTGTGGTTTGGCCATGCAATGAGATTGACGGACGACCGATGGCCTAAAATAATACTTCAGCATGTACCATTGGAAAGGAGGAAGAGAGGTCCTCGCCTGGAAAAGAGATGATCGGAAGGTTTACATGAGGCTATAGCAACAAGGGGACACCGGGAGAAAGACAGTTATGATAAAAAGAAATGGCGACAGGGATTAGGTTACGACACATGACCTTAAAGTGCTGCAAATAGCCTCCTTAAAGCTATTTTAAACACTTAAATAGCCTCTGTCACCTTTTTTCCTTTTGAAAAAGGACACCTCCTTAATATTTCCCCACTTTGACTATTGCTGCACGGTATATGGAGGCTTCTCTGGAGATCTCGAGGGGTTTGTTAAATTGCTTTGTACGATTCATCTTCGGGATCCCAAGGGACGCCCCTGTTTGCTGTTTTTATGAAGAGTTAATGGCTTAATCCTTCCTACCGTCGTAAGTATTTCCTGGCATCCTTCGTCTTTCAAGTCATCCACACCCACCGTCCTTCATACATCTCCGAGCTCCTTCAATTAAATCCTCTGTCCACTAACGCAATACCTGTTCCCGGTCTTCAGATTTGTATGCCCCACCGAACCGCTGCTTTCGATAAACCTTTTATTATTCGATCCTCATTTATATGGAACTCTATCCCTCCCAACATCCGTCGCTCCAATACTCTCCATACTTTTAAATCCCGCCTATTCAATTACTTCATTTGCATCCATTCATTTCCAGTCCCTCTAAAATTGTAAATAGCAACTTCTGTAAATATGCATATATATTATTAGTTTATTTCCAATTATTTTCATTTCATTGTTCTTTCTTTTATTATTTTTTCTTCTAAATAATCTATTTAATTTAGAAGATAACTTTTTTTTCTGTAATATCTATTAGTTTACTTTGTAAATATATTTATAGTATCTGAGGCTCAAAAGCCCACATTTCAGTCCATGTTAATTAATCTAAAGGGATTCGTCTCAGAATAAATAAAAAATTATTATTATTAAATAAAGTATTTTATATATATTATAAATGTAGTCACTATTAATTGAAATGTAAGTTAATTTCTTGAAGTCAGATTGTTATATCTGTAATCTCCTCGAATCATGCACCATTTTTTTCTCTCTGAAACAAACCCCAAACAACTTTTTTTTTTGGAAGAAAACGATGAAGTTTGATTCTTTCCGAAAGGAACCCTATTCAAGTTTCAATGTTTTTTAATTCCTATAGGAAAAAAAAAATTGAACTACCGGAACGATGTACTACAAGATGACTGCAGAAGAATCAATGTGGCTAATAGATACTTCCTTGGTCAGCAAAATCTTTCTTCCAATACAAAAATCAACCTCTACAAGATCCTCGTATGCCCGGTGCTCATCTATGGACCCGAAGCGTGGCCAACCACCAAGACAGACAAGAACAGATCACTGATATTTGAGCGGCAGATTCTAAGGAGAATATTTGGAGCTGCAAGAGAAGGAGAGGTCTGGAGGAAAAGAAAGAACGGGGAGCTCTATGATGTCTTTAGTGATGAAAGTATCATGAAAATTATAAAGCTGGGACGACTTCGTTGGACCGGTTAAGTGGGTCGGATGGGTGACTGAGATCCCAAGGAAGTTGATGACGGTAGAGTTAGGAACAAGGAGTCTGGGGCGACTCGCCAGCAGGTTGTTGTGCCAACTATGTTTGTATTTGAAGAGAAGGATGGTTGGGGGTGATCAGTCAAAATAAATAATTATAAGTATGTTTTTCTACTTTAGATGAAAATGACTTGACAATATCTGCCATAGTCACTAGTGGATCCAGGATTTAATTTTGGGGGTAGGGGGCTTCAGCCCGAAACCTTTTTTTTTTCATAAAATAACGATAATTACTTTGGAAAAACAGAAAGAAACTAACTACCTATATGAAATGGTGTTTGAGTGATTCCTTAAGTCCTTTTAAATAAAATTACACGAACAATAATACTTTAAGAGATATTTTAAAAAAAAAAATTTCCCTAAAACATGGTTATGTTTTACCATTTTGGGAGGGGGGCTTCAGCTCGAAAGCCCCCTCCCCTATAGATCCGCCCGTGGCCATAGTTATTTTCTTATTGTGGGTTTGGCAGCAATTATTGTTTTCTGAATGCGTCGCTGAATCCTGCGTTTCTTGGTTCTTCTTGCACTTCACTCTCCCACTTTTTTTCTTCCTTGATCTACTGTTTACCAATTCAAAAATTCCCAGATCTGCTGCTTCTCCATCGCGCAGTTCGTCGTCTGCTAATCGTTCCTCCTGATTCTTTCTGGCCAGCTCGTCCAAAACGCCAGGGACTGCCGTCTCTACAATGTTTTGGCAATCATTTCGCATACATCTGGTTGATACTACTCATGATGCTAATAAATCTTTAACCACTTCTCGAACCATTCCAAGGATTTAACCCTATACTGTTTGAGTTAACTGTCCATGGTATTCACTATATTTATTAAATGATCCACTTTTTCGTTTATATACGTCTGGTCGGGCTTATTTAATTTCTTGGTGTAAACCTTCATTTATAGTATTGTCTTTTGGACTGCTTTAACCAAGCTATCACCCGTTGTTCCGTATTTTCCATTAAGCTTAGTTGCTTTGGAAGTTTCCTGAGTAACTGGTGTTTCCGAGGTCCCTGAAATCTCAGGCATGCTTTCCCTCGTTTACAACCACACCAATAGAAATTGTAATGATAATATAATAAACTAAGAAAGAAAAGGAAAAGAAAAGGTCCTACCTCAAATAAGTTCTTTGGTATTGGTTTTCAACTACTTTTGATTTCGAAGGGGCAATAATGTAGGTAATTTTTGTATCCTTCTAAATCACGTAGCAACTTTTCTATTGTAGGGACGTATACTAAGATGTTGTTAAACCTCTTTTTAAACATCTATCACCACTTACAAAACTAAGATAAGCAAAATTATGAGGATAGTATATTTTTAAAGTTTTTACAATGTTATTATTTTATTATTTGAGAAGTAAACTGTTTTTTGGGGGTCCTCCCCTTCCTCGCCGTTAAGCTATACGGAGTTTTCTCGGGCCAGGGGGTGTGAGCGGGGATTTAAAAGACTCCCTCGGCACCGGAACGCGAACTCGTGACTATTTTTATAACTTTTGTCATATATCAGGTTGCCAGGCTACGGCGAACTATTAACAAGTACTCCATTGTAGATATAAGCTTCTAATGATCCTTAAACTCGTAGCTGTCTTTTCCAGCATTTTTATTCTTCTTCCCTCTTCTACCTTACATGCCTGTAAAACGCCGTATAAATACTGTCTATACGAATTCAGAATCAATTTATAACTAAGTATTGCTAAAAAATTCTAGCTAATGAAAATAGTATATTTAAAAATGTGTATATTTGTTGAAAATAAACCTTTTTTCTCCAAAACGTTCTGTTCACAATGTCGAATTTTTGTGCTGTTCAAACACTTATTATTTTTCAATGAGAATCGTGATAATTCAAACCTAAATCTAGCAAATGATCAAACATGTGCAGGCATTTAAGAGAACGCTCACACGCAGGATGTCAAGTTACTTCTAAACCGGTATACTGAATGAGTATTACGTTAGTGAATTAAACGTGATACCACGGACTCACGTCCTTGGTGTAAACGTGGCTTAATCTCCAAAGATTTTTATAAATAACGCATCTAGAATGAAAGAAACACAACTCAAAATTTACAATGTAAGAAATTCCAAAAGTTGAATCCCCATTATGGCAAAGAGCAGCCAGCCATAAAATTTCAGAACAAATTTTATCCTAAATGCAAGATTTTTTATGTTGTGTATAAAACATTTCCTGTATTGTGGACCTTTCATTCTCGAAGTGGAAAATGCTTCATTGATACCGCATAATTATAGCTACTTAACGTGTAAACAATAATCAAAATGAGATTTGTTCAAGTATATGCCCAAACCTGGAAGTGGTCTCGGACACCCTGAGATTACCAGAAAGCCTTGCGGGAGTCACCATACTGGCGTTCGGCAATGGTGCTCCTGATCTGTTTTCGGCCTATGCTGGGGCAGAAATGGACCATGCAGAGATAATGTTTGCGAGCCTGACTGGTAATAACCTAACTTCAATCTGATTTATTTTCATTAAATTGTAATAATTTTTTTGTTGTTTCTATAGAGTTTTAATTATGATTAAGGATAATAATCATAATTAATTGATTCCACCGATTCCATGGTTTGCGACTCTTAAATCTCATCTCGACCACTCCAGCTTAGTAAAGCTGACCAGGCTTAGGATAAACCACCTTAGAACAAATAAATATCTACATCTAATGGGTCTAGCTAAGAGCGGTCACTGCCCAATATGCCAATGCTTGGAGGATCCAAGACACATTGCCTTCTAGTGCAAAAGATTCGAGAAGCGAAGAAGAATTAGTTTAGGGTCGCAAACTACGGATGATGGAGCTAACTTTCTTCGGTCGTTGGATAAAGATAACGCCAGTCACTTGATAAAGTTCATGAATGACATAAAAGCAGTCATATAATAAAAGTCGCCGCTTATTCTCTTTCTAGTCTCTATAATATCTAATACCCAAGTCCCATATAAGTTACTTTCAGTGATCATCTAACTATAATAATTATGATAAATCCTGTGTAATTTCCGTCTAAAAACCGTAATTTCATCTCACTATGACAAGTAAAATATTTTACTGGCAAAATAGGACTTGCTTTTACAAATCTTGAAGCCAAAAAACAAAACAGATAAATATTAATATTAATGAAGATAATATTAATATTCTTACATGTCGATTCCTATTTGGATCATATCGCCTTCCTACGTTCAGTAAGAAATTCGTTAGGCGAGAATTCTGTTCGCACTTAGACTTCCGATGAAATTCTATGAGATATCCATCAATAAGATTTTTATTTCTGCAGAATCTTGGGATTTTGTAATGGCCATAAAACTCTAAATCATAATATAAAAACACAAAATAGCAGGCAGATATACTAATTCTTCTCTACGCAAATCGTCTTCCTAAGAGTTTAAAAGATTTTATCTTTACCTTATTCAATCCTAATATAATGTGTTGGGATTGTCATAAAGACATTTAATTTGACCTTCTTGGGTGAAGTTCGTCCTTCTCGAAGCATGGTTCTTGGAGAGTTTCATAAGGTCCTCATACAAGATTCGCTGCGAATATAACTTTCTTAGCTGGTTGTTTCTAGATCTAACCAAGAGATTATTACTAAAAGAAAGTTACTTTAAAATTGTATGCTACTTGTTCAGATCCTCTTGCAGAAAACATGGTTCAAGTTAATCAAATATATATCAAGCACCATTCAGTAAATCATTACTCAATATTATATTGAAATTAATAAAATAAAAAGTATACCGTGTTTTAATAATTGGTAAGCTAAATTTGAAATTGAGATTGAATTTAATTTGAAAAACTATCCTTTGATCTATGAAGTAAATTAAATTTAGCTTAAAATTTTGATATATTTTTTTTAAATTTCAGGTTCAGGATTATTCGTGACTACGCTCGTATCAGGTATTATTCTCTACATAAGGCCTTTTAAAGTGGAAAAGTGGAGTTTATTGAGAAACGTATTTTTCTATCTTTGCACCTATTCAATTCTATTTTCATCTTTTTACTGCAGATATTACACAATCTTTCATGCACTGTGTAAGTAATGTATTTCAAGTCTAACAACATAGCTAAGGATCCTTCATTAAAGTAATCTGTGTATTTATTACAGAACCTGGTCAATTCAGATTCAACATATTTTTACTAATAAATTCAGTAAAATCAAGATGTTTAATACATGTGAGTGTCTTCATATCATAGACGGACATCTGCAATTTTCAGCAAGCAGAGAAAAAATCAATTTTTGTTTTATAGACTCAACTCAAACTGTTTCTGATGGTTTTATTTAAAAATCATCAAGCTGAATCATGAAAAAAAAATAATTACAGTTTAAATTGAAGCTGAGTTACAGGAAATATGTATTTTCTCAACTTTTTAAAAATAACGGATGTCCTTCTTTGATACGAGGTGCGTGTGCCGTGCCATTTCAAGTTGTGTTTATCGATCTACTACATTATTTCATTAAGAACGAATTCCGGTACTCTTTATTATGCTTTTTATTTTGTCTCACATGAACCTCAACCTTTTGCGACTGTTCTGCTCCTTTCCTCGATTCATTTTAAATTAAAATTACTTCAACCCAGTGGTGCTCCCCTCCCCTTCTCCCCTCCTCCCCAAGATCGATGACTTTTTCATACAAACAGAGCAAGAAAAGTAGAATTAGAAAAATCGTAGATCATACAAAATTACACTTGTGTCCACAAGGGGGTTTCTTGGCGCAAGTTGCACCATAAACATTTTTGAGGAGGGCATATTTTGCCGAAATTTTGAATTTTTGAGGGGAGCACATTTCGACAGGAATATGAATTTTCAAAGTTAAAATTTCAAATCAGAGAACAAGATAAAAGGATAAAACAGACCACTGAAAGTGTAATAGTGTACGAACTATGATTTTTTAAATGCTACTCGAGCTGACACTGTTGATAAGAAGAGAGCAATATAATATCCTTAAGCGAAGGTGGAAGGTTCATGTGCCATCACCCTTGAGGAAGATGGGCAACCCTGGTCCTTTTTAAGAAAGCAATATTTCATGGTAAACGGTTGTGTAGATAGTTGATCTGACCGAGATCACGCTCAACTGCCAAGTTTTTTCTCTTAATTAATTAATTAAGAGTACCCAATTTATAAAGGCTGAGTATGCCTCAGAAGGTTCTCCCGGCTCCAGGATCGATCCACGACCGATGAAACATAATAAATAATTACCTACCAGCCGGATTTGAAGCTGGGTCCTTTAACTTTGGAAGTAAGTGCCCTACCCACTGAACTACCCCGCTCCAATTAGGATTAGGAAAGTAGAATGATTTTAAAAAATAAAAAGATTTGCACAATAGTACGCAACTACTATTTAGTTTTTAAATTAAAAATTGTGAAACCACTTTTCTCTAACCAATTTTTTTATGCCTAGCTGTCAGCACGTTAAAAATAAATGTTTTTATCAACTCAAAACCAAGCAACTTCTGAAATGGACCTGTTAATAATATGAAAATTCAAAAACTTAAAAAAGGTTTTTTTTTTCATTATCGAGATCTATTTTCTTAAGGATTTCTTTCAACTCAAAAACATTTTCAATACCAAAATTCTTCTTATTGTTTAAATTATATAGTGAGGGGCTTAATTTATTTGATATATTATGAAGTGTTAATGAGTATAAAAATAAGTTAAATTGTTAACTTTTTTAATCGGAAGTTCGGATAAATGAGGATACAACACCGAAAAATAAACAAATGGAAAGCAACTTAATATAATTGGCAGACATTTTTATATAAATATATTTCGCTTCCTCACTACCGAAGGTAGGGAAGCATTGTATTCGTGCGAGAAGTTAAAAAAAAAATGTGTGCTCAGAATCAAAAATTTCCACTCGCGTTTTACGTTTCAGGCATCAAGGATCAACTTTGGTTCGGTGTCTGTCTGTCTGTAGTCAAATCGATGTAACGGGCTACTACCGTTTATCCGATTTTCATGAAATTTTCAGGGATTGTGCAGATGGCCCCATATCAACTTTATTAAATTCTAACCACCACTTCCGCTTACGCACGCGCAAACGCATTTTTGTAGATATGCCAATATTTCAGGAATGGCTGGTTCGATTTGACTCAAAGTTGGATAAAAGGTAGATAATTGTAAAAAAAAAAATGTAGGGTCAATTTTATTTAATTCTGTCCGTTAATTTCTCTTGTATTATATACAGGATTATAAAATTTTAGGTTTTATTCAAAAAAATTAATTGATACTGCATTGTTTGGTCGATTCCAAACATTACTGGCATGACACTTACTGCCTTACTTAGATTTCTTGTAATTTTCAGTAAATTTAAAGTAATTTTTACTCTGAATTAGTAAAGAAAAAAAACGTCTTATTTGTGATTGTGTTTATTTCCATTGAAGTTCAATCAGTTTGTCTTGGTCTCAATTTTCTCCTTAAATATCGAAGTTGTGTAAACTTCACCCATATTTTTATATTCAAGCTTAATTAGTTTTGTTTTGACTGAAGAAAAGCATTGGTCTCGTTAACACCGAACAAACTACAAGTTGAATTTTTCCTACGGATTTTTTGTTACATCCATTTTACGAGTGAAAACATACTTATTAAGTAAATATCACTAGTGCACAGGTCGTATATAAACGTTTTCAATTTTTATTCCGTTTTTGATATTATGTAGCCTGCAATTGAAAGAAGTAGTCTGCTACTATGAAAATAGTAGAGAGCAATGGAATATAAAATTATATTAAAAAATCATAAAGAAATAATTAATTTATTTGCTCTCCTGTAAAACGCTCAATTTTTATATGTCTTAATTGCATTAACAGTAGCGAAATACATATTCAGTATGCACTGGATTTTTTTTTTTATGATGAATTATCAAATATGCAATCTGCAAATGCAACTTTTTCGCATTTTAGTATTTGCTGATAAACAAAACTCCTGGATATCAAGCCCATATATGTTAAGGGATTATTAAATTTCCGAAAAAAGCTTCCTCCAGAGATTTTATACTCATAAAAAATTTTTAATATAGATATTTTTTAGCAAATAAAAACGGTGAGGAAGCTATAACATATAATGTTTATACATAAAAAATATGTTTATATCTATTTCCAGAATCCAAAAAACTGTATTTTTTTTTTATTATTCTGTTTGAGTAATTAAAACTTATTATAAAAGTATAACCAAGTTCTTTTCATTGTGTATTAACTTAAAAAAAAAAACTAACCTTTTTCAGGTATTTTGGGGGTGTATATAATATACCTTGCAATCAACATATCAGATGTTGTAGCAGATGTTATCCTCAAAAGGAAAAGTAAGCAAATATAATAATAATAATAATAATAATAGCTTTATTTCTAAATAATTTACATATGTGCAATTGAACTCATGTTCAAAGACATACCTCATTGTAATGACCATCTGAGAGAAATCTACTAAAGCACAAATTTTAGAAGAAAAAAAATTAAATATTCATGTAAATATTAAATAATAATATTTGCTAAGTGGTCTAAAACAAATTTATATACTTACTCCAAATACAAATTTAACATGGTTGCTAATAATTAAATTCATTTATCAGTTAATACCTGTAATGCCAGGCTAATCTGCAAAAGCTAACTAGTCTATTTGAATTTTTACCATTCAAATTATTTTAAAATTCTAACACATCTAATGTTGTTTTATTAAAACACTTTATTCTGAGTTCAGCTAGAATTGGGCACGTAGAAAAGTATGCAAATTTAAACTATTTGTAACAAAAAAAAAGAATGAAAATTAGTTTCCTCTAGATATTTGTCTCAGCTTTAGACAAATATCTGGAAGACACTAATTTATCATACTAATACCAAAACTCATCTATTTAATAAAAATGAATGTATGTCTGTCTGTCCTTTATACATTACTAAACCATTCATCCGATTGCCATGAAACTTCGGGAAGTGATTGGGCAGACAAATAAGCTGTAACAAAATATTCTTTATTAAATAATTACTAATTAGATATTAACTAGGTTTGTTGGCTATAGGAGAGCTGAAACCAACGAATACAGTTAAAAAAATAATATATTTATAATTCAAAGAGAATAAAATTTTAGATCCAAAAATAAAATTCTTATAAATTGATTAATTACTATTCAATATAAAAAATACAGACTGAACACTTTATAACTTATTCTAATTAATAATCTAATACTGTTTACAATAAATACTCTATACTAATCAATAAATTAATCAGGTTTGAAATAACTAATAAAAGTTAATACTGGTTTATTAATTCTGATAATTTTAATAATTAATTATTATGAATTTGATTTAAAAACTGGCCATTTATTCTATAATTATTTATAATAATTATTGAGCACAAAGATACTTTACATTTATACTCTGCAGAATATTGTATACTTGTATAATAAATAATTAATATAATAAATCTCAGTTACTTGTTCAAGGTATATTACCGAATGAATTTTGTTCCTTTACATTGCCTTTTTGATTATACTGTTTTTTTGTTTTTTTATCCAGCCCTTCCTCATCTTTTAGGTGATTAATGTCAGAGTTAAAACCTCTGGAGTTTATTTTCATCAAATTATATTAAGTTTAATAGGTTGCAGGGCACCCTGGGTTTAACCACCTGTTAGCTAGCTCAGCCAACCCACCCCCGACTATTCGGGTTTCTTTCCAAGCCAAGGGAAAAGTCAGGCGATTGATGCCAGAGTTAAAAGCCTTAAACAACTTAAAAGACTGAATCTCCTCCCTCTCTCACTTCTCCTATTCTCAAATTTGAGGTATGCACTCTACAGGGATAATAGGGGAACCGCCTTCTGTGTTTTGCTATTTCTTTAGCATATGAGAATAACAGGGTAAATTGATACGAGTTACAGAACTGATATGTCTCTTGTCGAGAGCTTTTTAATTCTTCTGAACCTACTATACTATTTTGAATACCTCCCATCTTGATTCAACTGGGCATTTATCACCACTTCAGCTCATTTTTTTCCTTACTCAATAATACTAACACATTTCCATACAATATTTTACATAGTATAGTTTATATTTAACTATATATAAATTTCTTTCAACCATATCATACCATAATAATATACAGTGTTTCAACTGCTTCCTGCAGTGCTACATCCTATGCCCTAATGAAGACCTTTAAAGTGGGTCAAAACGTCGGCAAAAATTAAATAATTCTACTTGTTTAATTTTGTATTAATTTGACCGCACCCCCGATCAACTCCTTCTCATAATAAATATATATATATATATATATATATATATATATATATATATATATATATATATATATATATATAAGGCTAAAAATAATATATATTTTCTTTTACAGTGGAAATAATGAAAACAGATGGTAAATATTGGTTAATATTTTATTAAATGCACTCATTTATGCTTGCTAGAAAGCTATTGTAATTGATATTTTGATAGATGAACAAAAACTCAAGTTGATGGCTAGGGAAAGGTCAATATTTGTACCAAACTTGGATCGTGGACGAGCTTCTGTTGCTGAAGGTTTTTATATGAAAAACAATCTATAGTGTCCATTATATATTTTTTAACATTCATTTTATTCTTTTTTTACCTACAAAACTTTAAAGGTATTATGTTAAGGAAGGAAATGAAAAGAATATACAGCCTGATGGGGTTTGAGCTTTCCGTTCCTAAAGTATTCCGAGGTAAATAAATTAGCATTAATAATAAAGCAAATAAATTAGTTTTGAATCATAATAATGATAGATTGAAATATTTTAATGTTTATTTAGTTAAAATTGAAAGATGATTTTAGGATATGATTGGAAAAATTTAAAGCCATTCATCAATGAATTTATGGAAGAAATATCCTTCAAAAAATTTATTGGTTCAAATTCGTCACTTATGCATAAAATCTTTAGGGTTATACAGGTATATAGAACAAATTTAATAAATTACTGTTATAAGATTAATTAATTTAAGATTAAAAAATATCTGGTGTATCCACTCACACTACTTTTCCAACTATTTCAGAGAAATATAAAGCACTTTAAATATTTTAATTTTAAAAAAACAACTGAATTAGCATTACGGAGCAGGATGGCTGAATGGGCTAACGTGTGTGCCTAATACGCATTTTCTGGCAATATGATAAACCGAAGTTTAAATGATAAACTGGTTTGCCAAAATAATAATAATAAATAAACTAACCCGGTGCCAAGTGGACTTTTTAAGTCTGGTATTAATCCCCTGAGGGTGAGCAGTATATTAACTAGGTCACCATCTGGTCAGGGTACAAGTCTGAAGAATAAGGCCTACTATAATGAGAACAATTCCATGGTTGATTAGTAATATAATATAATATAAATTACTACTACTTCAAGTGTTGAACATAAAGCTATTATGTTGATCAATGATCAGTCAATTAGTTAATAGTAATTCAGAATTATTAAATATTTTAGATACCGGTCTTGCTTGGCCTGAAGTTGATGGTACCTGTGGTTAACACGACTGAGCGAAATGACGGTTGGTGTAAGCTATTGGTAATGATAAACCTTTTTTTGTTTCCGAACCTGGTTTTATATTGTTTTGATTGTAAGTAAAAATACTAAAATTCCAAAAATAATAATACTAATAATGGCATAACTATTTTTTAGTTGATAAAAACTCTAGCCAATATTACAGCACACAAAATAAAATAAATTTCTAGAAACTCTAGCCAATGTTACCGCACACAAAATGAAATAAATTTATAAAGTACCTTATAATCAACTTATTATTTATTCATTTTATGAAGTAATGAATTTTTAGGAGAACTATATTTTGTTGAGTTTCAATTTAGAGTATATTTTAAACCAGAGAACAAAGGAAAACATGGTTCACAATATATTAACATACTTTAGGTCAGGGAATCCAATAGTTTTTTTTTCAATGGCTCATATTAACAGGAATTTATCTGGTTATCTAGTAAAACTACATTTAAAAAGTGTTCATAATTAATTCCTTTTATATTTTATTATTTATTATTTGGGTTTTATACAACTCAAGGAGTCATATCCCCAACACCCAAAAGCCCTAATCCCTGTATAACAACCATTATTACTATTATGGAATGACACTTTTTTCTTTTTTATACTACAAGTATAACTTAAAAATCACATTTGATAAAAATATAAAAAATAGCCAATTAAAATAATGCCAATTATTAACATTTATATAAAATCTAAAATTGTCAACAAATCACATACAGAATAACATTAAATACATTTTATTTTTTAAATATTAATATTAAACTATGTTTTTAAATTAAATTAAAAGATTAGTTGTGTGAACAAAGAAACTAAAAAGAAATAAGACCTGAATAGACTATATGCCTATGTATAATACGTTCTTGCTATAATATCTAAAGGACAATACTCCCGATTATCCCAACAATTCTCTATAACATGATATATTAGAAATATAATTTTCTCATATCTTCTATAGTGATTAGCTTATATATTTTCATCTCATTAAGATTTCCCATACCCTGGTAAATTCATGCTCTCAACCTATTGTATATTGGGCATTTAAATAATAAATGTTAAAGTGTCTCTTTTTCCATAGTGGTGCACATTTTGCACTTGAGTTGTGGAGTGATTTTCACAATTTTGTTGTTAACTGAAATCCTGACCATTTATTTTCCCGAGAAGCAGATTTGCATTAATAATCTGATATATTTGAAATTAGCCAGCATCAATAAATACTGGGAGATCTAACGATTGTTAGAAAAAAGGTTCACATGTTCACTGTAAGCTGAGCTATGCAATGTTTTCTTGTCATCCTCCTGCAAATGTTGTTTATATTTATTTAATATCCTGTCATTATTTTCTCTAATTATGGCTTGATCAGTTTCATAAACTAGATTGTCTTTTCCAATAGTGTCTAACAATACATTTAGCTGAATACACCAAGTATATTTTGATTAATTCCTGTATAGAAACAAAAACAATCAATATTCCACAAAACTAAGAAAATTAAAAAGCAAAGTAAGATTATATGAATGATGAATTCTCTCCTAGTTTCTATATCTCTATGAAAACTGAGGACCAAGCAATAAAAAAATAATAATAATTTATATTTTATATTTTTATGAAAATAAAGTGTTTCTCTCACGTGATATTTTTTTTCTTATTTTTTGCCTTTTCTTGCTTTCTTCCAGTTTAAAGGAAGAATAAAAAAATATGTCTTTATAAATTTTCACAGGAGTTTAATGTTTTTTAACAATATTTTAACTGATTTTTTTGAAAGGTGGAAATAATAGATAATAATTGGTCAGGAATACAATATTGTTCATCTTAAACATTTAAATGATTTCCAATTCAAATATAAATTTATATTTTTTTTTGTAATTGTAAAACATATAAAAGCATTCCTCTCAAATTTGATTGTTTCAGATGAAGAGTATACAGTGACTTCTGCTGGTATGAATATTGATTTGTGGGTATTAGGAATTGTGACAGGCTTAATTTTTGCAACCATCATATTCTTTCTAACTCAAGCATATGCAAAACCAAAATACCATTGGGTAAGTATCATATCTGATCAATAACCTATCAAGTAATTCTATCACCTGATAATATAGTAGTAAATTTGGCAACCGCCACTTGGTGAGAATTATAATTAATTGTGCAAACACTGCGATAAATTAATTTTAACTTATTAATAAAGCAACTAAATAAGAGACCTCTCCTCTATAGGTCCAATTTAATAAAGGGTCACTTGAATAAATTAAGGGCGTACCAATTTTATGATAAAAGCAGGTCTGATATACCGCTACAAGTCCTGGACACTAACTAGCACCCTTGAAAAAAGTATTGAAAGATTTGAGAAAAAAATACCGCGCACAATAAAGTGGTAAGTCCGGTACCAGAATCCTAACGCATTAAAGAGAAAGAGCGATTAACACCTGCTTACAGAAACTGGTCAATCAATATCTCTCATAAAAAGGCATGAAGGTTAAGATGTATCTTAGAGCAATCCATGTGTAAGTCTCTACAAAACAATGAAAGCCTCAATAGAAGGCAAAAAAACAGATGGATAGATAGAATCGACAAAGATGCAACGGAGCTGCATGCAGATAACTAGAAAGAAATATTCCAAGATTAGCAGAGATGGAGCAGGATGATTAAGGTGCAAAGTCTTTATGCCAACAAAAAAAAAATAAATAAATACAATTTATCCATCATTAAGGTATGATATTTAAAAGTTAAATATGTAATTTCAGTTTCATTCAAATTGTTCATTTTTGAATAGGCTATTCACACACACACGCATGCATATACACATGCACGCACACCCACAGATACACACGCATGAACACACACACTTATACATCAACCATTTTGAGACCTTAACACCTGTATTTCTTTTGAAAATTTGGATGTTTTGCTAAACTACATTCTTTAAGAAACTTAATAGAAAATTACACCAGCAACCACAAACATGAAAACACAAAGGATCAAATACACATAAATATATAAATTAATAGTTTCTTTTAGTCCTTGAATTATTATGCTCTGCATATTAATATATTGTAATAATATTCAAGTTTTCTCATTAATTCTAATATATTTTGTCAAGATAACCTACGTAATACATGAAAAATAAACTGGATTAGCATTGAATGGATACTATATCTTTATTATATTTTAATTAGATTGTTCAGGTTTAGATATTTCATATTAAATGTTCTTGAAACATATTTTGTTCATAAAAATAAATATATAATATTTTTTTTAAAAACTGCAATTAAGATTAAAATCAAATGTTATGGAAAATGGTGAATGTTCTCAACCAAGGAGAACTTTATATTAAACATTTATGATTTTTAATGCTTCTTTAAGAAACCTTACCTCTTAAGAAATTTGTTTTAAATCATTGTAAGAAGTTTTCTAGATATTGGAAATCAATGTTTAAATGTTAAAAATACTAGAGCACAAAATATTATGGTCTGGAACAATTAATTCAATTTGTTTTCTAGTAATAATAATAGGGAAATTACCACCTAGGGCCATGATTGTTTATTTTATTTCCTTACTTTAAAGCTCAGTAGATGTTAAGGTAAGTCAATTTGTTTTGACAAAACTAGTCTATAAGGACAAACTTTCAAGTATTAGACTGAAAATTTAACTGTTTAATTTGTCGTTGTTTAAAAGAGTTACTCTTAAGAGAGTGTTAAAAAAATATCACCTAAAGTGAACAGGTTTGTTGTTTCTGAAAACCAAACAATATTTTATTTGTATGGTTTATTATTTTTTTAAATGAATTTTCAATCTGTAACTAGTAATAGTTAAAATACCACAAACTTTTGTTAAATTTATTAGTACCTTTTTAAAAAAAAATACTATAATTGCTTTAAGAAAATTAAATATTTTAACTTTACAAATTTAGCGCTGTGCAACCACTTAATCTAAAATAAGATAAATGTTATCGTCAACAAATTATTATGATTTTATATTAAATTTATTCAATGTTCAAACGTTATGTGTAAAAAAACAAAATCAAATAATTTTAAATGTGTACTCTCTTAAAATTTGCACACAAGTAATCTACCAAGTAATTATTAATAATAATGTATTTAATTTTTATGGTTTATATTAAGATACTGGCCTATCTTGGATTTATCTGCGCTATTGCTGTGATCCGTTTTGTTTCTGCCCAAGTCATCTTTCACCTATCAACTATAGGAGCCAGGTATACAATCAGCAGCTCAATTTTGGCTATCACCCTCCTTTCTTGGGGAAACTGTTTGATAGGTATGTAACGTACTTTAGCTCTTTCCATCACTTAGCCATGGAAATTTTTATAATTATATATAATGTTTTATGCTTATTTTAGTAATTAAGAACATCAAAATAAGTGTAAATTTAAATTTTGAGCATATTCAATCATCTTCACATCTACATATAATTAAAAAAATACTAATATATTGAACTCATTTTTCTAATAACATTATAGCAGTATTCACAATGTTGTCTCATCTTCAGATAAATAATGAAATTTTCTATTTCAATATTTCTATCTTAAATATGAGCATATAATCAGGAATATATCATAAATACTTATAATAAATAATAAATATAATATTTTTAAATCTATTTTATTAATAATTTCTATAATTTACTTTCTCTAACCTATAAGCCCTGGAGACAGGGCCCAAAAACTGACCTCATTCCTGGCGAAGGTTTGAATGTAAATTACAAAAGTGTATGTTTTTATAACTAAAATAAAGTTTTTGCTTTATCTGCCATTCCAGAGCAGCTGCTTTCAAAAATTGCGGCTGATTTAAAGAATATTAGGCCAATAACTTGAGCATCAAAATGGGAAATTCATTGTGAAAACTGTGGAAAAGTTTTTATTTTTTAAACTTATATATGTCTGTTTAGACATGTAAAAAACAAAATTGCAAATGCGGGCCACCAAGGGAAAACTTTTTACATGTAAAAATATCAGATATTTTTCACCTATAACCCCTAAACGATGCATTGAAGCGAAAAATGTACTTTTTAAGAAATTGTAGAATCTTAAATTGTGCGTCGAACGAGTACCTAAACTTAATGATTTGGTTTAGTGGTATGATAAAAAACCATGGTCAATCAACGCTGAGTTTTACTAAATTTGTCAAAAACAGATAAATTACTATAAATGACTTTATAGCTTGGAAATGAGTTCCCTAAGAAAAAAAACCTATAGAATCAAAGTTGTAGAGTATCAAGTTTTGCATCCACTGAGTACTAACATTTTTATTTTATGTAACTTATATATCTTGAATCGGGATCCATTATTTCTTCATTAAATTCATTATCTTTGGACACATCGTTTCTCAATATCCATCGCTGCTGAGAGGTAGGAAAAGAGGCTTATAATGCATGTAACAGACTCTAAACAAGAATAACTCACTAGAATAGACACCTATACTGTCAAAATGTTGAGAATTACACATACCTTCATTACTAATTTCTAACCATCGGGAAATTATTAATTTTGTTTGGAGCAAGTGACCTAAATTAAAACTGTTGTGCTTGGTTGACGCAAAATCCTAAGCTCTACAACTTTGATTCTATGAGTTTTTGCTCTTAAGAAACTCATTTCCAAGCTATAGGTTCCTTTATAGTCACTTGTCTTAGTTTTTGACAAATTTGGTAAAAATCAGCATTGGTTGACCATGGTTTTCTACCGTAGCACTTATTCAAATTATTAGATTTAGATAATCCTTCGACACAAAATTTAATGTTCTTTAATTTCTTAAACAGTATATTTTTCGCTTCAATGCATCTTTTAGGAGTTATAGGTGAAAATATCAGACATTTTTGAATATAAACAGTTTGCCCTTGGTGGTCTGCGTTAGTAATTTTGTTTTTTACATGTCTAAACCCACGAATATAAGTTAGAAAAATTCTCACATTTTTCGCAATGAATTTCCCATTTAAATCCTCAAGTTACTGGCCCATTATTCTTTAAATCAGCCGCCATTTTTGAAAGCAAGGGCAGACAAACTTTATCTTACTTAGAAAAACATTCCTCACTTACATTTACATTCAAACCTTCCTCTGTGATGAGGTCGATTTTTGGGCAGAGGTTCGAGAGCTATATCTATACCATAGGTATACATATATATATATATAAATATATATGAATGAAAATATCATAAAGCAAAAAGATACAAAATATAATATTCATACAAATGTTATAACACATAGACAATGGAATATTCTGTCTGTCGAAGTCTATGTGATCTTTCTACAAAATATATTCCATTTTATGTTAATTTAATGAATTTTATATAAATTAATGATCAATGATATTTTTACATTATTATTAATAACATTTTTAAATTGTTTCCCAGTTCTCCACCCTTCAAAAATAAAAAATAAAGTTTTTTTTCATATAAACATTAAAAGTTAGCACAACTTGACCAACAAGCAATAAAATGATAAGTAATAATGATATGTAGTAAAAACACAGAGGTGCCCATCATACCCCAAGGTCAACAGCGCACCAACCTACCCCCCCTCCACCCAAGATATTTTATTGCTCACTTTCCTTAAAAACAGAGCAAGCTAAGGTAAAATTAAAATAATCATAGATAATATACAATTACATCATATACACTTGCTGTGCTCAGTTCCACGTTTTTCCCTTGTCCTTTAGTCCAAAAATTCTTAACCTCCTCGAAATTTGCCTTCCTCAAAAAGTTAGAAACCCCTCAAAATATGGCCCCCCTCAAAACTTTTGATGGTGCAACTTGTGCCATGAAATCCCCTTCTGGGCACCCCTCTAAATACATAATTAGATTAAGTATATTTTATATTAAATAATAAACAATACAACAATAACAAATAAATATTATCCATAACAAATAAATAAGTCATTCCACTATTCACTCACAAACTTACTATCTGGTTTCTTTGTAATATGGCTTGCTGAGTATAATTACTTAGGGCTTTCCAATTAGCACCTTTCAATAGACTTAATAATTTGATAAAAAGGGGTCTGTACCACGGACTATTAAGAAAATTGTCAAACCACAGAAAACAAAATGCATATGGCCACTCAAATATTTATTACATATTTTGTTCCCATATTTAAACTCAATTTTCAAAATGATAGAGATTGAATTCAAACTCAAACTAAAATAAATTAATGTTTTTTATGACACTAAATATTAAATATATTTCAAGATTATGGGATTATAACTTAAATATGGCAGATAACTTAACATGTAAACAACATAGTCTTGGAAATAATTAATTAATTGAGAATTTGAATGGTCTCCCAGTTAAGACCATTAGCCTATAAAATATATTTATGCATTGTATACAATTAGTATTTTTCAATATTAAGAAAGAAATCGATAATGACGGTTTACATAATTTATAATTAGGTCAAGATATTCACAAATATTTTTTTCCAGATTGTGTTTCAAATACTGCTTTAGCGAAACATGGATTGCAAAATATGGGCTTCGCAGCTTGTTTTGGTGGACCTATGTTCAGTATCCTTTTTATACACTACCTTAGTGTTGACATTTGATAAGTTTATTATACCTAAATGATGTCTGTGATAAGGGAAGCATTAAGCATTTTTAATCTGCACGATCACGGATGTAGTTGTTTTTCTATCACATACAGAACTAATTAAATTATATTTTTTGAACTTTGACCAACTATCTGACAAGGATTTTTTTAGATCATCATGTAAAACTTAATTGAAAAGATTTAAAATGATATTTGGGATCATTGTTAGGTTTTTATGATTTAAAACATTATATTTCTGAATAATTGACCTCATAGCAGTTCTCTATAATCAAGTTTCAGAGGTATACTAAAACTAGCACCAGCAGTAAACATATGTAAAATAATACACTAATATCTCTTTACCTGCAGGGAGAGAGAAGGAGAGAAAATACGGGTTCAGATCCGGGCCTCGTAGGGGGCCCAGCCCAGTCAATTAGATTTTATTTTCTGTTTTCTGTATAAATAACGTTACATAATATTAAACAATTAATTATGAAAGTTCATTACACAATTTTTGTTGCATATATTATAAAGTGTGAGGTTGTGCTTCAGTGATGATTTTAATATTTGATGGTGACCCAGGGAATTTATCCCTGTGGACCATGGTTTCTCTCCATGGCCCTATAAAAATTTATATGAAAATTCCCAAACTATTTAAGTTTTACATATGTTTAATTCATTACAAGTTTTTTTTTTTAATATTTCATGGTGAATAAACATCTTTGATTGGTATATTTCATCTTCTTAACTAATCTGCCAGATTGTTCACTTGGAGTTGGTGCCATATCAATAATTGTACACTTGAAAGGAATGCCGATACAAGTTAGCATACAATACTTTTATAATTACATACTGTAATGTATAAATACATACTTAAGAAATATTTGTCTATTCTTAATTCAACTCTCAACCAATCCTCTACAATGATTCCTTTATAAAATGACGATAATTCATCAAGTGCTCATTATAAACTGTCATCTATTTCAGGCATTTTATGGACACGTCTCTCCTGTGGGGTCACTTTTTCTCTTCATATCACTTCTGTCAACGCTCATCTTCATACCCAACATGAACTTTGAAGGAAGAAGGTTCTTCGGAATTTACCTTATTCTGCTTTACGTGACCTTCATGATCCTCTGTGTTCTTATGGAAGATACTATTCATGCTTTTGGTACACAGTATTATAAAGATTGGGCATCAGCTGTTAAAGAATAATTATCAACCATAAATAAATTATTTTAATTGATTTCAATTTTCCATCAATATATTGTACGTTATGTTACTTTATATAAAAGTGTAAATGAGAAGAGTTTTTTTAGTTCTATGAAATTATTGCATAGGATTAACTTTGATCAATGATAAATGCTAATTTCTTAAATGTTCGCTGTTGTGAATGGGTCATTATTATTTAGATCTTTGTGATTTTCATATTTTGACAGTTAAATTTTTAAAATTTAAATATTTGCTTTTTTTTTACATATATATTGAATTGCTACACCCTGGAATATTGTGCCAGTTATTGAATAATGAGCTAATTTATTTTGTTTAGCAAATTTTCAAATGTTGAAAATACAAGAATGTGATTTCCCTTCTAGTATGCTAATAGTATTACTGATTTAATTTCTTTCTAAAGTTTTACTATATTTATTCTCCATCTAGTTTTAAAAAAAATAGCTGTGACCAGAAATATCCATTTTTTATTTTGGCCATATTTACATAAGAAATTTTAAAAATTCAATAACAAATTAAAAGAAATTTCTATTTGCAAAAAAATATCCTTCCATTACACAACTTAAATTCATTATATTATCGAATAGCATTTCTTAACATATCCAAGGATCATTGAAATTTGTTATTTGAATGCTTCTATTGAACATCTTTATTAATTTTTTTTAGAAATTAAAATGAAATTATACAAATTTTGCTAATCACAGTTTTTTCTTTATTTACCTGTAATGTTACAGTAAAGTTAAAACATTACTTATTCAATTTTCAATCTATTTATTCGTTAACATTCATTTTCTTTATCTGTTAACCCACAGTTATCTAATGTTATCTCTATTAGTTTGTTATACACTTATTCCTTATCTTTTATCGCAATCTGTTTACTTTTAACTTACATGCTATATTCTCCTTTATTTTTATTTTTATTCATACTTATTTTCCATTTATTTGTATCTTCTACACATATAATACTTAATATTTTACTACATTGTCACCCACTATATCTCTGATATCATCTTTTATTTCTGTATCTGACTTCCTCTTATTTTATATCTACTTATATTTAATTTTTATTCTCAACATGTTTTGTATCGTTTGTAGCCCTGAAAACGACCTGCAAAGTGGGTCGAAAGTCGGCAAAATTAAAATAAAATAATTACTATAGTTTAATTTAGTATTTATCTGATCACACCACTGGCTAACTCCTTCTCATACAATAAATGTATTTTATTTAATTTCGTTGGAAACATGTGATTTCCGTTAAACAATATTAGTTTAAACAAATTTATAATTTTTATATTTATAATTTTTCGTAACACACCATTACCTTCTACGAATTTCTATATTAGACATTGTTAATTCTAAATTTCTCCGCTTCTCAACGATATATTACACTATACCTTCTGACTATTATTTCCGAAGATTCATTTTCCACTTGGATAAGCAATTTTCTTTTTTCTCCTTTATTCGACTATCAAATTCTTTCAAAAGTTATATTTAGCCTTTTTTCATAATTCCTAACAATGAGATATAGTTAATTATTTAAAATAAACCAAATTAAAGGTACATGTTGAATATTGGGCATTTAAGCCCTATAAAGTGACATCGGTAAGACCTAGCTGATATTATATATCATTTAATAATGCACTGATATAGTGAATATAATCAAAATCGTTAGAGCCGTTTTTAAGAAAATGGTAAAAATGTAAATAAACATAGTTGATATAAAGTACCACTTCATGTTTGCCGATTTTGAAGAAAATATTCCTGTAACGTCTCATGCAGTTAAAAATCTTAAATGCGCAATTTCAGTTTCCTACATTTCGTTTTTGAGCTAGGCAGTTCATACACACGCAAGCACACATACCCACACCATTTTGTGAGACTTGGTTATTTCGACTCAGGGGACCTCAAAACGTATATTTCCGTTGAAAATTCAGATTTGAAAATTTTCACGATCGCAATACTATATATTACATATATAGGTAAGTGGAAGTAAAAGTTGTTGCCACATCACAGCTATATACCTACCTTTAATACATAGTTTCAGTTTCGTACGACTTTTCATTTTTGAGCTAGGCTGTTCACATACATACATACACACACACATAAGCATACATGTACAGACACAGAACTGGTTATTTGGACGCAGTGAACTTCAAAACATGTATTTACGTTGTAAACTCAGATTCTTAAATTTTCACAATTGCTATACTTTCCTTTACTATATATTTCATACATAGGTTATCAAAAGTAAAATTATTATTTTATGCGTATTGTTTCTAAAGAAACTTGTTCATTGTTTTTCTCAATTTAAATTACTACAACTTAAAAAAACATAAACTTATTTGCAAGAGCGAAAGCTTGGTTAAAGTTTGAAACGTTTTTATTTTTACTTTATTTACAAAATATTTACATACATCACAAACCCACAATATCATATTGTAATATAAGTTTATATTTGTAATTCTTTATGTTATCAACTATCTCGGATGAATGCAATTAATAAACGCCCAGCTGAGTGTATAAAGCTGTTTCCTTCGTTGCATAATATGCTACAATATAAAATATAAAAGGATTATAGTGCTGATGCTTTTGAGTATTATGATTTTAAAATTCAGTTATTAACAGAAAAACAGTTGACTCGACCATATGTAGACCAGAAATTATTTGACTTGAAACTTAAAAGTTGAATTGAATTAGAGAGGAGTAATGGAGTTGAGCAGTACCACCATTAGCAGTACCATTAGTACCACGATGATGGCGGGTGCCGTGGTGCAAGAATCCATCGAGAACACAATAGCTCCAACCAGGGTAAGTTAAGGATAATATTTACCCAAGAATTTGGCCGGAATCTTGGTCTTCTTTATGCCATTTTTGCACCCACGCAAGGTTAAGAGGGGTTTCCTTATTTTACGTACTATTACCTTATCATAGATTACTAGAAACTGAGCATACGATGATTAATTAAACAATTTAGGAGATTATTTACACCTCCACAGTTTATTACACTGCTGTTATAGTGATTAGTTATAAATGAATTATGCCGAATTTAACATATGCATTTAGGCAATGCAAATAATTGCTATTTATTCACCTTATAGATAATTCATTAGTTTAAAACAGACCACGCAGGATGGAAACAATGGAACAGACTGCAATGTAATTGTATATCATCTACGATTTGCCTAATTCTATTGTACTTTCCTTAGCAATAGGAGCAATAGGATATCTTGAGAGAGGAAGGAAAGGGGGGAGGCTAGATTCTTGCGCCATCGACCTTGGGGGGGGGGGGGGGGGCAGAGGGGATGGTCACCCCTAATTCCAAATTGATCTATACTGAAGACTCCGAGGGCTCCGTAGGTGAGGGAGCATAGAATGTGTGTGAGGGAGGGAACCGACTATTTTCCTTATCAACAATACGTACCAATTACACAGCTGAAGTTGTTGTAATTTGATAATTCTAAAATGTTATCCATCCAGCTAAAAAAGAGAAAAAAACAAATAGGTTATCTGGTTCAATAAAAGTTCACCACCAGCCTTATTCTTATTCTTATTATTCAGCACTACCTTGCACATCTTGATCCTGGAAGACCATTTTCCCATCAGAAAGCTTTATCATCGGGCAGTTATTTATAAAACCTGATTTTCTTTTATATATTTCACCGAAAAACTTTCTGGCCTCATTGTCCCTGCTGTACTCTTCCACCTTACGCCAGTTTTCCTGTAATGCATATCTTTTCTTGTGCCTCAGAATCTTTTTTGCATTACCTCTGGCTTCCTGGTACTCCTTTCTGTTCTGTCTAGTATCCCTGTTTGGAAGTTTTTTCCTCTTTTCGTTCTGCACATTGACTGCTTCTTCACACTCCATGTCAAACCACACGTTTTTTATTTTTCTGTTTCCATCCATCTTACAATGTTGGTCAGCTGAATCAGCTATAGCTTTTCTAATATGGTTCCATTCCTCATTCACATCTCTTTCTCCAATTACAGCTGGGATGTTACCTACACCTCTTTCAACGTCTCTCAGGAAAGCATACCTTATTTCCTCTTCCTTTAACTTTTCTCTTGCCCAGGTGATCTGCGGTTTACTCCTTTCAAACATGCGTCGTATATTAGCGATTTTAATTTTTTAAAAAAACAAAATGCAATCTTTTTTTCACCTGTTTACTTGTCCAAAACGTCAATGAATCTAGAAAACTGTAGGAAATTAAACAAAATAAAACTTAGGAACAGACTTTTATACATCTTGGTGTCAAATCCAAAAGAGGACGGGTTTCTCTGCACCTCTATTATGTTGCCTTGTCCAGATCAGGTCACGGTAGAAAAATCGATATATTTCTCTACTACAGGAAAAAAAAAACTAAAAATATCGTTTAATATTAAGTATACTATTCTAGTCCGTGATACAGACTCCTTTTTATCGAATTATTAACATCCGCCTGAAATTTCGTAAATAGTTTCATCTCATCGTAACCTACAACTATTTTATTTACGAAAACTCTTGGAATTGGGGCGTTTTCAATCTGAAGGGGGGCAAACTTTGTCTATTTAATTCCCAAATTAAAAAATGATCACAATTATTGGAATGTTTAATAATTTTACAAATGGGGCAACTTCAATAATGACAGGTGTGCCATTTATTTCAAGTTCCTGATTTTAGAGCAAAGTTTATTCTTAACATTTTAAAATCTTTTACGGTCACCAAATGATTAATACTGTGCCACACTTTCAGAACCAATGTCACTACGTAATGACGCTGCCTTACAAAGAAAGGTGTGATTTTGTGATGAGTACGGACGACTGCGGAGCTGATGGGTCAGTGCTCATGAACACCTTCCGTTTCATATTTTGTGATTTTAGCGAAGAGCAGTCCTACATCGGCATTATAATAACAGTAGGTATAATTAAATATCTAAAAAACATTAAATCCTAGCCTGGTTGCCTGTAGGAAACCCTACATTCCTAATTGAAAAACATAAGGATACCGAATCCAATTAAGAAAATTTAAAAAAAAAGTAACAAAAGCTCATTATTTAAGTTAACTTAATATATATATTACCTGGTACTAGGATAGTTTCCCAAAAAAATTAACAAGATGAGGTCTATGATTTCCAAATCGTGGCGAGAGGTATTTTAAAGGGATAATGACGGACAGGTAGAAATCCGTTTCACGGCTTTGTCTCCCGAAACGCCAAGTTTCTCAGCATTGGCTATGTATATCCATCTGGAAAAGTGCGACTTGAGACGTTTGTATCAAGTTCCAAATATGGAATAATGTCGCGGAACATCTCTGCGTATGTCCTGATAAATGTTTCTCGCGTTATCGACCCTAATTGTAACATTTCTTTACCGTTCATCGGCTTATTTGTGATTTTAAGTCATTTTGAACTCGAACTAGAGAAGGAAAGACGGTTCCTAAAGCTCTTCTAGATATCCTTGACAGATGCAAGTTCATTCCATTGGCCCACCATGAAAAAGTCTCATAGAAAAATATTTGTCAAAAAATAAGACTTGAGGATGAAGTAGTATGCGCCAGTGAGTAATTATTTCAGTTTGAAAAGAAATCATAGATTCTTGTGGTAGACACTATTGAATTCCTGCAACGTCCATAAGTTCTGTATCTGCTGTAATGCATCAGATATGTAATCGGCCACGCTGATAATTTGGTATTTTGCCAGCTATGCCAATCCTTGTTTCGGCTTATCTTCAAGTTGGAAAAAAGATTCATAGCCGGGTAGCAGAAGCCAGTTGGTAATGTTTTAGAAAATGGAATATCCCATCCATCTATGAAAGGGAAATAGACTCTATATAACTTTTGCATATGAAACAGATTATGAGCTCGTGGGTTGAAGGTCGCACAGGTAAATTAATTTTTCAACATGATTTTTATTTATTTGCAACATTTAAATTAGCTGTTTAAGAATGTATAATATATTAAGTTCTAATAAAGGTTTTGCTTAGGTTTGCGTTATGGCATTTGTATTTATTACAACGGCATTCGTTGCAGATGGCTTGTAAGTTATATATTTTATACTGTCTTAATGGTAATTTTCAAAACATTTATATAGTTAAGGATATATATATTTTGCGCAGCATATGCACCAACTTAGCCGTTATTTCAAGAAGCCTAAAACTTCCTGATAGTATAGCTGGAGTGACCCTGCTAGCCTTGGGAAATGGGATACCTGACCTTTTCACTGCTTTTGCTGGAGCAGAGCTTAATCATCCTGAAATATTGTTCTCATCACTCACTGGTAAATAATATCTCAATTTCTCAAAACTCGCTAAAAACAAAAGTATGCACAATTACTGCTCATGGAGGAATTCCCTCGAATGGGCTAAAGCGTGTGCACTGCACCGCCGTTGCCCGGCAACCTGACATATGAATCTAATGATATAAAAATAGTCACGAGTTCGCGTCCCGGTGCCGGGGGAGTCTTTTAAATCCCCGCTCACACCCCCTGGCCCGGGAAAATCCCGTATAGCCTTAACGGCGAGGAAGGGAAGGACCCCAAAAAAAAAAGACTGAAAAGTTTGAAGTTTTGTTATGTGTGTTGGTTTTGAAATTCCGTATATTTGTAGTCCGTAAGTCCAAAGAGGTTTTAAAAGATATGTGTAAATACTTAGTTTCTATCTTGCTTTTAATTTGGAATGTCATCTTAACAGTGAATGTAACAATTTTAGTCTTAGATTGAATGTGATTCGTTTTTCTTCACATGTGGACCCCATGTCATTCTTCTATCGAACGTAAGGCCTAGGTATTGTACTCTGTCTGTTTGTGGAATCGGTGTTGTGACTTTTGATAATTTATTTGAGTTTTCCAAAGTTTACACCAATCGAGTATTATTTGTAAGTGATGTTGTAAGTTAAGTGATTTCTCCGTAGAATTGTCGTGCCTGATAATGATAAAAGTATCGTCTGCGTAGGTTTCTGTAAGTGTGGATACTTTGAGGAATGTCGTGTGTGTATGTGATGTATAGTAGTGGGGCTAGGATTGATCCCTGAGGTACACCAGCTAAAACTGGTCGAATTGAGGATAGACCTTGACCATGACTTGAAGTCTTATTAAATTTAATTAAACGAACGATCGTATAATATATTTTTTATAAGACATGGTTATATTTTGCATTTTTTTTTTTTTTTTTTTTTTTTTTTTGGAAGGGGAAGGAAGGCTTCAGTCCGAAAGCCGCCTGTGCCCACGCCATCAGCGTAACCTAACAATGGCACTTGATTTGTAAATATCGTGCCTCTGTTGTAAATGCTAGAATCTCTCGCCACCTTCTGCAATGCCAAATAATCGATAAACATACTAAAGCATTACCTTGTCTCAGTCATTTGTTTGTGGGAAATTTCGAGGAGCATTCCGAATGAATGCCTACTCTGCACTTTACGTCCTGTATTGTCATTTTTCCAGACGAATTACTTGGAGAAGGTATTTAGTTCTTCCATTGCTTGATACAGCTCGTTTCTTCTCCCTAAGGTGTCGTTTGCATTACGATTACTCAGTCTTTAAGCAACTATTTTGATTATAGAATTTTGTCAATGATACATCAATATTAAAATGCAAATGTAAATTATAGGTGCTGCGCTGTTTGATGTAACCATTGCTGCTGGTTGTGTAATTTTTTTGCGACCATTTTATATTGATTCATTTACCTGGTGGAACGTGATTTTCTATTTACTAAGCTATGGCACACTGTTTTGTGGATTTTATTTCAGAAACCTTAGTGTGTGGCACAGTGTTGGTAAGTTGCGACAGATATCAATAATGTTATTAAGTCACTATTGTAATAAATAATCATGTTTACTTCACTTGGGGGTAGAGTTGTTAAAATATCGAGAGTAAGTTCCGATATTCCATATCGATTTTTGAAATCAATATTTCTTGTATTTTTATTTTTTAAATCGATATTAGTATAAAATCGCAAAAAAGTATTGATATCGCTAATATCGAATGATATCTATATCGAAATCAAATTGTTGAGATAATTAACAAATATATCGCCAGTTTAATGGAAAAGTCATGAAGTGACTATTTATAACCACTAAAAACATTGATTCAATTTTGTGAAATCAGAAAAGGCTTGCTATAATTATATTTGATATATAGAAGAGTTTGTGTCATTTCAATGCACCAGCTTTGTTTTTCATCCATAAATAAAGTCGAAATTCACAAAAACGTTTTTAAAATTTCAACTCCATCAAAAATTAACTTTACACGAGCTGTTTTTTTTGTTTTTTTTTTAAATATATTATGGAGATATTTAACAGTTAGCATTTCAATAGTTTAAAAAATATTGAAATATGTTAATACACTCATTTTGTGTTTTTAAATAGTAAATTGATTTATTTTCATAATGTGAAAAAGAAGTAAATCGAAATCCGATATTGTTTTTTTTTTTCTTTCGATATTATAATAATATTGAGTCCTCTGCTTGGATACGATATTGGGATATATCGCAACATCTCTTAGGAGATGATATTTGAAGATTATTTCACTTTTGAAATATTATAACTGATATTGGTTTATTATTCTCAATAATGAACCATTGTGATCAACCAAAAAATTAAAAAACAATCCCCTCTCAACATTTTCGAGAAACCCAATTATTGGTCAAAAGGAGGAAGTTGCTCTAGATGATAAATTTTAGAACATAAATTAGAAAATTGACGATGGAGCACATTATTATTATTATTAAAATTAAGCCTTGCATCCACAAAAGTATTGGAATTGCAGTTCTAAAGATGGGAATAAAGGTCCCGAAACGTAAACTAACCTGTTAACATGTAACGTTAAAAATATACTCGAATTGTTAACAACTGGAAGTTATTATTGCCAAACAACTAAATTAGAATAAAATTTTTTTTGTCCGTCCGTCGTCCGCGCATTTTCTCCGAAATGCTGGACCGATTTTTGGATATAAATCAGAGGTCACCCGAGGGATGGCAAAATTAAATCCTGAATAACTCCAAAAGTATTCACTTTTTGTCTATATTGTCGATATTGTTTTTTCAAAAGTTACGTAATTTTCTAAAAAAAAAAAAAAAAAAGCGGGTAATTATGATCAAAAATATGAACTCCAATTTTTTTAATATGTTCTACTGCAAAGGTTATATCCTTTTTCTTGGTTTTTGGATTTTGAATGTGCTACTGAAGTAATGCTAGTTTTTTTTTTTGCATATTTCTAATGATTAAAAAAAAAGTTTAGTCCAATAATTGGAATCATCTTTTATTTATTTTTCTTTGTAACTAGGAAGGTAATGTTACTTTAGATGCATAATTGTTTGGAAATAATAATCCTTTGTGAAATAATTTGCAGCGTTTTTTTGTTAAAGCTAACATCATTTCATTTTTATTGGTAATTTAATTGTATTTATTTAAATTTTTCAGGAATTATATCAATCTATGTATGTTATGGAGTGTTTACTGTAACCCACTTTGTTCTTTCTGGACCTCATGAAGAAACCGGCAAGTTTTTATGAATTTATTTTTATTTATACATTTAAATATTTTTTTTTTTATACAGATAGGTAGTTAATTATTATTATCCTTGGTGCCATCAGCGTGGAGGAACAGCCTCCGCCCATCTCATGCAATGACCTCTGCCACTGGCCCTCCTTCTCATATCTACCTCTGGCTCGTCCGAGTCTCTCCATGTGGACACAATACAACAGTCTGGGCCTGCCTCTAGGTCGCCTTCCCTCTGCTTTTGCTTCTAGGAACCATTTTGCCTTTTGTCTGTCATCCATCAATACACATGGCCAAACCACTTCAGGTGGTGCTCCTCTATGACTTGTTTTACAGGCCTTACATTCAGTTCCTCTCTTATTCCCTCATTCCTCTAGCGGTCTCTTTGTGTTTCCTTAAGAACTCTACTGAGGTATCTCATTTCTATTGCAATTGCAGGTATCTCATTTGCTTGCATGTTTGTCCATGACTGTCCAACTCTTTGCATCATACAAAAGGACAGGCAGAAACACTGTTTTAAACAAAGCTATTTTTGTTTTCTTCTTTAACTCCTGTTTTCTTAATATTGTAGTGCAGATAGAGTAAAACACACCATTGGCCTTCTTAACTATTTAAAACCTCCAGGTCGATCCTTCCATCCCTGCTGAAAATTGTGTCCAAGTACTGCTATTTATCTACCTTTTCTACCTTTTTTTTACCTCAGTAGTTAATTAAATTATAAAATAAAATATAAATATTAAAATTAGAAATTGTGCATCTATATATTTATATTCATACTAGTAAACATATATATTATACAGGTAAAATAGGCAATTATAAATTACGTGTGACTATTGTATATATAATTTTTTTTTTTATCACCTTTCTTTACACTCTTTGACATTTCGGGAAATGTTTTCTCACATTCAGAAACATTATTATTAGATGATCAGGAACATTTTCACTAACGTTAGGTCCTTCACATTTTTGTTCTTTTTCCTCTGTTATATTCTAATATTTGTTTATTACTTTTTTGTAGTCAAATATTCAGGGGTAACACTCTGAACTTCATCTTGATGAACAATTGTTTGTGTATGTGCATTTATTAAATACAAATTGAACACCAAAATTTTCCAGTCAGTTGTAGTTTGACTGCTGAGTCCTAACTCTTCAATGAGTTCTCATTTGCCCAAGAATATATAAATATAAGTGCCTTATAAAAAGGTAATTTCATATTTATATTCTCAAAAAAAAAAAAAAAAGTTTATATACATGAATCCACTAGATTCACTGTCAAATAATAATATTTGATTAGTGGCATATGATTTATAGTGCTTAAATAAAGGTTATTAATAATCACCATTACTCTAAATAAAAAATTACAGAATGGGCCATTGTAAAAAGAAACCCTGTAACTTTTTCAAAATCCACCAAGAGGAAGTGCCACTTTATGTAATTGATTTTACACATTTTTATAATTTTCTCGAAAACAGATTTAACTAAATTCATTATATCTATGAAAAATTAAGTATTCTTTATGATGTAGGTATTAACCTTGTAACAGACAATTAGTTCATTGGCCCACCACATTTAAAGCAGCCTATTAGTTCACCCGCTACCGAGGTCTATAAAAGTACTTACTTTTATAGATTCAGTTTTAGATAGTTTTATAGATCTTGATCTGCCACTACGTGTGTACTCAGAAGCTATATTTTTATTTCTTATTATTTTAATGTAGAAAACGTTCTAAATTGTAAATGTGTGTATACATTGTGAATACTTTTTAATGATAATACGATATACTGATCAAAGCTTATAAATAACAGTAACTTAAATGACTCTTGCTAGCCAATATTATCATGGCGCATATATATAACCTATCCTTGATTTTCTAATACTGATCTTGTATCTCCTTCCTATGGGAAGTAACAGACAGAGATCCAGGCACAGATTGAACAATATGTTTTATATCCGCTATTTATTTCTAGACCAGTCTGAGTTATATTTCCCTACAAAGGTAATTTGATGGGATTTATCGAAATTAATTTTAATTCTCTAGTTTTGACACCACCCTCCTTCCTCCCAATTCACCTACCTACTGGCCCACTGACCCTAACCGTAATCCCGATATCCTCGATTTCTTTATCCACAAAGGTTTAAGTACCCTCCACCATTCCCTTGCACTTCTTGATGAGTTTTCCTCAGACCACAGCCCATTAATATTCAAAGTATCATTAGCTTCTATTCCTAAATCCTCTCCACCATCCTTCATCAGAGGCCCAGTTAACTAGAATCTCTTTCATCAAATTCTCTCCGATAAAATTGACCTCAGAGCAACCCTGAAAAACTCCGAAGACCTGGACAATGCTGTTCATTCCTTTACGACTAAAATCCAGGAAGCAGTATGGATGTCTTCCTCTCCTGATCATTCCTCAAAAATCCTCAAGAAACCCAATTTACCTCAAAACCTCCTTGACCTAATCCATATAAAACGCCATGCCAGATTATTATGGCAGCGCACCAGACATCCCACCGACCGCCACTCCTACAATTATCACTGTAAAAAGTTAAAACAAGAATTAGCCACCTTCAGATCCCAATCATTCAACTCCTACCTCACCACACTCTCTGCTTATGATAATTCCCTCTGGAATACCACCAAAAGAATCCTGAAATCTCATCATATTTCCCATCCCCTTCGTCGAGGTGATGGTACCTGGGCAGCGTCTGATGTAGACAAAGCCGAGGAATTTGCCAAACACCTTTCCTATACCTTCACTCCCCATCTAGAATCTCATTCTATCCACACAGTAAAAGTAGAAGAATTCCTTTCTTCACCTATCCCACTCTCCTTTCCACCTAAAGCAGTTAATCCCTCTGAGGTCAAATACCTATTACGCAAAATCACTCCTCGTAAATCTCTTGGATACGACCTTCTAACCCCGCAGATCATATTTCTAACCTATATATACAATTGCATCCTCCGAACTACCCACTTCCCTCTCTTATGGAAACATTCCACCATCATCCTTTTCCTGAAACCAGGCAAGCCTCCCAATAATACATCATCCTATAAACCAAGCCTACTCCCAATTCTTTCAAAATTTTTTGAAAAGATCCTCCTGAAAAGAATCCTACCCATAATAGACTCCCGTAAAATCCCTACCCATCAATTCGGATTCCGTTCCCAACATTCTACCGTCCAACAAGGACTCCGAGTTGTTGACCACATAACCTCAGCCCTAAAAAACAAGCAGTTTTGCTCGAGTGCATTTCTGGACATAGCGCAAGCTTTGACCGGGTGTGGCACGCCAGACTGCTCTTCAAGCTCAAATCCCATCTACCACAATCCTTATATCTAATCCTCCAATCCTACCTCTCCGACCGCTCCTTTCGAGTTCGCTGTGGTACAGAATTTTCCGACTGTTATTCAATTGAGGCTGGAGTTCCTCTAGGCAGCGTCTTGGGTCCCATCCTTTACATCATCTATACCGCTGTCATTCCCGTCCATCCCAATACACTCCTGGCAACTTTCGCTGATGAAACTGCGATCCTATCTTCTAACTCAGATCCTGAAACAGCGTCCATAAACCTGCAACGGCACCTATCCTTGATTGAACAATGGTGCAAGAAATGGCGCATCAAAGTCAATGAATCCAAATGTAAACATATAACCTTCACCCTTCGTCGTAATTCCTGTCCACCAGTTTACTTTAATACCATCCAGCTTCCCTTTTCCGACACAGTCCGGTACCTTGGTTTTCCCTAGACAGAGGACTGACGTGGAATCCGCATACTAGATTGAAAAAACAGGAACTTAACCGACGTTATGGCCAGCTATATAGACTGCTTAATAGAAAATCTAAACTTTCTATTGAAAACAAACTACTGATCTACAAGACAATACTAAAACCCATCTGGACCTACGGACTAGAACTGTGAGGGGCAACCAAATTTTCTAACATCAAACACATTCAATCCTGCCAATCCAAAGTCCTCCGTATAATAGTCGATGCTCCCTTCTATGTCTGCACTTAAACCCTGCACGATGACCTTAATATTCCATTTATTATTGACCTTATCCCAGACAAATTCTCCAAATTTCATCAGAACTTTACACATCACCCTAATCCCGTAGAAAAAATCCCTATTTAGCATCACTCACCCCTACAATCCTCCTCGCAGGCTGAAACGGCAGTGGCCCCGTGACCTTTTGTAACATGTATATATTGGAGTTCTGGCAATGGCCAGATTCTCCACTCAAGTCATGAGTGTCCGTGGTTGTAGCGCCCTTACACAATCTCCGCTGGCTTTCAATACCAGTGAAATGCCAAAAAAATCAAATTTTTTCGATAATTTTTGGGTTTTTCGCCTACAACTCCTAAACGATGCATCGACGCGAAAAATGTATTCTTCAATAAATTAAAGAACGTTAAATTTTGTGCCAAACAAGTATATAAACTTTAAAATTTGGTTACGCGGAAAGGTATAAAACCACGGTCAACCAACGCTGAGTTATACCAAATTTGTCAAAAACTGAGACAAATTACTATAAATGACTCTGTAACTTGAAAATGAGTTCCCTAAGAGGAAAACCCATTGAATCAAAGTTGTAGAGCATCAAATTTTGCCTATATTGAGATTAGTATGTTGTATTTGTAATCATCAATTTGTCTCAGTTTTTGACTATTTTGATAAAATTAGCTACCGCCATTTTTGAAAGCAGCCACTCTGGAACGGCAGACAAAGTTCTTTTTACTCAGAATAACATACACTTTCGTAATTGACAATCAAACCTTCCCCTGCGATCAGGTCGATTTTTGGGTCCTGGCTCCAGGGCTATAAAGAACACCAAAAGATTTGGAAAACTAAACTTATTCAAAATAAAATTTACAAAACCGGCAGATATAATTAAATTATTTATGGTCCTTTCTTTTTCTTTTTTTTTTCGTCTCATTTTTTTTTTTACTTTAAATATTTTGATTTTTCTTTTACATGTTTTTAAATTCTTATATTAAAATAAACTTTGCCAATATACTCAATCAACCAGTATTTGTGGCTGTCCTCCGAACTTATGAAAAAATGAGGCATATCTATAAAGAAATTCGTATTCAAACAATGTGAAAGCAATTTGTTCATATAATGATTCATATTGCTTTAAATATTTTTGTTTTTAAACTTCATATTAAGGATATTTTTTTCACAAATTAGACAGATTGGAGTAACAGGTAAATTTTTTGTAATAGAAATATGATTAGATAAATATTTTACATTTAATATCTTCAGTTTTCTAAATTCTAACATCTTTTGGTTACACCTACTTCATAGGTGAGATACCTAGTTTATGATTTGAAAAATTAGAATCATTTGCAGCCAAAAACTGCCATTAACTATTATGTTTGCATTAAAAATGGAAAATTTTACCAATTTTATCTGAAATTTTAAAGGTGAACTTGACTAGATTTTAAAATTAGAATGATAAAACATCCTTCATAGAATTAATTATACAATATTTAAGTGACATTGTAAAACAAATTATTATCATTGGTTTTAAATTGTAGCATTATTACAAAAATTGTTTTTTCTCAAATTTCTGAAAATATCAGTGTCCATCATTGATAAGAGACCATTCAATGTAAATTTTTAAAATTACCTTTAAGGTTTATAAACTAAAAATACATAATGTATCAAATTGTCGCAGTACAATTGCAATTGTATGAGAACTATTTTATTATACTTTTACTGGAGAAGTCACAAAAAAATACTTGCTGCTGAAATATTTTAAGCTGTGTTTACAGGTTGAAAAAACATTAGTTAATAATATTTAATAAGTTTTCTTCAGTTTGCTAGATTTAGATTATAGATATAAAAATTATATAACAACTAGTCTTATTTAAGCAGAAATTTCATTATTAAAGTAGGATGGTACGGTACTAGTGGGGGTAAGTAATCCACTTTTTTACCAACGCTTGGCTGCTACTTATATGTTGCAGCTATGTGCTAACTACAATAGGAATGGCAAGATTTATTTCTCAGAGTGACCAACTAATAAATATTCAATGGCCAAGGTGGGAATCAAGTCCACAAATTTCGGGGATCCTTTGTTCCAATAAGTGCTCAATTATCAAGTCCTCTAAGTAAGATAATAAGTGAATGTTGAGTAATGTACTCGCCTCACCTAATTTTTTTTTAGTTTGCTTTTGATAGTTAATTAACAGAGTAAGTTTATAAAATAAATGCAAATATCTTGATCAATTTATACTTTTTAATAAGAAAAACAATCCAATTTCAGAACCAATAGACGAAACAGGTAAGTCTAATTTACAAAAACATTTTTTGGCATTTATATCACCTGTTGATTGGTTATTCCTTAAAAAATGTTAATGATTATCTCAGATGAGGAACATTTGATTCAAATAGCCAAAGCTAAAACTTTTACACTCCCTCCAACAAGTCGTGGAACATTGCAGAGTACAGTAGGTAATAATAAATAGTTATAAAATGTGTAATTGATGTATTTTTCATAAATTAATCTAGCAAGTTGATTTTTATTTACATAATGAAGAACTTTTGAAAGCAATGGAAAGGTCTAGATTATACAGAGTAATGGGATATAGGTATTCAATTAGAAGATCGGCTGATTTCGGTAAGTTAACAATTGATTTAATAAAACTTAAGGTATTTATAAAAATAATGAATCTTTATTTTATAGGTTACAGCTGGCGTCGTCCAAAGCATCTTATAATTGAATTTCTTAATTTCCTCGATTTCAGGGATAATTATGACTGGTATGAGGGCTCTGCTTGTCAAAAAATTGCTGTTATTGTTCAGGTGTGTCTTTTTAGGTACCAGCATCTTCCTATTTACTGCTTGAATTAAGTTTAAACAACTTTACAGATTGACATTCATAGAACAGTAGGAGTTCAGTATCCAACTGCTATCAATTTATTTAGCATTTATTTATTAAAATTAATTACAAAACAATAACTTTACATGAAGAAAAGAATAGTTGGGGTGATCAGTCAAATAAGAAGGCAAAAATAAATGGTAATATTTATTTTGTCATTTGCCGACGTTTCGACCTGAAGTTCAGACCATCATCAGGGCTGACTGCTCTAAAGTAGAAGAAGCAATCTTCTTGAGTAAAAGCATTGCTTCTTCTACCTTAGAGCAGTCAGCCCTGATGATGGCCTGTACTTCAGGTCGAAACATCGGCAAATGACAAAGTAAATATTATCATTTATTTTTGCCTTCTTATTTGACTGATCACCCCAACTATTCTTCTCCTCATTATTCACAACAGTCAACTATTCAACTACTATTACAATATCTTTACAGTTTGATAAACCCCTTAAGACTACAATATTTAACTCAGGATACTCTCCCTTAAAAAACAAAACAATAATAATAAATCTAATGTTATTTCTAATGATACTATTACTTTTTTTTCACTTTATATGTTTATCCGCACCTGTCATGATTGTGACCATCAGCAGATTTGTTGTGTTGAACTAAACGATTGGTATTATAGACATGAGGAATTTAAAACTAAAAACTAAATAAAAATAGAATAAAATAAACAAATCTAAAAATTCAAATAAGTTATATTCATTCAAAGTTAATACTGATTTACCATGGTTAAAAATAAGCAGTAAAAACAACTCATGAAGTCATTAAATCTATTCAGAACTGAATAATAAGTTCTTTGGAGCCTTTTCATCAATATAATTTAAAGGAAATATGAGCTAATTTGAAATTATGAATTCAATTGAAACAAAAACAAAAATGAAGCTTACTTGCTTCATTAGTTGCCATAGTGGTAGTCAAGGGTGCCCAGAAGGGGGTATCATGGTGAAAGTTGCTTTGATAATCCTGTTGATCATGAAATGCACTTAAAATCTAAGTTGTAAGACTCTCAAAGTAATAATTAAGTAAAGTAAAAATTTACATGGATACTTTGATTATTTTGTTTATTTATTTTACTTTTCTCTGTTTATTTTATATTTATGTACATTTTTATAACTTTTCATTATCTGTACTTTTATTTTATTACCTATCATCTTAATAAATATCTAATTTTACATTAAAGGGACACTAGTCCCAGAATAATAAAATTAGGTACTCCTTAAATTATTTTCGTTCATTTGTTCATTCATTAGCATTTTTGAGGGGGCATATTTTGACGGGTTTTTGAATTTTTGAGGGTGAGGAATTTCGATGGAGTTATGAATTTTCGGACTAAGGGACAAGGATAAAAGATGGAACAGACCCCAGCAAGTGTAATTGTATATGATCTACGATTTTTCTAATTCTATCGTAGCTTACTTTGTTTTTAAGAAAAGGCACTAATGAAATATCTTGGAAGGAGGGAGAGGGTAGGCTATTGCGCCATCAACCTTGGGGGGGGGGATGGGCACCTCTGGTGGTAGTTACTAATTTACTACAGGCTACTAGGCAGCTTCTTTTTACGGAAGTAGCCATTTAATTATCTTTAAGAGATTAAAGTTCTTAGTAGACACCACAAAAATCTTTTAGATAACATTATTTCATTTATTATGTAAATATCTATATACATAATTCTAAATTACAAGATTCATTTTAATTATATATTAAATTGTTTAATTGGAGACAGCTTATTAGCTAAATTAATCAGTCACAGTTTGTTTAGTCATTAAATATTTGTGTAGTATAAAATATGTAATTGATATTTTAATTTAGTTTAGATAACTAGGAGTTGTGTAAATTAAGTAACAAAGCTGATTTTTTTCTAATTTTTTTCTTGAAATAAAATCACAAATTTACATAGTCCCCTTCAGAGAAACTAACTTTGAGAATATATTGAAGGTACTTAGGAGGCAAACATACTCAAAGTTCCCTCCTCTAATCCTTCCGCTTCACAGTAGGGGGCGCAGTAAAGATCATGTTTTCCAGATTTTCTAGCAGCACGTAGTGTTATATTGTTTTTAAAGTTAAAAAAAAATGATTAAAATAACGGTTATATCTAGTAATACAGACCGTAGTTATAAATAGGTATCTAAAAGTATGCATTTTAAGAGGTCTTGTATCATTTTGGGAGTTAATTTGTTGTAAAATATAATAATTCCTAGGTTTAAACAATGTATTTTGTTTTTTGTCTTTCATAGAAATTTTCAAATTTTGATGTCATGTTCATATTCCTTGGCCTTGAAAACATAAGCGTAGAACATATCAAGTTAATCCAACATCATTTGCTACTTCCAGGCCCATTTCAACGAAAACCTGTCTTTCGTCCTACTGTGCGTTGCCAGAGTTGCTACTAGATCGAAAATCAGTCTCAATACTTAATTTACACACTTCGTATAATAAAAATATGTATATATATATATATATATATTATATATATATATATATATATATAATATATATATATATGTCTAAAAAATTATTAAACTTTAACATTCCAGCTACCGTGGATTATTGGTCTCAAATTTTTGATTCCAGCAGTAATTCCTGGTATATTAATTAATGATGGATGGTGCAAACTTTTGGCTATGATAAATTCTTTAATTTACTTTGATCTTCTATTATATTGTTTTGGAGGTAAGCAAATAGCAGTTTATGAATTACTAATAGGTCTTCATAAAAGTATTTGTGCATAAGATTATTATTCACTTCAAGGTTTCTTATTTAATTATGAATTATGTTTATAATGTCAGTTTATTGTAAAAAATCATTAAGTGACATTTCATCAATTTTTTGTATGTGGAATCAGAACATTGTATCTTGATGTAAGTATATTTGATAAACAGAAGGGTTTGTGACATTTTGGTACACTTCTTGCTTTTTTTTTGTTTTTTCTTTTGGTAAATAAGGTTGAAATTCACAAAAATGTTCTAAACAGTTCAGCTCAATCAAAAATGTACTTATCGAATTTTTGCAATAAACCAACGATATGTTCTATATTGTTGTTTATTTTGATTTATTCTTTATTCAATCTCATACTCCAACTTTTTTGATTGCTACAGATTTTATTTCAATTTTTTCACATTTGAAAAAGTAGAAATAAAAGTTAATTCTACAGAAAGTGAGTAGGGGTAATAAGAGGTGTAAAACTTTAATAGTTGCGATCCATTCGATCTATTAAATGCAAGGAATGCCAGATTTTAATTTGAACCTCAATCAGGATCCCTTCACAACTGATCAGATTGATGGTAAAAAATAGATTCTTTCTGGATCACTTGAGGATTGCTTGGTGAAATAATGGGTAGCCATCCATATTAATATCAGCCTATAGCTATCGATATCATCAAAATATCGGACTTGCAATACCTATAGTCGATATCTTCATCAATATTATAAACACTTATTAAATATAAATATTGATTTTCTAGCACATAGACACATTAAAAAAAGAAGTAATTTTCCTCTTTAAATTAATTAATCTAAGTATCAATTCTTCTACTCCCCTAAGTAAAATTAATTTTCTAGTTCCTGCCCATCTTCGTCATCCTCAGCTTTTTCCAGAAATTTCCATTCAACCAATTATGTCTTCCATTCACTCATTGATTGGATTCGGCGAAATACTAATTTATTTGCATCCTTGATAAATTTCTTTGATATTATGTTATGTTAGCTAAATTTTTTCTTATTTTTTTTTCAAATGCCACACAATTTTCATCTTTTGTTCATTATAATCATTCTTAGGGGACTAAATGTCCGAGAATAAAATTTATTTTTCTTTCTTTCAAAATAAAAAATAAATATTGACTGTGGTATTAAATAAGTCATAATGTATCATAAATTACCAAAAACCAAAAGGCGTTTCCAGTAAAGTAGGCCAGGTAAATTTTGTTTACGAAAAAGCAAGTCAGATTCGTTTTCAGTCTCCATTGAAATTCTTAAATACCAATTTTGATAGAAATAAAAAAAATCAAAGTTTATTAATTGATTTTCTTCAGCTGAATTACTGCTATTCCAACCCTCATCAATAACTTTTGATTTCATGTTTTTTAAAAATAAAAATTAAGAAAAACTTCCCAGTCATCTTTTTTTATATATATATACTAGCTTTACCCAGCAATGCGCTGCTGTGGATTAGCCTGGTGAAATGGAAAATAAAGAAAGTAGAAAGCACATATGAGTAAATTAATAGCAAAGGACATCTGTCATTTTTAAAAAGTTGGTAAACAAATTTGTCTGTAAAATGGCTTCAATTTAAACTAATTCTAATGATTTTTTTTCTCAAGATTCAAAATGAACATTCATAATCATCTGAGTGAATATGCCGTCATTTGTAATCATCAGAAACAGTCTGAGTTGGACTTATAAAACTAAAATAAAAAATTAATATAAAGAACGTATAATAGTATTGAAATGATAATTTCAATTACTGTAGTAATTATAAAATTTTCGATTAATCAATAAAAATAAAAAAAAAAGAACGCTTGCCTACCATCAGTAGTGCGGAAGTAGAAGGAAATGGCCTTTTCTGAAGAGAAAGCAGTAAATGTTTAAAACTCTATAACTCTACAACGAACGATTTTGATGATTTTTTTATTTTTTATTTTGTCAGCAATTCAGAAATCTTTCATATAAATATGGGTATTATCATTCAAAAATTTCTGTACTTTTTTAGTTATCGTCAAATAAAATATTGAATTCATTGTAACATTTTTCAGCTTGTTTTCGGGAAAGTATGTTAGACACATAAATTAAAAGAATTTCAAGGGGAAGACTTTAACCAAGTTTCGTTAAAATCGGTAAAGCCGTTTTGGCGCTACAGTTTATAGCAACACATTTTTTTGCGGCTTTGAACAGAAAACATTTACTTTTTTTTTTTTTTACATATATAAAATTATTGTAAGATAGAAATAATATGCCAAAAACCTTCTCAGGAGTGTACGGAACAACTTCCCAAAGTTTCATGGCGATCGGATGAATGGTTTAGTAATGCACAAAGGACAAACAGACTGACATACATTCATTTGTTTATATATAGAAGACATATGTTTGGTTCTAATTTGTTTATGGAGGTTTGTTTGGTTCTAATTTGTCATTTTGTGTATCATATAGAGTCCTAAATCCGTAATAATTTTTGTTTGGATTGGTGGAGTCTTTCTAAATTTATCACAATTTTTATGGTTGGCGACAAAATTTTGAAGTGTGTTCATCCTAGATAAAAATTTGGCAGAGAATATTTTAATTTTTCAATTGCTATAAAAATTCCTATTTACCTGTTTTTTTTAGATGCGAAAAACGAATATCGACTTTGTTTCTCCCTAAAAAAATAATACCGAATGACATTGTTAAAGTTTCTATTAACCCAACAATTATTTATAAAAAACATGTTGCAGTTTCTGACAAGGAAATTGGCCCCTTTCAACTATGGCAATATGGACTTGTACTTGGTCTACTGTTTTTCTTTTTAATACTCTTCACCTCTAGAACAAGCCTGAAGCCCAAATATCATACAGTAAATATTTATTTTTTCACTATTGTATCTAAATGGTGAGTATTTAGAATAATAAGATCTAATAAAAAAAATATATTTCTATTGATGGAACTTTAAAAACTAAGAGTATTAACTAACTTGAACAATGATGAGAGTAGACTTGCATGGAAAGTTAGTGTCCCACAGGTGAGACCATATTCCTGGCTAAGATTATCAACTAATGATTGCAAAACTTCAACAAAAATCTGTTGTTATTCCAAAAACCTTAATTTTGTTTCTCCAGATTGAAGCCTTAAATTATTATTAGCCGTATAATGCAGACAACATAGGAAAAAATCACGACTACTTCATTTAACAAAAAGTAAATGTAGCATTATTTACCTACAGTAGTTATTATACCTACCGTAGAAACCTTATAGTTAAGATTTTACAAAACAATTTCTTTGTGTATTATTTCTGTTCTTTATGGGTCCAAAACAATACTGCTACATTAAAGGAAGGACGATGCCAAAAGTCTTTTAAAATTAAGCATTAAATAGAATTTATCAAAGGAAAGATAAGTTCACTAGGCAATTTAGAAGGCTACACAAGGAATTTCTGGGGCTACACACAGAGTAAATATAATTGAAGGAAGAACATTGAGGTCACATCACAGAAATCAGAAGTTACTGTGTGGGATAATGATCAACTTCTTATAAAGATAACCAGTGCATAACTTCCAGTTGGAGGCGGAGTTGAAGTGGCTATATCCAGTTTTTCTATGGCAATATTTCTTAGATGTTTTCCTTTTCCGAATCTTTACAACCAAAAAACTCTCTTACCTTTTAATTTGTTCACTCCTTGCTTCTCTGGCCATTTGTTCAACATGAGATTCCATTCCACAAACCTGTTCATTTCTTCTCATAGAATTGTTTTCATTAAAAAAATTGTTTTTCATATATACCATCTTGTTTTGGAATCCCCTACCTACTTCCATACACAAATCCTCATTCACACACTATTTATTTTTCCATTTCCTCAGCAATAAGTGTTTCGAATAAGTCTAACAATAATATTTTTGTATTTTAAAGATGTCAGCCTCATTTTACTGTTATCTTACAGATAACTATATATTATCTACATCTATATGTGAATGCACTCATATACATTTATCTGCAATTAAAATGTTAACTTGTGCCTTTCTTTCATTTTCTTATGTCTTTCTTTCATAGGTTTTAAGGTTTGGTAACTGTCTAGTTTAATTAAATCTTGATTATTTTCTACCAAACAAATGTTACTTAATTGTTCATTATAATTATTCTTGGGGGATTGAATGTCCCAGAATAAAATTTCCTTTTCCTTCTTCTTTCTTATATATCACAAAACATTAGAGAAATGAGTGGAGAATTGGATCAGAACTGATCAAGTACTATTGGGCTTTAACAGGACTCTCAGAAAGGACATAACGTAGAGAAACATTGTAAGGGTGATTGGAACCCAAAATTTGGGTTTGCTATGTCCTGATTATTGTTAATAAGAGAAGAAAATAAATAATAACGAAATACATAATCTAGCACTAGATACATTCCTTTACCATCCATGGGTTTTCATAAAACATATTTAAATTGGGAAGTTGAGAGTATTCGATAGAAAGTGGAGTTGTTAAAAAATAATTTAAGGAGTTTGAATAGAAAATTTGAAAATAAGGGTTTTCCTCCTCAAGATGGTACTTTCAATTTACTTAAACTTTCAAATGATACTTGATAACATCTCTGAGCTTGTATTAGGCAAGTAATTCTGAAAACTGAGATCGACAAAGGCTTCCTAAGGTGGCCCTCATTCAGTCAGTATCTATATATCCAATAAAATAACCTCTGCTACAGCAGGATATAGAAGAGCAAGGTAACAAATTTTTTAAGGTTTATGTATGTTATTTCTTTGAATTTATTTTTAAATTTTTATTCTATTAGTGATAATTTTTTTAAATAGGTTTTTGCATATGCTGGCTTTATAGCTGCTATAGGTGTGTGTCGCCTGTTATGTACTGAAATAGTGGTTAGTTTACAAGCAATTGGGGCGAGATTATCATTGAGCACCACGTGGCTTGCTTTAACTATTCTTGCATGGGGAAACAGTGTTACAGGTACGTACGTATGACTAGCATCATTTAATGTTAATTTTAAATTACAGAATTAATTGAAAGGGTGATTGGATGAGATCATGTTTAGACTTTTTATTGTGATTGTGGTACTTTAATGTAAATATATATATATATATATATATATATATATATATATATATATATATATAAATAGAAATAGAAAAATAACTTTATTCTGGGACACAGTCCCTTGAGAATAACAAAACAGAACAAAATTAAAATATTACATCTGGCCAAAATAAAATCAATCGAAAAAAATAAATAATTTAAAAAAAATATAAGGTAAAAATTCTATATACAAAACAAACTAAACTATATACAAAATCATTAATACTATGACAAGATACTTAAAGCTATTTGCTCTTATAGACCAGTATACACTTTTACGAAAAAAATAAAGAATTAAAAAATAAAAATGTATCAAATTCTCTATTAAAATCAGCTCGAATGTTTAACAACTATCTGACTGTTTTTGGGATAGGAATTGGAATAGGAGGGTTTTGAATGTGGATATGGATGGGGAATGTCGAATTTTGATAGGGAGGGAATTCCAGAAATTGACAGAGCGAACAATAAAGGAATTTTGGAATGAGGCAGATCTGTGAGAAGGCATGTAAAGGTTAGAAGGTCGAGATCTTGTGGACAGGGAATGGACTGAGGATTTGAACTGGAGAAGGTTGTAGGCGTAAGAAGGACGATGGTTGTTGATGATTTGGTAGAGGAACGTACCTAGGAAATATTGTCTTCGGAAGGAGGGAAAAAGCCACTTTAACTCAGCTTAGTGGTGAGAAACATGGGAGTATCTTGGGGCCCCGATCACAAATCTTATGCAGCTGTTCATTAGTCTTTTCAGTCTATCACGGAGCTCCACAGAGAGGCCATCATACACCACACAGCTATAGTCAAAGTGGGGGAAAATGAGAGAGGAAACTAGGAGTCTACGCGTATGTTGAGGTAGGAGATGGCGGAAGCGATGGAATAGTTTGAGAGTGGAAATTGTCCATCGAGTGATATGAGAAATATGGTGATTCCAAAAGAGGTTTTGATCAATGAAAAATCCTAAATTTTTAACAGAGGAGTAGAAGGAGATTGGCTGATCATTAAGGTGAAGGATGGGAAAGTCTGTATAGGATCTAAGGAGGGGCTTGGAACCAATGACAATGGCCTGAGTTTTGGCAGCATTTAACCTTAATCCATTTACATTTGCCCAAGCACTGATTCGATCTAGGTCTTCTTGGATCTTGGCAAATGCCACCAGTAACGCAGAAGGGAAAAATGATAGCTACATGAAACAATACTTATGGGATATATATATATATATATATTTTTTTTTTTAAGTTATGATAAAATATAAAATTTCTATAAATGGTAAAAGATGTATTTGACACTTTGTTCTAAGATGAGGTTTAAAATTTTAATAATTATTATATACCTTCTACTTGCCAAGTTTGTTTATTTTATTATTTTATCAAATGCATGGCGTTATGGCCATGCATTTGATAAAAATGGTTTTACATACTGGTGAAGGGCACTAGTCTGGCAAGTGGGGTGGTCCTTTTTGCCAATCCCTGATGGCTACCTTGAGGTTACCACCGCGTACTTACCAGAGTGGGAATGTCACGATCCATTTCCCGGGGCCACCAAGAAATGAAAAGTAGCCGACCCGGGTGGGAATTGAACCCCATTTAGAATTGGGCACTCAGGGACGTAAGCCCCAACATGCTCGGCCATCCCATCCTCATCACATAAGTATTGTTTCATGTGGGTAATAAAAGATAATTGATGTTGCATTTATTCTTCTTTCACCAGAAATATAATTTGTCGTCACAAAGCTCCTTCATTAGACTAGTATCTAATTTAATAAGGCTCCTAGAAATTTAGTGTAAGTACCGAAAAATTGGCCAGTGCATACTTTCTTCTTCCCTTATAATAAATCGGGTAACATTAAAAAAAGTGAAAGTAAACAAATTTTATCTTCGTCATCCCCTTACCTCTTAAATTTATTAGAGTCAATGGTTTAAAATGCAGAATAAGCTATGGCTGTATAATTAGAAATACCCATAAAAGCCATTGAACCACAATTTATTAATTTTAAATCACTAAAGTAAAGCCTGTCATTAGTGTAGTATCACTACATCATCTTTAAAAGCATTTATTTATTTTTCTCCTCCCACCCCTATACACAAATAAAAATTGTTCTTAGTAAATAAAAAATTACTAAATTACTGTTTTTTTTCTCCTTACCAGAGCAAACCATTATTTGCCATGTTATTCTGATTTATGGAAAGAATATTTTTTTTCTTTCCACTATTAATAACGGTTTGAATCTACCAAAAGTCTCTCCATGTCGACCTAATATGACAAGTAGTAGACTCAAACTGTTTTAGATAAGATGTCATTTTTGTTTTTATTAAAACCAAATTAAAAGAATAATGGCGTAAAGGATGTTTAAGAATTCCTTCCCTTTTTCTGAATAAGATTTGAGAATGGCTCCAAGCCAAAACTTTGTCAGATCGTTGAATAATAAAGCTGTATAATAGTCATCTAATCAGCTATTGCTTAAACCCAACAATTTCTTTTAAAAAAGTATTGTTGAATTTTTATTTGTAAGATAATATTTATTTGATTAATTATGAAATAAAGATTATTTTCAATGATTCCACAAAACTTACTTTTTTCTTTCTCCTCAGATTTCGTTTCTGCAGCCAGTTTATCTAGGCAAGGGTTGCAAAACATGGGTTATGCATCATTATACGGAGGTCCCATGTTCAGTATCCTTTAATATTTTTATCAACTAGTAGCTGTAGAAATATAAAAAGTTGCTGTTAATAAATAACTATAACAGTTAGAACTATAACAGATACACTTTTAAAGACTTTAAAATGGTTTAATGTGGCATGAAACATTGTCGGATGTTTATATGAATTAAAATGTAATAAAGCACTAACGGATCCAAGATATCATTTTGGGGGGAAGGGCTTCAGCCCGAAAGATTTTGTTTTGTATGTACATATTAGGATAATTACTTTGGAAGAAAGAAACTAAGTACCTCTATGAAATTGTGATTCTTGAAGTCCTATCAAATGTAATTAGATGAACAATAATACTTTTAGAGATAATTTTTTTCATAAAACATGGTTATATTTTACCATTTTGGGAGGACTTCAGCCCGAAAGCCCCTCTCCCCTAACCCCCACGTAGATCCGCCTGTGTAATAAAGTAATTTTAATTGTATCTGAAAAGTAGTAAAAAAAATCTAATTGAATTAGCATGAACATAATTAAATTTTGTTTGAATTTAACTGTTTAAAATTACCAAACATTTTTTGGAGGAATTTTTAATAGAATGTAATAATATTACTATGGTTTATATGGGCTAATAGAATAAGTAAATGAAAGTTTTAGAAAAAAAAAAATATAATTTACAGCATTTTATACTAAAGAGAGGAATAGTAGACTGTAAGTTATGTTCAGAATTCAATTCTGAATATGGCCTTTGAATCATACTAAGTTTAAAAAATAATTAATAATGAAAAAATTGAGCAAATACTGTCATTTATCATTCAACTCTTGGTGATTGGTTAAATCGAGGATGAATGGTATTTCCTGTTTTTTATTATTATTAAAATTCTTTAGTGATCTATTGATATATAATTTTTTGTTGTTGTATTATTGTAAATTACATTAATTAGAAGTAGTAGTGATTTAGTAACTGCCTTCCTTAACATTGCTATTTTGATAGACTGCTCTGTTGGTGTAGCTTTGGTGTATTTTATAGTATATTTTCAAGGAAAACCCTTACATGTGAGTATAAATAAGTATTTAAAGTATAGGAAGGTTAAGATTATATCAACCGATTCAGACCAAGTTCATGTAGTACAAATTTAAAAAATTACTTATTTAGCAAGAGCATTTGATCTGAATTACTATCCAAAAACTATTCCATTTCGCCATTATCTCTAGTACAAAACATATTTCTTATAAATATTTATATTCTTCAAGACTTTAAACTTATACCTCTAAAGTTTTATCGAAAAGCGATCAGCAAGTGAGGAGAAAGTAGATGCTACTGAATACTGGGATTCGTCAAGGTTTAATGACAGAACATTTAAAAAATAATAAAGTCTTTTAGTATAAAAAAAAAAAAAGATCTCAGAATAAAAACAAGGTATTTTAACGATAATAAAAGATTCAACATTGCTCCAAACAAACCTCTTTCTCTTCACCTTCTAAAGAAACTATTTTAAAAGCTCTTCCACAAACAGTAAAGCTGAAAACTTCTTTAACATTATTAGCAACTAATCCAAGCAAGCCTTAACTATCTATTTTAAATGTTACTGTTTGAACTGCAACCATCATGTGGTACCATGTTTAATGTAAAAACAATCCTAACTAACTGGTTTAAATAGGATACAGAATTTATTAATGGACAGGTAGAAGGTAACCAATCTTGGTTAAGTGAGTACTACCTTAAACCAAAACATCATACAGTACTGAACTTATTTTGCTTCTTTTTTTAAAAATCAAGATCCTATTTTCCCCTCTAATACAAAAATAATTGTTTGGAATTACGCCAATCTGTCAATTTTGTATTCCTTAATCCATTTGTATCAGAGGTGGGAGATTTTTACTGATTCAATGATTTGGTGATTTGAGGGGAGAGGAGGGAAGGTGGCAGCTCTTCTACAAAAAAATCACAGATCTAAAGAAATATTTTATATAGAATCTTTCAGTTAATATTCGATAAAAAAATTTTTGGAACAGGGTGGCCGACTGGGCTAACGTGTTTTCAAAACACACATTGCCCAGCAACCTGATAAATCGAAGTTTCAATGATAAAATAATTATAAGAGGGGTGGAGACTATTGACTCTGGCATTAATCCCCCATCCTCTCCTCTGGTCCCCTGTAAAGCCTAAAAGGCGAGGAAGGGATGGATAAAACAAAAGATTACAAATCCTTAAACATTTTTCTTTATTTTATTATATTTGCTTCACTCAAACTTTATTTAATAATTTAAAATAATAATTATGAAGTTAAATAAAAGTAAAATTCATACTTGCTTAAATAAATAATTTTTTTTTTTTGCATTCATTAGGAGGAATGAAGAAGATGTTTGCTATTTGTTGTCATATATTTTGGTTGTTTCAGGCGTTCTATGGAGTGCTGAGCCCAGTTGGTGCCTTATTTCTCTTAATAGCTTTGTTCTCAACAGCCATATTGATGCCAACTATTAATTTTGAAGGAAGACGTGTTATGGGGTTATACCTTATTATACTCTATTGTATGTTCTTTTTCTTATGTATATTAATGGAAACTGTAATTCATCCTTTTGGGACGCAGTACAAACTGGTTCCAAAGGTTACTTAATGTCATGTGACTTTCAATTAAAATTTAAACACAATCGACAAATTTTTAAATAAATAAACATATGGAGAAATGTTATTTCAATCAAATTAATATTAACTTTATAGACTCATTAGCGTTGGGATTTTTTTTTATCTAATAGAAAGTTGAATAATACTTGGATGTTACCAGTAATCCTGTCATAGATTTCTTTTTTTTTTAAATTTACATAATTATATCAGTAATTGAACGTATTAAACTGTGAATCAGTGATGTTATGGGGAGTGTAAGAGGAGGTTCCACAAAAATTTAAAAATCCAAAAAATTGAAAGTTTAAGATACGAGAATCAACTTAAAGCAAAGAAAAATGATAGAAAACAATTTTTCACAATGTTCCTTACTGAAATTTAAAAAAAAATATTAATACCTCTTAAGTTAAGAAATTGGGATTCTGTTTCATAATAATGGGATAATGTTCTAGGGATACAACCAAATATATTCTAACCAAATAGGGAAAGTCGAGATTTATTCCGTGGGTCCACTATGATATTAATTTCAACTCATCCTGGCCAGATTTAAACCTGTACCACTAGATTTAAGAATGCTAAAGCTGGTATCATTCGCTCAGCCATGACAGCCTCAATTTTCTTTGAACTATTGATACTGTGATATTTTGTTCCAACTATTTAAATTGAGGTGAACTTTTGTTTAATTATTGAGAAATTTTATACCTTACCTAAAAAAATTTTGTAGTGACGTCCTTGCTGCGAACAGAAATATAATTATTTCTTTCTTGTACAAAATAGGAGAAGTAAGAATGAGTAATGCTGATATTACTTAATGAATAACGAAATGTTTAAGAGATTCTAATATAAGTGTACCATATTTAGAACAAACAAGTCAGAGTAGTGACCAATCAAAATTACATTCAATCCAATATTTGTTTTCCATACAACAGGATATTGAAAATAGAAAGTATAAAACAAGATATAAAAAGTCATACTATGTCAGTAGATAAAATTAGCAAGACTACATCATAAGAGATTGGCAAAAGATGTTTGGTGTATATTTTGTCTTCTGACCCAATAGAGATGGTTAAATAAAATAAAAATTAACACATATCATCATTAAATATTGTTATTGAATAGAAAACAAAAAATAAATATATATTAGATTCAATACCCAACCAAACCAAAATTTCTTTCAATACCATTAAATTATGCTAGTATTGACCATACAAATAATCAGTTAAATGGAATGTCAAATGAGCAATGCCTATTATTTGAAAATCATTGATATAATATTGTTAGGTTACGTTTCCTTTGAAAAGTAAACAAAACAGTTTCTGAATCAATTTATATTTCTTCTGTTCATTTTTCCTACTTTTGGTGTCTTGAAGTTTTTTTATTTGTTTCAATAAATTAGGCCATTTTTCACCAACATTTTTTATTATGCATCAATTTAACGTTTCGACCATACTAAGGGTCTTTTCAAAACTTGATGAGTCCTCCTAATATGTTCATCCTTAATGTTCTAATTAATATGTTCAGTGAACATTAACTTGTCAATTTTTATAGGGGCTTCGCCCACGTCATTTCTGGAGGGACTGAAGCTGACGCTGACACGTAACATTTGTACATAACATTTATGAATTTCCATTCATTTTGTCAGGGTCTACTCTTGGTGAGCTTTCTAACTGTCTCTATTTATATTTCACTCACCCTGTTCTGCAGTGAATCTTCCTTTATATTGTTGTCTTCAACTTCTACAATCTTCTCTTGTTCTTTTATTTTTAACTCACATTTTCTTCTCTTGATTCTCTCTCTCTTTACTAGCTAGCTGGCTGCGTTCCCCTTAACATATGCCCTTCTTTCCCCTCCATTTGTCATTCTTTGTCTCTTTGTCCATTTTTGACAGCGGTTTGTGAAGCCACTGCCTTCGTGCCAATATTTAAAATCACTATGTAATATTTAGATTACAATATATACTTGGATGGAGGCTGGGGTAGCTATACGGGCTTGCAAGAGGTAATCAAAGTTAAGCAACGCCAAGCGTGGTTAGCACTTAGATGGGTGACCGCCCGTTTTGGGTGACCATCTATCAGGGAAAGCCACGCCGCCCGAAATTCCCTCCACCCCACCGGGTATGTGATCACACCAACCGGGCATAGGACCGATGACCCTACCCCCATGTACTTATATTGGGAATCGGGATGTGGTCTAGGACAACCACATCTCACGGTGAAAGATCTTCAAGATCTGTAGCGCCAACCGAAAAAAAAAAAATAAATATATATATATATATATACTTGTATAACATTGTAATAATTCATGCTGAAATGTTATATATTATAATGTCATTATACATGAGCCAATAGTTCTTAATATTTTACAAGTACTAAATCTTATTAGTTAAATTATATATATATATTTAAATATATTGAATACTGATACAAATACATGAACAAAATGGCATAGATGTTAGTTTCAGGAGTTATATTTAATTCCTTTTGGACTGCTTATGGAAAGAATTATCTACTAGTTTTACAAAGAATATTATTTTTAACTTGAAAAAACCCTCCTTTTGTAGGTTAACTAGGAATATACAAAAAGCATCAAAGAAAAAAGGTTTGTAATCATATTAGGAGAAGGGCAACAAAGGAATGAATATCTAGTTTAATTCTTTTAGTAATTAAAAAACCTCCCCTTTTAGAACCGAGTGGCTGGATTAGAAAATGGAAGAAGATTGGTGATTGGCATAACAAGCCATGCAAGAGACTTTTCATTTACGTGGGCAGCAAATGCCTTACACTTTATTGTCAGCTGCAATCACTGCAAGGTCCATTCAAAATAAAATCCATGTTTTTATATGCGACATTGAATATGTGATATTTAGATTTATATAAATACGTGATAATTATACGACATTGACATTGAACCCAATCTGTATTATCTTACTGGAATTTGTAAACTTTTCAGTTTATCAACATTAATTTTACTTCTCAATGTTTTGATTATCAAATTTGTATGTAGAAATGTAAAAAAAAGTAAGTTTTCTTCAATTTCATGACAGTTCGTTCACCAACAGCAACTCCACAGATTATGGTGCAGTGAGCACCTAGATGAGGATGCAAACTGGAATGCTGTTATGTTTAAAGACAGTTCACGTTTTTGTATTTAGCAGTCATAGGTGCCAAAGTCTTCCAAGAACAGTTTGTGCTCTCTTCAATGCAGTCGACAGGTGGGAGTGTGATGGCATCTACACAGGAGGACGGACTCTAGTCCATACTTTGGAAGGTAATCTCATGGCAGTTCATTATGTTCAAGAAATTATAGAGGAGTACATTCCTTAACGATACACAAGCTCATAGAGGAAAAGTTGTTCACCAATATCTTGAAAATCTGGACATTTCAAAACGGCTCTTCCAGTATTGTCTCTAAATCTCATTCCATTGAGCACATGTGAGAAGGCTTTTTGACCACCATCTGCAGCTTCTTAACCTTCAGTAACTGAGAGCTGTATTACCATATTTATGGTTTGAAATTCCGTGTGAAATGAGTGAAAACATAATAAGCAGTATGCTCAACAGGTGCAGAGAGGTGATGCATATCAGAATACATTAAACAAATTATTAAATTTTACAAAATTCACAATCATAACAAAATCACAAAAACTTTTAATTTTATTTTTTATTTTTATATACAATCTTATTTGTATTAATTTTCAATGTATTTTATAATAAAAATTCTAGAGAAAATAAATTAGACATAACTAACAATATTTCTATTCATTTTAGTGCAGTATATATCATATGGTATGTGATCACATTGGAAAGAGGGAATTTACTAGTAACCATACAATAAATACAATATTATGAGTTACACAATATATGGAATTATGATGATGATTGAGCTATTTATATAAAAAGTGGTTTAAAAAACAATTCTTTTCTTTAAATATTTTTATTGATTCAGGCACATTACTCAATCACATATTAATAAATGATTTCATGACTATGAAATGAATAATGAAAAAGTATAAAAAAAAAAAAAAAAAATTATAATCTTTATTAATAAACTTGTATAAAAAAATATTGATAGATCTAGATCCATTTCTTAATAAATTACAATAACAATTTAAATAAATACATTAAATAAATGAACATTTGGTAACCAATCTTAAATATGACATTGATTTTTGGACGGAAATAGTTTTTTTTTTTCATGAATTTAATTAGCTTTACATGAATTTAATTAATTTTATAATAATAATAATTTCCAAACTAGGCCCACGAAATCCAGGCATTATATACAATTCCTGACACATTTTATGCATTGTTTACATTATATCAGGAGGGGGGAGTGTAGAATAATATTTCAGTAAGTCAATTATGCTTTTTGGTCATCAAGTTAATGTTTTGTAAATGTACTTAAATGATGTATGCATATAATACATATGTTATTTAAGAACATAGTATGGAATATAATAACATATGTATAATATACATATATCATTAAAATGTATTTACAACACTTTCTAGACAAGAAAGGAAAATTGACTAACTCTACTAATAGATGAGATAAGTTAAACAGCGTGATAACAAGATCTTATGTAGATTTTAATGGCAATGTGAAAATTTATAACTTCACGTTACATAAGACACATCAGAACATTTATACTTTAGAAAATAATTTAAAATTTTACATTTTTTTTCCCAATGTACTCTAGATTTTTTTTATTATTTGTTCTAAAAAAAGAATTCAATGAAAATTTTATAATAAATTTTATGAACCAAAAAATTTGAGTACCACTTAACTAAACTATTATTGGTGACATGTTTTCAAAATCAAAGAACATCACGTTAGTTTCAATCATCTTCACTTCATTCTTTGGACCATCTGGAAAATGCTTTTCCAAAATCAGTTTTGGCTTAATCTGAAATAAGCATATAATATGATGAAATATTTTCTGATATTTAACATATTGCACACAGGAGGAAAAAGCTAATAAATAACAGAAATATTTATTCTATGTTTACTGAGAATCATTAAACATATTAGACACTACAATATTGAAACATGAGAAAAACTACATACGGCACGAAAAATACAATAGAAGAAAAAGGAACACAAATTTATCAATTTGAATAACCTAAATATTTATAATAACAGATTTCTGTTCAAATGATATTGGTTTAATACCATTAAATAAGGAGGAACATTTATTTTAAATAAATTGTATCAGTTCGAATAAACAAATATACATATAGGATAAAAGCACCAGGAGCTGATAGTGTACCAATACCTGACATCGTTCTTGAAAAATGGTGATAATAAGATTTCAGGACTTCCTAGACCCCTATTTCATTAATTTGTAGCTTATAGATTTTCTCCTCATGTATGTGTCTGCTTTGCTATAGCTTGAAATAATGAGCAGCAAAATAGTAAGTTCTCTCATGGACCACCGAGTGTCCCAGTTAACTACTTCAATTTATCTCAACATTTTTGTGTTATTTTTCCTTGGAGGGTTTGTAGATTATGTTTTATCTGTTTTTAATCTATTTTATTGAAGGAATTGCAAAATTTAATGGGTGTCAGCTACTGGGGTTTTATATTGTGTGTTTTGCCAGTTATTGACAGGCCAGTACACACAGAAATTCAAAGAGATAACCTTAATATAACGGGTCTTCAAAATACACCATTCACTATTCTCTCATTGAAAAAAAAACTGCATGTGATGTGGCTTAATTACAAAGCAAAAATAGGTTTTCCTATAGCTGAAAACAGGTTCTTGATTGTGTCAAGCATATACCAAAAAATTTAAATTTGAAAATGCAAGAAGTTAGTTTTATAATAAGTTAAAAGTAATTTTTGATAATGTTTTAAAATGAGGAATATGAAATTTCACTTCATTACACCCTTTTTCTCGACCCTGTCAGCTATAGGAACACTCCTAATCAAACAGGGTCAGTTACTGGTATAACAAAACTATTCTCTTAATTTACAATTTTTTAAAGTTTAGGTGGATGTTTCATGAGTTTTAAATGTGTTGTGCCAAAGTTAGAAATATATCTATAAGACAGATCCAAGAAAAATACAATAACATCAATATTTAAGTTTTTCAACGTCAGGTACTGGTGCTTTTACCCTACTTTGGTCAAATAGGTCCATACTGAGGAAGAGTGGGCGAGTGGAGACGGCCTTTGATTACTGGAAAAAGTAAGTGAAAATATTTATATTGCTCATTATTATGACAGTTAATCTCTAATTTTCAGGCAATAAGCAAAATTTGACAATTAATAATTTAAATAGTATCCATGTCATGCTAAATACTACTATAAAATACTGTAACTTGATTGAAAATATGATCAAATGTCAGTTGCAGTCCTGAAAAAAAAACTTCATAATGGTGAATTAATTGTTGACTGTAGACTATATGGTTGGGAATTGCAGTGAGAGAGAACACAGAAATAAAAATAAAAGATTTTTATTTTATTGTCTCCTGCCTAAGTTGCAGGCGTTCATCAGGGCTCTGAAATCGAATGGGTGTTTTCACTGGTTTCCAATGGGCGTTGGGTGTGTGATCAAAATTTAAAACTAGCTTGCACAGAATTAAATAAAAATCATGAAATTTCCATTTGAAAATACAGATAGTTTCAGAAACTAAAGAAAAAAAAAATCAAAGAACTGAGAAAAGTATTTAGTAAGAGAAGGAAGACATTTGCCCACTACCAGGGAGGAATAAGAAACCAGGAAGAGCATCAGAAATAACAGGTATTACAGCACCCAACTCTTCATGTTGTAGAACAATCTGTACACTTTACATTTTTATTTTTTATATTAATATACAAATTAGATTACCTTTTTCATTTTGACTTTCGATAAATCAAATCCCATGAAGAATGGGAGAGTTTGGAGGGTGAGGAGGGAGCGGAGACGCCTCATTGGATCTGCGGTCAGCAGCCTCTTCACCAAGTCCACCGCTGCTGATGAAAGGGTTCCACAGTCAGTAGGCAGCTCTCCTGGTGTTTTTGAGTTACCACTGCTTACAAACTGCAAAAAAAAATGTAATGTATAGATACAGAGTTTCAGATGTCATCAAGGTTTATTATATGTTATCCCTGTACACCTTAAGTATGGAATTATCATGTTCGAATTAAATAAGGAATACCAAATTACAAAACATTACATCAAGCATCTATTTAAAAAATAGAAATATTGATCTGCAAAATAAGATGTAAAAATTTATTGAAATTGGACTAAATAGAAATGATCTAAATTAATAATATGTTGGTGCATCAAACAAAATACAGCTATAAAAGAAATTAAACAAGAACGATGATATTAAAAATAAAATTATAGCAAATTATATGAATTATTATAGTAATAATACTAAATGAAAAATTTGTTTAAGAATAAAGAAACTAATATGATGCATAAAAAAGTTAATCCATGTTCAATGGAGGAATTGAATAGAATCATAATATCAATTGAACTGATGAATTTCTTTCTCCTGTTTTGTTTCTGAACATATTATAATGGTGGGGTGAGGAGAAAAAAAAAAAAATGAGACCCCAAAAAGATTTTTATTTTAATGACTGAGTTTGTTAAATACGCCAATTGGTGAATCATGTATTGTATTGACAATTCTCATAAATCAAAAATAAAAGGACAAAGCTATTCCTAGATAGCCAGGTCAAGCTATCTCTGATAGCTTAGAAATAGTTATCTAAAAGGCACTGACTGGACACAACAAGACTCATTATCAAGACTTAGGGAACAATTACAGATTTCAGCAAAACACCCTTTCTCACAGATCCTTAGACTTCCCAGAATTCCTTCACCCCTCTACTATTCCTGGTTATATTACCCCCATGGTCCTCAGAACAAATCACTCTTGTAGTTACATTCTTGAAGTCACACTCTAGCCAGGAGACCTGGAGTGAACTCTTGTAGTCAACCTATATATCCATAGTATATTAAGATGCCATTTGTAACAGTCATTATGAATAAAAGCATTACTTATAAGGTCTTCAGTGCCTCCGATAAGTTCCTATCGGCGCCTATACGCTCAGTATGATATAAGTGCTTACTGCGGTCTAAAACGGTTTTATTTCCCCAAAAAGGTAATATCTGCCCTTGGTAATACCGTCGAGTATGCGGATGATATCCGTACTTCGAATGTTCTGTTTGTTTCATGACCTCCATACGCGTTTTCCAGATAATCTGCGGTGAGTGGTGGTTCACAATTGTATCCATTTTCCTAAGATCATGATGTCTAGTTTTCGCCAAACCTTCTTCCTCATCGCCGTGAAACATTTCCTCCCTAGCAACATCCGTAGATGGGTCCCTGAAGATATAACACAAGATAGTCCGTAATGCAGATGGACGCGAACAACTAGGTAACACTAGTAGACTCGGAGCTTATCCCATGAATCAGCTACCGTATTTATTTATTTATAAATAGGATATCGAAGCTCCCTTAGGTAGCGTATGAGATCTCTTTTCTATCCCATATAAATACAAATGACATTCGTCAGTGTCCTCTCCCAAGCATTTATAACTTTTTTTTACCGAAAATACAGACATCCATACATCGCATAAAGATCCAACAGTCAAAAATGTAGAGGTAACCTTTGATCGGAACCTCTCCTGGGATAACCATATTTCCCAGATTACCCGAAAATCCATAGCTAACCTGAAACAACTCATAAGATTCCGGGATTCTAATTCTGAAAAAACAGATACCTTGTAACATCTCATGTTTTCTTCCCCATCGACAGACAACGGGTGCTTGGTGTATAATGTTTTCCTTTTCCAAATCCTCAGGACCAAAAATCCTCCTTGCATCGTACGAATCCGTACTCTACTTTCCTCTATCCACTCTCTTAATACCTAATCTCAACCAATTGATCAATATATATCTCCTCCTATAAAACCACTTCTTTTAGATAAGTCTTCGACATTCATGCTACCGCCTTTTGGAACTCCATACCCAATCATCATACCAACTTTTGAAACTCGCAACACAATCATCATACATCAATGCTCATCCACAAATTCCTTTAAGCAACTCCTATTCCACCACCTATTTCATATTCAATCTTCCTCAACCATCTAAGAAGTTTTCAAATTTGTAATTACAATTGCTTGTAAACAGTTAATTGACAAGCACCATTATTTTATATATTTATGTTTTATTTCTACTTGCCAGACTAATGTACATAATTCTTGAACTTTTTCATTATTAGGGAACTTTGGTCCCAGAATGAAAATATTTTTCAATGATTTAATGAATTATGTAAACTAATATGGAACTTAAAGAGTTCGGAAAAAAATAAAATCACAATTCATCAAATTCAAAACTACAGTTTCAAAATTATTAATTTCACACGCATCATGGAAGAGAGTTTCGCCAATTCAGATACCATCAAGAGAGAAAACAATGATCAAATAAAAATATATGCAGACAAAATAAAATATTTGTATACTAGTCATGTATCCATTGAGTCTCCTCCAGTAAAATACTTTCTTTTGTGATTATTAATTTGTTATTTCTCCCTCATATTTATCACCTTTCTGAATGGTTATATTTTTACTTTCATTCATCTATATATGAAATATATAATAATAATAATAATACTTTATTTATTCTGAGACGAGTCCCTTTAGAATAATACAGAAGGACTGAAATGTGGGCTAAGGAGCCTCAGAGATAAATAAAAAAAATGCTGAGTAATTAGTAAATAGTCATAATAAAAAAATCATAAATTACTTTCTAACTTAAATCAGTTAATAATAAAAAAATCGAAATAGATTGTATATATAGGCAGAATATGGTGAAATGAAGGATTACAACTGTTTATTTTCGAGATAAAAGTGTATTCCAACGAACAGGTGCGTTGAAACAACAATGCTATTCTATTTATAACATAAATCCCGTTTGCTGTTTAAAGAAAGACTCAAGTTGGAAGAGTATAAAAAGAAAAGGGAGATATGAGTAAGAGAAGGCAGAGAAGAGACGAGAACATTGCGCGAAGTGGAGGTGAACGAACAGATAAAGGATAAAAAAGAAGATGTAAGGGAGAGGAGATCGAAATGACGGTAGGTCCACGGTCCGGATAGGGAAGGCCGAGTTTTTACAATCCCTCCCCCCCCCCTCTTCGCTCCCCCGACCCCCTGGTCGAAGCAACGACCTCTGACCATTTACTCGGTGTCACTAAACTTACAGCGTTTCCTTCTTACTCAACTGTCACTTCCTGCGGGGGCCATGCAATCCTGCGATTATAAGAGGACCAAAAGAAGAAAAATCTAAGTTGAGGCGTTAGTTTCAATAACTTTGATTATAGAATTAATTGATTGCAAGAAGGTATGTTGCACATGGGAAAGTTAAGATCTTGAGATATACGGAGGGCTGTCTATACAATCTAGCGGGACAAAAGTCAATATAGATAAATTTATTTTTTCCCCATTAAATTGGTAAATCATTTTTTCTCACATAAGCATATATATATATATAATATAAAAATTGGGATGTAATAATGCTAATTTATCATTAGTTAATAATTATTAATTAACATTTTTTTATTTTGAACCAATTCACATCCCCCCAAAAAATTAAAAACTTATTTGCTTACATCCACATATATTTTGTTACGTTTCGGCAAGGCGGATCCACGGGGGGGGGGGGGGGGGAAGGGAGGAGAGCTTTCGTGCTGAAGCCCCTCCCCCCCTAAATGGTAAAATATAACCATCTTTTATGGAAAAGTATACTAAAAAATTATCTCTTAAAGTATTATTGTTCGTGTAATTACATTTAAAAGGACTTACGGAATCACTTAAACACCATTTCATATAGTTAGTTTCTTTTTTTCCAAAGTAATTATCGTAATTTTTATGAAAAAAAAAGCTTTCGGACTGAAGCCAGTCCACAAAATTAAATCCTAGATACGCTAGTGCATTTCGGTCTTTTTGGTCGTTTTCAAACATTTCTGTTTCACCCGTTTTATACAAAATTAGTATTAAAATTGTATAGCTAATATATGTTAAAGTAACCAAATAAAAGTTTTTAATTTTAATGTGCCATGGTTTTTTGGGATAAGAATGGATCCGAAAAATTGTTTGTTAATTACTATTAATTAACTAATGATAAATTAGAAAATTAATTGTTTTATTAATTTAACAATTTTTTTTTTAGTTTACAAAATGTCATTTTAATTTAACAAATGTATTTGTACGCAAATAAAAGATGAATTGAAAATCTTATATATTATTTCTCAAATATATATGCCTTTTCCGGCTCTCAGGAGTGATGGATTTTGACAACTGAGGTATGAATAGAAAGGGAATATCCCGTAGAGTGCGCGAATCGTAATTTTGATTCCAAATTTTATACTTGGACTTAAATAAAATTAATAAAATAAAATTAATTGAACTGATTAACTTCTTCCTCATGTTTTGTTTCCGAACATATTATAATTTATTATAATGGCGGAGTGGAGAGAAAAAAAAACGGTACTCCAAAAAGACAGTTCACTAACACCAAAGAATTTCAATCACATATTTTCAGCACTTTAAATCTAAATGGGAGGTGTTACAAAGGTGCGAAAAATCTTATACTGCAAAAAAAAAAAAATTTGATAAACCGAAATATTGATTGAAAATTTACCCTCTTTTGCATGACATTGTTCTTCTTACAGAATACCATACATACAGAAATTCAGCCTATTTAATCTAAAGCGGAGTCGCTAGAAGTTTCCAAATATAGTAAAACAATTTATATTAACAACACTCAAATATAGATTCAGTGAAAAAGTCTATAATTTTTGAGAAAATACAAACAAATGAACCAATCCAACTCACAATAAGGATCTTGAATACAGTACTTGCTAAAATATATTGCTATGTTGACTGCTGGCAGTAATAGAAATTGTTTTATCAGTAACCAAACTCAAACAGCAGGTTTCCAACCCAAAATGGTGTCGGCATTGAAATACTAACAACCAATGTCCCTGTAAATAATTTTCAGTCACTTTACATATTAGTAGCTATTTTATTTTGAATATTTTTCACGTTTGAAGGAGACAGCTTATACATCCTGAACTAAACCGTGGACGAGGTACCCTCGTATTAAAGAGTATCAGGTGGAGTCTTGCGACCTCTAAGTCGATCGAAGTGTGTTTGTGAACAGTCTAGCTCAAAAACATTAATTGCATATTTAAGGTAAGAATATGCCCGCGATGTAACAGCAACTTTTTTCAGGAAATCAATAAACCGGAAGTGGCACTCTATATCATAAGTTGTACACATTTTTCTCAAAAAAGGCTTTATCGATTTTGCTTAAACTCGGTATACAAATGTTTTCTTAAAATATTTCATGGAATGCTCGTCAATCAATGTGCTTCAATTACTTCAGCGTTTTCTTTTAGATCTTTATTATTGAAATTTATCATTTTAAAAATCCACTTTCGTCTTTTTTTTTTTTGATGATAAAGTATTATACATCTTGATTGCACTATTTCACCTAAAAAGTCGAGCCTATTGTTTTTTGCTGTCATCATATGTTACAGCAATATTCAAAAGCTTTTGTTAATTTATGAAATCTATTGAAGGACAAAGCTAATATTTAAATTATAAATTTAAGGAAACGTAATGGTTAAACCATGGCAGATTGTAAATCTTATTTATAACTGCTAGCTTACTTAATACATGTATTAAACCTTTGCATATCAAGCGTTATTGAATGGAAGTTGTGCTGAGCCCTTAATGTATTGAAATCAGACACAAATATTAGGTTTGTGCGGAGTATTCCCACGGGTCAGCTGATATAAATTATTTCTCGTCACCTGTAACCAAAACAAGAAAATTCGGAAAATGGCAGTTACAGTTAGCTAAAAGCACCTAAATATCACTTATTAATTACGTTAATAAGTTATTAATCCTAAGTAATCAATTAAGAAATCACGTTGTTAAAACTGTAGATATGTAAAAGAACGATAATAATAAATCTCTTAATATGTCCAAGCCATTTTCGTCACCTATGCTCCTGCTACCTGAAGTCTAGGATATTCATTAGTTCTCTGAGGTATTCAATAGAATTCTTAAGGTTGAATTTGTAAGTGCGTTTTCAAAAGCCGACTTAACAGCATTCTTGATTCGTTCAATAAATTATTTTTTACTGCCATAGAGATTAATTTTAATTTAAATAATTTTCGAAGTAGGAATGTGATGTACCAAGACTAAGCCAATTTTACAACAGCCTTCCACTGAAACGGCAATAACATCCAATCGACAGTAATATTTGAACGCCCGTTAATGAACGTCCAATTAAAAAAAAATATCTTTTTTGTCTTCTATTTGTTTTGTTGTTGTGAAGTTTGAGTGAAATATACAAATAATCAATATTTCCGTACCGTGATATTAAGGATCTAATAATATAAACATAAAACAAGTATAATATATAATTGACAAATAAAGTTCACTCGATATGAGGAGGGAATTTTTTAATAATGTAATACTTCAGTATTATTATTTTTCAATTTACTTTCTATCTATATTTATTTCTGTTTTGAAATTTTAAAATTCAGTAGGTGAGTATTAACTTACTTTATTTTTACTATCACTTATCTATGAAATATGTAGTAAGGGAAAGTATTGCGATCGTGAAAATTTTCGAATCTAAGTTTTCAACGGAAATACACGTTTTGAGGTCAACTTAGTCCAAATAATCAAGTTTCGCAAAAGGGTCTGTGTGTGTGTGAACAGTCTAGCTCAAAAACAAGAAGTCATACGAAACAAAAATTGTGTATTTAAGGATTGTATATGCCCGCGATGTAACAGCAATGTTTTTGTCGAAATCAATAAATCGGAAGTGGCACTTTATATCATAAGTTTTACAATTTTTCCCAAAAAGGCTTTATCGATTTTGTTTAAACTCGATATATAATTGTATAATATAATCCTATCTCCATTGATGTCACTTTGCAGAGCCTAAATACCCATAATTCAACATGTCCTTCCTCTAAAGAAATTTTAATTTGGTTTATTTTAAATAATTAACTATCTCTAATGGTTAGGAGTAGTGAAAAAGACTAAATATAACTTTTGAAAGAATTTTATAATTGAACAAAGGAAAAATGCTTATCCAGGTCGAAAAGGAATCTCCGGCAATAATAGCCAGAAGGTATAAGTACGTATAATATTTCGTTGGAAAGCGCAGAATTTTAGAAAAATGATATATAATAAATAAAGTTGTGGAAGATTTCTATGACAGGTAATGCAAATCTCGTCATTCGATTTTAGTAAACTTTGCAATGTAAAATCACAGTGTAATCACTAATAGTCGTACAATCCATAATCAACGGATCGTACAATCCATAATCAACCGTTGATATAATATATAGGATTTTTCTTATTTATTTGTATTAATGATTTGTTAGCAGTAAGCTTCAAGCTTTAGCTCGGTTAAAAATACACTTCAAAAATTTTATGATAGCCCAACAATGCCAAAAAATAATTTATTTTCAAAGTAGAGCGGTAAGAGAAAGTTGTGACCGCACCAGATTTATTAAAATTTTCATATGACATGTAACCTTCCACTAGAATCCAGCAGGTCGTTTCTATACTCGGCATGAACTCCATCGGTGATGGATTTAATCGATCAATGAAATTCGCATTGAGTTTAGGAACTTGACCTTACTGCGATTAAAGCTGACGACCGAAGAACGCAGAACCACGTGACTCTAATCCGGTCAATATTAAAGGTGTTACATCACCGCGGGTAAGACTTCAGCCAAAGAGATATTAACCGCCGAACCGAGAGGTGTAGAAAATATTCCAACAATGAATAATAAATTATTCAACATTAAGGAATATATCGACAGTAAAACTGCAAAATCCTGTAAGGACAATATTTTCGGAAAATAGGTTTAGCTTTTTTGGTAAAACTAGTCAATTAGCGAATGTTTGACCTTACAAAATGAAATCTACGATATTTCATTTCTTCTCTATGGACTTGTGTAAATATGTATGT